ACACGGAGGATAGAACAAGCTTGTTTTCTCCTGCTCTGGAGGCTAGGGCCTGAACCAAGGCATACAAGTTACAAGAAAGGAGATTCCAACTAAACATCAGGAATAATTTTCTGACAGTAAGAGCTGTTTGACACTGGGACAGAGATTGGATGGCCATCTGTCATGTATGCTTTAGTTGAGATTCCTACATTGCAGGGGGTTGGACCAGATGACCCTGTTGGGATACTGCCAGGGAGATAAAGTCCATCATGGCCCCCAAGCCGGCTGCCGGACAATCCATCGACCTCCCGTAGTCACGCAGTATCAGCAATTAGCAACATGAGCTCCAGAACATTCTAGAGCCGATGCACACTCTTTATCAGCAGATAATGCACAGCAGAAGTCGCACTCAGGAGAGCATTATTTACAAGTTTATTCAGCGTTGATCAGAACACAGAAAAACATGACTGCCTGCTTTAGTGTCTACGACACAGAGAGAGAAAACGAAAGCAACAGAAAACATAAACATCCTGTGAACAGGAAATACGCAGACTCTGTGACTCACAGCCTGCTCCCTTTTAAGGTGGAACGGAAATATCCTAACAGACCCTTGGGGTCCCTTCCAACTATAATGCTATGATTCTATGATCAAGGGAGACCATGCACTTGTTTTTTCTATGTAGTCCATACACAATCTAAATCTATTGCTTATTTTTTGCACTTCTTGAGAAACTGGTTTCATTCTGAAAATAAAAGCTCATTGCAGATTGATTCTGCGTTACCCTTAGTTGTGATTCCTGTATTCCAAGGGGCTGGATTAGATGACCCTTGGTGTCCCTTCCAACTCGATGATTCTATGTGTGTGTCCATCTGAAAACAGATGTAGGTGGTCCCAGAAATGGGGGGCAGGGAGGAGTCCACACCTGCCCAATGACATTGTGGGTGGCCGTAGACCAAGACTACAATCACCACTTCCTTCTTAATTCACTTGTGACATGTGCCAGGAGGCAAAAGGCATGGATAACCTCATCAAGGGAAAGGTTTTCAAATGTGTTATCAAGTAACTACACTCACCCTTGTGGATGAATCTAGATTGAAAGCAGCATGTTGAGGACAAGCACAAATGATTCCAGACTGAGAAAAACTACATTTTTTGCTACAAATGGGTTAGTGTGTATGCAGCCAAAATATGACTTCTAAAATGAACGATTCATTACACCTCTGCTCATAAATATCACAGTGTGGTAAATTGATGAGTGAAGCGGACACCCACAAAGCCTGTAAACACTGGATATGTAAATATTTATAATTATAGTGAATCTTGCTCACTGGTGTAAACACCAGCTCTACTGCTATATGGCAAAGTACAAGTGTGTTTTCTTTAAGGCCCCCATTTCTATGGGCTGTGTTATCTCTTCCAATAAACAGTGCCTTGCAACTAATCTCTGTGAAAGATTGTTTCCCACACTGTCAACTCTCCTACATTTGTAAACAGATGCAAAGTTTTCCCCATAATGACTGTGCTCCTCTGTGGGCAGTGCTAAAAGTAAGAAATGGGAATTAGATGTTTTTAGGTAAAAGTGAAATCATTATTAGGATGACAAGAGTGTTGGCTGGATAGCCTCAGTGAAAAACGCATAGGAAACGTGACCCAGGTTATACCTTTGATTAGGCTGGCTGTGTTGGTAGAAGAGGACAGGGCAGGGCGAGCTTTCACGTTGGAGAGATCTCTCCTATTTTAAAAGCTGTCATCCGAGATGCTTTATCCCTTCTCCGTTTAACGGCTAGACTCGCAGGCTCCAATATAGATATAGTTTCACATAAATGCAGTCTGAGACAGTGGTTAAGAATGCATATTCTTATTTATTTATAATATTTGTATTCTGCCTTTTCAGGTTCAAGACAGTTTACATAAAAACACAGTAACATTTAGAGCTATCTTTAAAACAATAAGCAATTAGAACATTAGAACAAAATAATCCAGCTCAGTAACTGAAACATAGTAATGCAGAAAACCCCCACTACCAGTCTACAAAAGCCACCTAGAATAACTACAGCCCTTTTCAAAGGTCACAATGGGCATCTGCACTATACATTGAAACAAGTATCATACCACTTTAAACAGACATGGCTTGCCTCTAAGAACCCTGAGAACTTATTATTCAGGTTCAGACAGCTTTTTCCAGCAACCAGAGCCTCATGAGGTACATGAGCGAGAACTGCTAGGTAAGCTTGAGCATCTCTGTCTGCCTAAATCAGAATGGCTCTCAAGCCACAGCCAACAGGTCTGTTGCATTTTTTCTTGCAGTGTAGTCCAATCCAATGCATGCTTACACAGAAGTCCATTCCACAGAGCTTAGTCATGCAGGGGTCAGCAAACTTTTTCAGCAGGGGACCGGTCCACTGTCCCTCAGACCTTGTGGGGGGGCGGACTATATTTTTTGGGGGAAATGAACAAATTCCTATGCCCCACAAATAACCCAGAGATGCATTTTAAATAAAAGGACACATTCTGCTCATGTAAAAAAAAAAATCCTGTCCGTGGGCAGGATTTAGAAGGTGATTGGGCCGGATCCGGCCCCCAGGCCTTAGTTTGCCTACCCATGGCTTAGTGGGTCTGTACTACATTCAAAGGACTACAGCATAGGTCTTATTTTGGACCATGGGCATGTAATTCAGTGTAGCCACTGTGAGCCGTAGGCCAAGAAGCCTTTGGTTCAAATTTTGCTCGGTAGCCTTAAGCAAGCCACACTTTCTCAGTCTGACCTGTCAATTTGTGTTCTATAGAGATAATAATACCGCCCTAAAGGGCTGTTGTAAGGATTTAGGGCAAAGAGCTTTCAGCACTGATAACGCACTAGCTAACTGCTTAGTATGGTCATCTTATTCCAAATGTGGACATCCTTTGGCACACTATAAGCAGCAAGTAAGGCAGAGGTGCAGATGAGTGTCAAAGAGTAAGGAAACTCAGGGCATCTGCTTTTCCCAACCCTAAGGTTGCCAAAAGAACAAGCACAGAAGCAGCTTTGCTCACATTCCTGGTACTGGGACAATTATATGCAATCCTGCTTTTATCTGTGCCTGCAAAAGTTTTGGGGCACGCACACTGCTTTGTTTCCAATCCATGCATGCGTCATAACTTTCTGCTACAGTTCTGAAACTTTTTATACCACAAATGTTTCAGTTTATTTCTGATCCTGCTTTTGCTGGCCTAAAGGGCTAGAGTGCCCCCAGAAATAAATACTTAATGCAATTACTGTACATTGAGGAAGCGTTGCAGAAAAATAAAGCGGATTGATGTGTGGACAGCGGTATAAATTCACAACTAAGGCATCATTATTGCGTCAGTGACATGTTGCAGAATGCACACATACCTGAACAACAAAAGTGTGTCGGGGCCTCAAGTGTGTTTGCATGTCATGATTAGATCTGCTGTTGGTCCCCATCAGAAACTAAGCCTAATTAAACCTATCCATGTGGGGCAGATCTACATCGGACGTCTAAATCACTCCATGACTTCCCCCAAAGAATCCTGGGAACTATAGTTTCTCCCCAGACCTACAATTCCTAGCACCCTTAGCAAACTATAGTTCCCAAGACTCTTTGTGGGAAGTCATATGTGTGTGGAATGTACTTGAAACATATGGTGTGGATCTGTTGCTTGCATTTTATTTTACTTTGATTTTGATTTGATTTGATTCTGTGAACTGCCCTGAGACCTGCGGGTATAGGGCAGTATAGAAATCCAATAAATAAGTAAATAATAACAATAAATTCACCCACCTCTGTCTCACTCTAAATGTAAATTGCAGGATTCTTGGGAAGGGAACCTTTCCTTTGCTTACGTTACTTATAAAGTGCATAAAGGTGGCACTTAATCCATTATAATAACAGGTTCCCTCACTAATCAAACCCAACAGATGAGTCAAAAAGGTACTTCTTAAATGTTTTGACAGAATTTATTTCTATATTATTGCTTCTATATGGCTTTTTATGCCAATAGTGGTCCCACATAATTTTCTAGCCCAATTAAACAATACCAATACTACAATACATTTTTTGAAAATGTGCTTTTTAAGAATTAAGCACACTTTTAAAAACAGCTTAAATAAAACAGCAGCTGACAACAACACTAAGAACAGAGCTAATTTAACCAGCACCTCCAGTGACCTGGGAGAACAAGAATGTCTTAATTTGGTGAAGGAAGGCTGTCAAGGATGGGGTCATCATTGCCTCCAGGGGAAAGGAGTTGCACAGCCTGAGTGCAATTACCAAGAATTTAGTGGACATTACTGTTCCTGAAGTAAGTACTGTATGGCTTAAGTTGTTTAACATTTGATAGGTCAAAACAAGGACCATGAGTCATGCCCAGAAAACCAGTGCAAATGCTGGAGCATTGATAGTATGACGTGTTCTTGGTAGCCCATCCTCATCAGGAGGCAGGTTGCTCCATTCTGTCCTCAGTGAAGCTTCTGAGCAACTTGTGTAGAGGCCATTACACTTGTCTGTTTTGAGGTTATAAAAGCATGAATCATTTTGCCAGGTCTGTAATGTCAAAAGAGGCCACAACCTTCTTGCCAGATGAAGTTGATGAAATATACTTCCAGACACCTACGTATCATCACTAAAATATGGGCCTGTGTTACTCCTGAAAGTGGATTTACTAGCTGTTTGCCTTTGGCTCAGCTGCTCTGACGTCATAAAGGGCCCTGCAAGCCTGGAGCCATGCAGTTGCTCACATAGGGTTGATGTGGGAAAACTCAGGTCCATGAGCAATTTATGTCAAATTAGAATTATTGCTGACATACTATAAGCTTTCCGTTGTGGGTGTGTACATTAGTTGTGTTGTTCTGAGCCTTTTGAGGAATACCAAACAGCACTTTTTGCCTAAGATGAGATGGTTTCTCCTTGGGAAATCTATCATCACAAGCACCGTTGATAATCTGGTGGGACATTTATTGCAGCTTTGTCACTTGCTGACAGGTTTTTGTTTAAATGCCATAGGTACACTTTGTACTTCCTTATATGAAATTACACAACTGAAAGAAAATGAACAGCATCTGCTAAACAATTCCAACTGGTTTGGTGATCAGCAAGAGGATGATATATGCAAAGAGCTGTTTACTACAATAATACCAGGGGTCTACATGCAGCATTCCCATCTATTGACATTCATCTCTTTCGTGATCTTTTCCTGACACTCTCCTTAATCAGTGCACTTTCCTTGTTATCCTCCACCCTCTGGCACAGTACAAATTGTCTTCATCCTTCTGCCTCATTGCACAAAGCTAGCATGAGGTAGTTTGCTCATTTTAAACAAGGGACGAGTAGGGTTGGAGTACATCCAGGCACAAAACAAAATGTAAGTGGCAGCCCTGTGAACTCAGTGCAACTTATTTCTCAGTGGGCAAGCTCTAGGATTGAGCTGTAAGGTCAATAGCACAATATTGTTAAGGGCACAATAAAAGAAGATGCAGTGACTAGGAAAAGAGTAGGAATATAGTGCACGGATGATACGCTCCTTCCCTCAGTGTGGACAGTATCCCTTGTGCATGGCTTGTAAATCTTTATGTCACCAATATGGACAGATAACCCACTGATATTTTATCTGCATGGATGCCATGCAACTTTCAGTGTGTTGAGATGCTCTAAATCAGGTGTGTGTGGGGACCTGTGGTCCTCCACATGTTAGAATCTAAATCCCACTATCATTGACCATTAGCATTGCTGGCTGGGGCTGACAGAGTCCCACAACATCTGGGGAGCCCTGCTTCAAGTGAAAATGAAACAAGTCTGCCTTGTTTGTTCTTTCTGGGTTTATTGAAAATGAGCAAGGAGAAATTGAATCTAATCTGATTTACAGACCATGGGACTAAGGGATAAGTGGATGTTTTGCCTTCTAAGTCCAAGTTTAGATTACACCATGAGAATGGTGTAACTGTCTTCCTGAGCTAGAACTAAAGCACTTCAGCATTGCTGTGTGCCTATCAGTAGTAGGGCTGTTATTCAGTTAAAGAAACTGTACGTGACTTACAGAGTAATTCATGTATTAAACTGGCATTATATGCATAAAACCAATAATTTTAATGGGAACATGCTTTCTTTATCTTCAGCCGATTAATTTGTAGAATTAAAAGTTATATTTAAGTATTAAACGAAGCATCAACACACGTGTTTTAAAACCGGGAAAAGATTTTCAACGCCCCCTCTTTATGTGTATTTAATATGCGGAAAGGACAACAGACCTACTCAGTCAGAATCACACGCACAGCTCAAAGCCCTTGTCGTATGACCTTTCTTGTGATAGCACTTGGGACTCCTTGAGTCTTCCCTAGCCAGAACTCTCCAGCTCAGCAAGGCAATATTATGAAGAGCGTGGGGGTCCCACTGTCTGGGTCTGGGTTGAGAATGTATGCCAGCTGGGCACAGGGCAGAGAGCAAATTTGGCAAGTCAGTGGTGGTATTGGATTTCTCTGCCAAGGTGCATGCATGTCACTGCCAGGAAGAGACAAGAGGACTCTCTTGTTTTAACATGAGTTGAGACACATGCGCAATAGCACTAGGAATATTAGGGGTGGGGGCTATCTCAACATCCCAGTGTTGACATTTGGGAGAGGCTGGGGGGGCGGGTTGGACCTGTGCCTTAGCAAGAGTGATGATGAACAAGCACTAGCAATGAGGAGGGCAAGGGGGCAAGGAGCTGTCTAGGGGTGCTTTTGTCAACAAGCTCTAGGCTCTTGCTGTCAGCTTGAGATGAAGGGCACATGCAACAGCACCAAGAAGAAATGTGGGGGAGGGAGAAATACATATCCTGTTGCACAATAGGATGTATGTGCAATGGTAATAGTAACACTGCATCAAGTGCAGCCCAGCTGTGCTTACTTCCTATCAGAATTTTTTACTCTGGATATCAGAAATACAAGTACAGTAGGAAAATCTGTCACTAGAGATCCACAAGCTATGCATCTCTCAACCAGATCTAATAAGGAAGCGGACCCTCATGATTTTTTACCTCCATGTTGGGGCAAAGCATTGAATCGCACCATTTTAACAACACAAAGGTATTTAACTGATGAATCAGTCGGATTAATTGACTAACTGTTGTGGCCCTATATCATTTTAGATGATTAAGAAAGGGGGAGGGCAGCATGGATAGCCCAATCTGCCCTGATGAATTTCCTAGGACAACTCTTTAGGGCCACATCTATACCATACATTTTATACCACTTAAACAGTTGACTTCACCCAGATTTCTGGGAAATGTATCAATCCAAAAAGGTGCTAAAAGCCCCAATTAATGTCAAATGTTTACCAATACTTCCACCTCTGCAAGAAAAAAAGCAGCTTAGTTTATCTGATGTGCACCTATGGTTTAGTTAAAGATAGGGAAACTACAATTCCAAGTCATTAGCACCAAGCTGATAGAAGACCTTGAGCAATGACACCAAGCTTACATAATTTATGTTCCCCACTACTTCCTGGTTCCCTCAGTTCCATCCATCAACACATCACTTTTCATCTTTTGCTATTCCTCTCCCTGTGTGCTACATGATACCTCTTCTTCTGTTTGGAAGTGTAATATCTGGAGTCCACATCCTTCCAATTCGAATTCCAATTTCAATTCCTGTTGAAAGTGTTGATTGATTTATTTTTTGCACTATATGGCTATTCATTTGGTGCATAAGGTCCCCCCAGCAGTGATCAATAATTTGAAAAGTTTGCATTGAACTTTGAATTGTTAGCTGAATGAGTCCATCAGTGAAAATGACTTTTTTAAAGCTGTTCTGTAGATTAGCTTGCTGGTTGTTTTGCTTCCTTGTCACTGCTTAGCTTGCCTTAGATCCTGATTATACCACACATTCATATGTGGGCTAGACAAAGAGCTAATGCAGTGTGTTGTTTGAAGGCTAAAAAGAGCATCTAGATTGTGAATGGTTTTGCTCAACTCCAAAGATTTTAGGTTTCATTCTCTATATATAGCTTAGAAGCATGTGGCTCTCAGATAATGATAGCAACATAAAGCCCATATTAATTATAGTATATTACATCTGAAACTCCAGGGGATTATGAGGACTGTAAATACCTCTTACACTTATAAAAACCCACCTTCTACTTTTAACAGTCTTAATGATTTTCTGTAAGTGCCTATGGCTACAGTCTTGCTCACAGCTATGGCATGCAAGAACACTTCATCCACTACAAGCATGTGCTGGCAAAATACTGCTATATGTTTGGTGGGGAGATCTTCCCTAAACCCAAGAAATTAACGAATGTCAGAATCTAACTAATATTTGGGATATGAAGGGGAAATGCAAGCTACAGAATTGTGCCCAACAAGGAATCCCTGAGCTGGCTCATGCAAACGAGCTTTGCCAGGCTAGTTAAGTGCTGTGCCGTTAAGAAACACGTGTTGATGGTGACACACCCACTTTTGGCACGCAGCCCCTGGAGAGTTTTCGAAGGGTACATGCAGCCCTTGCAGGGGAAATGATCAGCTACCCTTGCTATATTGCAGTCATACGTTTCATGTGCATATATTGTCTAGTCTAAACTGATTAGCAGAGTCTCCCCAGAGTTTCAGTAGGAAAGGGCCAGTCCTGTCATTAGATAGAGTGAGGGAATCTCCTCAGACGTCAGATATTTTGAGGAAATGTCTGTGGCTCCTGGCTGTTCCTCCTGAACCTGCCGGCTGTACCAAGGCCTTTTGCATCTGGGCCTAAATATGGCAAATAAATAAATAAATAAATAAATAAATTCTAAGCATGCCTGAGATGTGGATTTGTCTAAGTGCTATCAGTGTGATCAAGACTGATGACTTCCCAGTGCACTGACATTGTTCTATGCCAGTGGTTCCCAAGTGGTGGTACGCGGACTCCGTGGCACCCTTCACATAACAAAATCTATCAAAAATTTCAAAAGTCCATAGCTTGGCTTTGGAAAAGCAGGGCGTCTGCAGTACTTAGCTAATTGGTAACCACTGCACTATTCAGTTCTTGGTTAAAGGTTTCCTAAAGACATATCCCTTATTGTCCCCTGCCTCTCAGCTTTTTGGCAGTATATGTACACCTATGCCAACAAAGTTGTTTTTCACCAAAAAGAGTTTTTTAAATGTAAGACTTCCAGAAATTAATGAAGACCATGGTCTCATCCACACTTACATTTGCTTCACACTTTCTAGGGCCAGGACTGGGCTTTCCAGGTCTGTGTCCAAGCGGTGGTTTTTTTTTGGGGGGGGGGGTCCAGTGCTTTCCCACTAAGACATGGACCTGGAAAGCCCAGACCCATGCCTACAAATGTGGGAGAAAAGGAAGTGTGGGTAGGCCCCATTTCTCAGTATATTTGTTGCCACCTTTTACACATACATATTTGTACTTTGATTTCAGAACTGTATGGAGCATCCCATATTCAGATTCTACACTGGCTTTATTGTACTGGATAATATTCGTTCAATCTTTTCCCCTACCCTCTGAGATCACGCACCCTGGAATGTTATGGTGAAGGCGTGGGGAGAAATAAATACATAAATAGTAATGCTGAATTTGTTCATGGAGAATAATAATAATTAAAAAAATCAGCTCAGGGCCTAATTTTGCCAAGGCCATGATAGCAACTGATGAGCAGTATGATCTCTGCATTACCAACCCACTCCTGCCTTCATAAAATATACTCATGTGACATCTTCAATCAGGATTCATTACACTAATTATAAGGCAATAAATGTGAACTTGTTATATTTGCTGTGGGTGACTCAAACTATCATTCCTCAAGGCACCATTTTGCTATGAGGTAAATGATTTCCCTCAGTATTTGACCCTGTAGTATTTTGACCCTGAGAAAACACACACTTTCCTTCACGTTCATTGTGAAGGGAAGTACAGTTGCAGAAGTGGTTACAGAAGTAGTTATTCTCTGAAGAGTGTGGGCCTCCCTTCTCTGGCACCGCAATACAGCACACATTTCCTTTGATTATTATTTTAAGCAGTGAATAAGAGCCCTACTCCTTTGCAGCCCTTGGCCTCTCCAGGTAGGGCGGAGAGAGAGGGGCCCCTGGCTGAAACCCTGCAGTCACTGCAGATCAACATGGACAATACTGAGCTAGATGGACCAATGTTTGACCTCAGTGTGCTGGGCAGCTTCCTACATTCTTAACATTACCCACCCGCTTCTCTGCAGGCATTGTCAGCCCAAACACAACCGTAGCACAAAAAACTGGCCTTTTGGGTCATTAGGAAAGTCCCTAGCTGTAGCTTTTTTCTTTCTTTCTTTTTTTACCTAAAGGGCACTTGGGAAATCCCTCATTTAAATTTCAAGCGTTTGGCAGGTTTCTCATTCCATTATCCATTGTTCAGCACAGTCTCAATTTATCTGACATGGCATTCCAGGGAGGTTAAGTGGATGTCAGTTTTCTTTAAGGGCACAGTCAGGTATTTTAAAAGACAGGGAATTAATTGAGTCAGTGGAGAAAGCTACATGAGGTGATTTGATGGCCCCTTTCCAGAACAAATATAAATGATTCATTGACGTTACCTTCATATTTTCGGCTATTTTCAGAAGGAATCTAAGTTCTTGACAGCAGGTCTCTCTCTCTCTCTCTCTCTTATGTAACTCAGTATCTGCATACAAAGTAAAACAAGCCAAGCTAGTTTGCATACTCTGCTGCTCCTTTGGCCTGCCTGTAACAGGGCCAAGCGTGCACTGCTGACTCAGTACTGGTGCAGCAGCAGCATTTAAGCTACAATTTACATTTGGTTCCATTTCATATGAACCTCTCTCTTTCTTTCTGGCACCCTGTGCTAATCTGTGTATTCCTCAAACTAGGCAGGCACTGCAGAAGGAGGACTGAAGAACTCTTGGCTTGCAGCAGATTCAAATCTGTCTGTGGGGAAAATAAAATATGTGTCCACCATTTTCTTCTAGAGCTGCAGCGCCGGAGAGATTTGAAATGTACCTTTCTTTCCTAATAGCAATTAACAATAATGCACTGAGCTGTGCCTGCAAGGAAATGCATTCTCCACCCAACCTATCTCATCTCTGATGTCTGGCAAGGGAGCAGCTCATCACCTCAGGGAAAGCCTTCAAAATGTGGTTTGGTTGTATAAAGTAATTTAAACTAGTTGCAACCCCCCCTTCCTTTTGAAGTGGTACAGTCCTGTACCATGTCCCTGAGTGATGGAACGAGCTCCTGCTCATTTTGGATGGAGCAAACCATTTTTAAGAAGCTAGATAGTATGCAGAGTAGTCTCTAGATTAAGCAGCAAAACAGGTTAGGGTCTCTAATCTTGCCTCAAGCTCAGCTCAGCAAGCTAATTGTCTAGATTTGAAATTAGGGGAAAGACTTGCTGCAGATAGAACATACTATATGAAGATCAGTTATTACTGTCTGGAGCTTTCCGGATGTTAAAGTTATATTACTTTGGCTATATAACACTCAAAGTTACTTCAGTTTTTCATAGGCATTCACTATATCACTTTTTGTGTGTTAAATAAAGCAGTAGCCTTGGGAAATAAGAATTGGTGCTGGGCACCAATGTGGCCTTTCCTTGCAATGCCTGCCTGAAAAAAAAACAGTGGAATGTAAACTTATTAATTCCAATATGTGCATCTTCTGTTCAAACCTGTTTAGAATATACTGCCCTCCTTCCTTTCCAAAAAATTTTAAACCTAGTTGGCCTCAAGCTAAATTCCCTTCTCCAGAGAGTTTACCGTGTATATTTTGACAGAGGAAAAGGTGGAATGGGCAATTTCAAGACAGAGGGCAGATTTACATTCTTCTTTCTGCAGTAAATCATAGCTACATTGGGCACACACCCGACAAAATCAAGCCTTAGTGAAGTCCCACAGATTTTAAAGACAGACACCTAAAGCAATGGTAGTCCCCACATTCCCCTTGCCTTTTTGCCCATTATACATGGTAAACTCTCTGGAGCAGGGAATCTATTTTTTCCTTTTTGATATTCTGCACCATTTTGATAATGATTGTTATGTGCTGTCTTAATTATCTTAATGCATAAGGACGATAGGTAATCAAATTGTTTTTGGAATACTCCTTTTGGGGGTTCCACAGCCATCAATTTTGCACCCCCTGAATGGGATCATACGAAGACCTGAAGCATGTGACTCCCCCGCCAATCCTGGGAATTGTAGTTTGTTAAGGGCGTTAGGTCTGTGAGAGATAAGCTACACTGCCTGGGATTCTTTGGCAGAAGCCATGTGCTTTAAACATTTGGTGCAGATGTGGCTGGATCTCTGGAAGCACATTTTCCCCATTACTTCACAGCTTGCAGAAGGATTCCAGGCACAATTCAAGATGAAAATTCAAAAGATTGCTCACAATAAATATTTTGTATTTATCTGTCTGCCTGAAAAGATAGGGTGTCAATTTTTTTTTGGTCTGCTTTCTCTTCATTTTTTTGCACTGCCTTCTCTTATAAATCAAACCTTAGAGATGTCACAAAAACTTAGCACTAGGAAAAAGACTTAAGGTCTATTACTACAACATGTTGCTGGCTCCCTCTTGTGGCCAAAGCACACTCTCAGCTTTTAACGAAAAACTTGTCCAGAAGTTCATGACCTCTTCCTGGCAGGAGGCGGGGAGAATTCTATGCCAGGAAAAATCCCTCAAGGCAGGCTGTTCTCCAGCACCTTTTACTTTGTGATATATATGGTTCAGCCACTGAAACACTTGTCTGCAAGCACTCTGTGAGGTAGTTTAGGCTAAAAGATAAATGGCATTTGAAAAGCCACTTGGAGACATTAACGGGACAACAGAAGTTTCAAAGGGGAGTCTCCCATGTTCATCCTCACTATTCCCTGTTCCGCAGTGACTCTTAGAATAGCACTCACTGAAAAACACATGTCCAAACCAAAGATAGCCTTATGCTTGATTCATCCTAACAGGTCATGAATAAGAGATGTAACACATCCATTCACACTAATAGCATGAGGTCTCTAATATGTGTATGAGTACTAACTGCTCATTCTTTACCCAAAGAAGAGAACTGCATTGATGTAAATGTTTTGGTTTCTATTTCTTACTGTCATGGGGGCCAAACAGGTGAGGGGAACATTTATAGTATAGCCTTATGCCTGCCATCTCAGAACCAAGTCCCACTGAGTTCAATGGGTCTTACTCCCGGGTAAACAGACACAGGATTGAAACCTTAATTTCATATGTTTTATCCAATTTTCTCTCCCAGTACTAAAGTGGAAAGCGTCAAGACTGCCCATTATTAGTGGACAGTTCAAGGGTGCTTTAGAACAGATTGTATTAATTCTGAGGCCAATTTTATCCATATAAGCCCCATTTTAAAATACCGAGCAAAGAGGAAATAAGCTTCTAAAACCAGTGATACTTCCCTGCATTTTCCCTGTGGTGCTTATTTTTGCACAGCCCTCCATCAACAATGAGCCTTTCCTCAGACAGTGTATCCAATATTCCTGCAATGCCACCTCAGACATAGCTGGAAAGTAAACCCTTTCCCATTCTCTCACCCTTGCAGCTGGAACATTCTGACATTTTGGAAACATAAAACTGCCCCAGTCAGGAGCGTATTTAGGTTTACACACTTCTTCCCTGGCCCTTCCCTTTCAATTTTGGTGTGTCACACCTGCATCAAGGTGTCACTAGCCTAGGTTTGCAAAGCTGCTTGGACCCATGCCTGCAAACAGGTTTGGTGCCAACTACGTTTAACAAAAATGCTGGTACACTTCAAACAGAACTGTAATTAGCTGCAAAACCAAAAAGGGGAGGATACTATCCTGAGAAGAGAGTGGAGGAAAACCTCAAGCTTTGCACTGCAGGGTGTTCCTGATTACCTAACCATGGTTTGGAGATCAGGCAACAGCATTTACATCTGCACCATGCCTAACCTGCCTCTTCACTTGGAATCTAGTGCAATGGCATCAGGCTTTCCCAGGAAAACTGTCCTAGAATCCAAATTGTGATCAATCTCTTAGACATGGATGCAGAAAAGGTGGATATAGTAAATCCCTGCTCAGTTACAAAGCTCATTGGGTGACTCTGGCAAGTATTCTCTCTCACTGGATTACTCCATGTACACCACCAAGGGCTTCTTGGAACAAGGATAGGATTCCAGTTTAATAATATTAATAAACAAACTCATGGTCATTTCTAGGACAATCTCCAGAGTTACTGATACATACCTACAGGCCGCCTGCCCCAACTGACTTAGCAGAGACCAATGGCAGTGCAACAGACATGAAGGCCAGAAGCTGAAATAGTATTAACTTGTAATCAGATCTGCAGGAATGCCACCCATCCTATCCCACACGTCAGGGGAAACTTCTAAGGCGGACCTTGTGCATTCTGTATTTCATACTACACTGAGCCACAGTCCCGTCATTCCCATATGGCTCAGCCTTGTAATTGTTCAGATATAGAACAGTGGCAGCTCTGTAAGTGACCGCCCTTGGAAGCACAATGTCCAAAATCATTGCTCATGCCAAAGCATCCAACATTTTTGAACATAATACAGAAAGCCTGATGCTGTTGAGCAACCAGAATCTCAAAGTAAAGGTGACTATTTTGCTTCATATTTTTTTTAAAAAAGAAATATATGAAAGCATTGTACTAGACGCAGAGATTAGAAACTAGCCTAGCTAGACAGTGCTGTCTCTTTATCTTAGGGCTGCTTCTCACATTACTGTTTAATGTCAAGTTTTTAAAGCTCCCCTTTCTCTTGAAAGGATATGCAAGGTGTCCTGAAAGAATTAGCTGTGGTATCTGCAAGTGGACTACTGACCTCCAGTTCTATTCAGTCCATGCATCCCATGGGAAGGCAGTCACCTTTGTCATTCTAAGTCATAGATATATATTTATATTTGCCTCAAATATACTACACACACACACAGACACACACACACGAGTGACTCACTGGAGTCAGCTCCTGCTTTTTAAATTGTAACACAAGAAAGCTGCAGTCAGTAGCCTGAGTTAAAGGGCTCATCCACACTGTCATTTAATGTGGATGGCAAGCTTCCCGTACCACCATTAACTCTTAAATTTCCATATGACATTCTCCTCCAAATCATTGCTTTCCCACACTTTCCCCTTCCTCAGTCCAGATTTTCTCGTACCAGGGATACCTCCAACAGGAGGGGTATGAGTAATATGGATTGAGGGAGAAGGAAGTATGAGAAGGCAGTGATTTGGAGGAAACCTGCAGATAACTGAGGTAGAGGTAATTTACTGTTCACATTAACTCAATGCAATGCTTTTTTCTTAAAAAAAAATGTTTAGGAGTACTCTCATTTTGACTCAAGAAAATCACCATTTTATAGTTCAAAGCAGGAAAAATAAATACAGTAAATGGACAAAAGTACAAAGATTCACAAAATGTTTAGGGGTATGCGTACCACAGCGTACCCCTCAGAAAAAAGGCACTGACTCAATGTATGGCTGAGCCCAAAGTTTATCCTTGGTATTGCAGAGAAACACAACAGCAAAAGGGAATGGGGTATATAAAGCAGAAAATGATGTGTTTCTCTCAAGGCAAGGCATGAGGCAAGGTAAGGGGACCACTTCAGGTGGCAAGATCCACTAGGAGCAGCAGATCCCAATGTTGATGTTTCTTCCCCATTGTTCCTGATGCAGATCAACCCTCTTCCCTGGTGGGGAGGGGGCATGATTTGCAAATCTGCCTCAGGTGTATTGGGCTGGCCCTGGTTTCTCTCTTATAACCTTTGCAAAACAATGCAAAGAGAAAGGGGAAATAGCCACTGAGAAGTAGCTGCATGTCTTTCTAAACTAAAGTGTTAATCAATGGTCCTATAGCTTTCTAGGCTTCCAAGCAGAGGGTGTGCATGAGGAATATGACCATGCATTTTAATCAAGAATATTACCATCCATGCTTTGATCTTGAAGTATAAGTGTCGGTTGAAGGAGCACCCTGAAAACCTTTTGTGTAAGCATGCTATTGTGCTTCATTTGCTTGTATGGTAAATGCCTATTCTACTCTTCATCTCACAGAGGCCTGCTCCTTTATGAATTCACATGTACCACCAAACTACACACTAGAAAAGAGGAACTAGGCATTAAAGGTGCAGCTATTGTTTTAAAGCCTTTCCCAGTCCCAGGTTATGGGCTGAGCAAAATGCATCTCATAAGTCCTTATTTAGATACAGCATTGCTATACAAAGCCAAGTTTACAGCTCTATAGCCATGTTTAAGCAAAGGTCAGTCAATTACCGTAATTTCAATGATTATTTCAGGTAAGTGGGCTTAAGACTGCAACAGGACTTGAGTCAACTCAAAGGGATTCTATCTTGCTTCCGGACTGCCTGTTTGATGAGCATTTGGACTGAGTTGTTTGTGGAGAGATTACACGGCTGTCATCTATTTAATGAGCATTCATCCTATTTGTTTGTGGGGTGGTGAAACAACCTTCTGCCAAGCATTATCCCACACATTCCAGTGCATTTTCTCATCACTTTCTTTATTGCAAGAAGTCTGATCTTTTAGGGAAGCAGGTTTGTTTTGCAAGAGCTCAGAATCAGCTTCCATTGTGCAGGCTGACTTTGGTGGGATGTGACTGAATAGAGCTTCCCTGGTGGGGGGAGCACCATTCTGTGGTTTGCCACAGAGGCCCTGCCTGCAATTGTTGAATTCCAACTCCATTGGCCCCAGGCAAATGTCCAATGGTCAAGGATTATGGAATTGTAGTCCAACATTGGGAGTGCTATAGGTTCCCTAACCCTGAGGTACAGGGGTGTACCTAGGAGTTGGCTAGGTTGGCCCCTGCCAAGGGCACAGGCTGGTTTGGGGGGAGGTGACAAAATCATGCCTCTCCACTCTGGCTTGGAGTGGCTATGAGCCCACCAACTGGGCACGGTGCACACGCTCCTCTGGTGCCTCGGTGGAGGAATCCTGTCACTGGTGTGGGCTGTCACAAGTAACAGGGGGCACCAATACACCTCCTTGGCAAGTGCACAAGAGAGCCTTGGTATTCCTCTGCTAATGTAAAGGCTGTATTTCTCATTGCAGTTTAAAGGTTACACCCATACCTGAAAGTATGTTCTGTTGCAGTGTGTGAAGCATAGTATACACAGTTTATATACACTGCCTTCGCAGCAATGGCGCCCTCTCTGTGGAACGCCCTCCCATCAGATGCCAAGGAGATAAAGAATTACACAACTTTTAGAAGACAACTCAGGCAGTCCTGTATTGGGAAGTTTTTAATGTTTTACTATGTTGTTTATATGTGCTGTAAGGCACCCAGAGTGGCTGGGGAAGCCCAACCAGATGGGTGGGGTATAAATAATAAAATTATTAGTGATCTTGTTGTTATTAATTGTGACAAAAGTCATGCAAATGACAAAGCTCCAGAAAAGGAGGAGCATATGTGAGGCATGCTTGAGAGACACTGAAAGGACAACTTTGCTGTTACCTGGGACACTGATTTGCTCTGCGTCACTACCCTTTATAAAAAATATGGCAAGTGAGCTACAACGTGCAACAACATGTCCTTTTGAAATGCTGACTACCCTTTGCATTCCACCTGAGATATGTGACATCTTAATTTTATAGCTGATGCTGGCAGATATAGCATGAAGTTCTGTTCTTCCAAGTTGATAAGCTGTTGGGCAGTGTTCAGCTTCAAGGTGGGATGTGCACCCCTTTCCACTCCACTTGTCTGATCCACTGGGAACTTCGAGAGAAAATGCTGAGTAATGTCAATATGATTCAGAGTGGAAGTGCACGGAAACAGTAGTTCTTAATTGGCCATCTTTCACATTAAAGTAATACAGCATTCTGTTTTCACTACAGACTGTTTACATGATTTGCGCTACTTCAAAAAATGCTGGTTCTAAAACTTAATTTATTGTTTGTTTGTAGGGGAGGGGTGAAAGGAAGGAGTCAACATATGTCCATGCTCAGAGGTTTACTAAACCCATTGGATTGGTTGTCTTTAAATGGCTTGCATTAAATATGCTTGGCAGGGTCCCATTTAAGCTGCTAATAGAGGCAGAACTCTGTACTCAAATAGCTTTACATCACACCACACATTCCCTGTAAGACACCCCTTGTGATTCCCGTTGTGCTCTTTTCTATAAGATTTCCTGAGAGTGTACAGCAGGGGAAGGGGGGCAAAGTACACATTGGAAGCTGCTTCCATTTAAAGCCCCAACAGCAGCCACTTTTTGTAAAGAATAGCAGTTTGGGAAGTGGAACATTTGGGGTGGAGAAGTGCCAGTAGTGGAAAGTGCTTAATTCTTTCCTTCAAAATGTGTAAACATGCAAGGGTAAACATGCATCAGGAACCTTGGGGGAGGAAGCAATTTTGAGTGGGAAAATGCTTGCAAGAGAAGAATTAAGCATCTACTTCCTCACCCCTTCTTTGCTCAGAATTGCTCCCTCCTAAAGAGCCTATTCCTTAATTATAATAAAAATAAAAGAGGCCATTGTTACTCACAGTTGTGTGATTTGATCCAGTAATGCCCCCAAAGCTCTAGTATAGGGGTGAGAACCTTTCTCAGTCTGAGAGCCACATTCTTACATAAGCAACGTTCCAGGGGCCACATGCGAGTAGTGGGTGTAGCAAAAGTAACCACTGTCCATCTAGGCAAACAAACTTAATTACACTTCAACCAGACATTTCAGCAAGGTAAAATATTGCAGAAGGGCAGCGAACAGGGGCGTTGAGGGGTGTGGCCTGGGCCATTTTGAGGGCCTATGGACGGAGACCTATGGAGAGCTCCATTTGTCCCGAGCCTGAGGTTTCCCACCCATGCCATATGCTTATCAAGTTTCTACATTTCTACCTTTCATCAGGGCTGACTCAACAAAGCTGATGCCTCCTGGATTATTACTCATGGAGGGTGTGACCCCTAATTCCATAACCCCAACTCTGCATAGCTGGTGACCTACTTATGGAATTGATCTCATAATCCCTGGCTTCCTGACCTTCTATTGACAGCATTCCTTGTAATAATAATTGCTGAGGTCAGACAGTCTGATTCAAGTATCATCTTTTCTGTTTTAAGAACAAGGCAGCGGCTCCTAGCAAGAGAAGTCCCCCTCCCAAGGAGCCCATTTGCCATCACCCACCAGAACAGAAGGGAACAGGTAAGATTTGCTACAGTTGTAGAGTCTTCAATACTTGCTGACTTTCTACCTCTTGGCTTCTGCTTTCTAATCTCATGAGACTTATGGCTAGTTGGTTCCCAAATTACTTTTGCTCACTTGCTCAGAAAGTGAATGCTGGGACCTGAAAAGAAACAGGTCAGGCGGTTCAGTGATAGCAGCTTCTGCAAAATCAACTGATTTTGTTGGAAGAACACATTTCTTCTTGTTCATCCTGACAATCCTGTTTAGACAAAAACAAACCCTTTCCCTTTTTACTGTTTTGCTCTGTGTTGTACAGTGTCTGGCTAGCCCACACCTCTTTCTTAACTGACAGTCTGTGAATATGAGTGCCAGGTGGGGAGAAAGGAAATTGGAAGAACTTTTGGCAGAAGTGGATTTAAAAACATACACAATATTATTTGGACAAGCCGGTAGGTATTTTGAACTTTCTGTACTTTGTCACTTTGGGCAAATGTCCAGGTCAGGAATTCAGACATTAAGCAAGAAAGTCACTCAAGAGATCTGTGACAGGTTTATATATATTGTTCTATTTATCAAAATTTATATACCACTTGATTGTTTTAAAACCTCTAAGCAGTTTACAATAAATATTTAAAATATCAATAAAAATTGTTTAAAATAATTAAAAATAACTGAAATGAACAGTATGAACATTTAAAACACATTGACATGTACATGTCTGGATAGACTTTCCTAAACAAAAATGTTTTAAGCAGCCACCAAAGAAATTAGTCCCCGTGAACAATGCTGGATCAGCACTGGTAGATCTGAACTTACATCTAAATTCTCATTTCTCTTACATCCCTTCCTGCAATTTCACCGCTTTGTCATAAAGAAGCACAGAGGAAAAGTGTCTGTTGCCAGCTTCGTCATAAGGAATGGCTTTAATTGTAGGGTGGAGAAGCTTAAGGTACCTTCCCATGCTTGTGTAATTGGAACAGCTGTATCAGCAGCTGTGTGGCGTATGCAAAGACAGATGCGTACCTTCCCATTTTAGTTTCATTCGATATCTTGTCTTGGACAACTTAGTTGTGATTAATGTCATAAGAGATGAATGCTTAAAGTTTCCCACCCCAAATGCTATTGTTTTATTTTGATGGTTTTTATGTAAATCACTCCCAAGATTTTTAACATATTCTGTGGTACAATTTCATAGGCAGAAAGCATATAATCAAACTGCAGCAGCCTTATTCTCCTATTTTATTTCTTAAAAACTACTTTGTGAGTAGGTGCTTTATAGAGCAGCATAGGAGAAAATGGTTGGGGTGTTTATGGCTTTATCCAGTTCTCTACTCTAAATGCCCCAAACTACTTTCCAGCCTTTGTTTGCTATCATAAATGTGCTTTTAAAATCCAACAGGAGTAAAAGCAGCAGGCCGGGTTGCAGGCAGGGTTGGAACAAAGAAGCAGTAGTATCTCCCCCTACTTCTTGGCTCAAAATCCACCCTTTTAGAAGTGCTTTTACCTGGGAAAATACAAGGACTATGGGATCCTGTGACCATGGGTCACAAGTACAGTGGTGCCCCGCAAGATGAATGCCTCGCAAGACGAAAAACTCGCTAGACGAAAGGGTTTTTCGTTTTTTGAGGTGCTTCGCAAGACGAATTTCCCTATGGGCTTGCTTCGCAAGACGAAAACGTCTTGCAAGTTTGTTTCCTTTTTCGTAAAACCGTTAATACCCAGGGTGCATTGCTTGAAGAGGTGCAGTTGCGACTTGACTTCAAGGAGCAACTCATAGCACGCGGTGTGGTAGCCTTTGTATGTATGCAGCTCCCAAGCTGTCTGTTGTTTCACCACTTGTCCTTTATTTCAGCCCTTTTATTTTGCACTTAATTTGTACCATCATATGTCGGCAGCCATGCATCTTAATCATTTTCCAATTCCAGCACAAGCTATGCACCCAACCACACATGACATGTGCTAATTAAGAAAAAAGTATGACAGGCAAACTGGCCTAGTTTAATATTTCAGTGGGCTCCATTCAGTTTCCTCTCGGTAGTTTTTGTTTGTGTACACATGTACAGGATTCAACATGTTTTATTTTCTTTTCCTATGGAGCGAACCAGCTTTTCCTGCCTTCTCACACATGTATTTATCATCTTATTGAATGCTGATCTTAGTCATCTATCTTCTGTCACCAAATCATCAGGCAGGCCCTTTAACTTGTTTATTTTGTAAAGTATAGCATGAAGTATATTCATTAAACATTGGTTTGTGGATTTAAAAAGAGAGGGGGGAATACATTTTCAAAGGGTTGCAAAACAACTCCAAAATTGGAGGGAGAGAATGGCTGGTTCTTGTGGCATCACAAACCTATTAAGTGTTGTGCACAGCTGACTTCTGCTGCAAACTGGCAGGACTGGTATTCCCTGAATTCAGCCATGGGATGGGGAACGTGAATGAACCAAATATGTTTCTTAAGTGGCTCCACTGCTAAAACAATGCATATTAGCATTAATCCTTTGCCTTATTTATTTAATATCAAAGTATTTAGGAACATAGGAAGCTGTCTTACTAGCTGGCAGGCCTCTCTGTTGTTTCAGGGTTTCAGGCAGGGCTCTCTCCCAGTCCTATCTGGATATGACAAGGACTGATCCTGGGACCTTCTACATACAAAGCAGATGCTCTATCACTGAGCTACAGCCCTTCTGTATTATACCTTTCCTTTTTGACTGGGAAAAAAAATCAAGATCACTAATACAAGGGGCCTTACTGCTTCTCTCTCTCTTGGTGTTGCCTTCAAAGTGGCTAGTCCCTGACAGAGTATATAAACTTTTAGAGCATGCGCCCTTAAGAAACAGTGGACATGCAAACACTTCACACTGACTGAATGTGCCAATGCCATCTAGCATTATTTTTCTCCATACAGTCATGCAAAATGTCTGAGAAACCACAACACACTGGACCTTCTCAGAGAACACTATTCTGACCGTAAAGGGCCAAGTATGACTATTTTCCAAAGCACTAGATCCAAAAGCATAAAAACATTTCAAGTGCAAATTGTCCCTCTCAGTTGCTTTCCCCCTCATTGGGGGGAGTAGGGAATACAGGAAGGGAATTCTATCAGAAAAATGGAGTAAAGATACACACAACCCTTTCCCCACTGCTTCTCTGCTACATATCACCCCCTCCTAAAGTTGTCTGTTACACGCACTTATATGCAATGCGTAGTTAAGCCTCCAAAAATAAATATAAACTTGGGTTTGTTAATGGTTTTTTGACAGTTTCTCATTCAGCAAACAATGCATCTAACAGCAATACTCCAGCAAACTTCCTGCTCCTCCTCACCCATCAAAACATAACCCACCCTTCTTCCTTAAAGAAACAAAAATAGAAATGGAAAATTAAAAATACTATTAATAATAGCAACAGAAATATTTCTCTGTGTCCCATGCATACAATTATATATATATCTAGAATTATGTAATTGAAGTGGCCATCCTTCTGCATTTTACCAGATGGGACCCTTTTATGAGCAACCAGCTGCAGGAGATCATACTACAATACTTGGTGCCACTCTAAATTTTCAGTGCCTCAAGATTATTCTTTTAGCTAAATAATTCCCTCTGCCAGTCCCCATTTATTTTATACATAGACAGCTATTGCATTTACACCAGTAATTTCTAAAGACACAGTCAAAACTAAACTTACTGCATTCTAGTTTGAACCACTTTCCAAAAACTGACAAAGTTTTTGTCTGGGCTTTGCCAAAGCAAATGAATTAAATCTGCTTGCTCCAACTCACACCTCCAGCACCTATCATTGGTTTGAATGCCCACATGCTTAGACCATGCCAACATCCAATTAACCTTCTGCAAAACATTTTGCTCCATTAACTTTAGGCAAAGATCCTAAGGAAAACTTTATATTATGTAAAGCTGACCTCCAACATGCTAGCTGAAATTTATTTTTGAGCTCCATATTTCATTTAAATCTATCTGATCTAAATTAGAGATTAACCTGTTGTGCATCACAGAATACAAACTTTTGCTGGATCTCTTAAAGACCACCACTGCATGTGCTTAAACTGCATATGTAACCCACTGCTGTATACTGCATTAAGAAGGTGGGAGAGGCCACCATTATGGACTAGTGCATTACCTCAGAACAGTTTGATGCTTGTTGTTTGCTTTTTGTTAAGCTGTGAATTCTTGAAAACAGGTTCCTTGTTTGTTGATGTTCTTTATGTTATGAAGGACTGATAGTTTTAGCTTCCGAGTGCGAACCCCTCCAGCCAGCATTAAGACCAAGCTCAGAAAAAGGGTTTTGTGGTGACACAACCGGAAAGACAGAATTTTGGGAGGGCAGTGCTGAGTTCTATTAATTTCATACCATTTATGTAAATTGTATCATTTATGTAAAATCCTTATTAATGTACTACAGTATTGTTTGATGTTTGAGAGCTTTATGACCAGCTGTCACCCTGTTGCAGACAGTGACCCAGCAGAGGACCTGGTAGAGGCAGTGACTATAAAAGTCCTTCAGGAACCTCTGTACCTTAACTGCATAGTAACAGGTTCTTTCAGAGGTCATTTATGCTCAGCTTCCTTTGCTTCTGATCTGTTTTGTTGACTCTGGATCCCATCTCCATACTTATTCATCAAGTATGTGGGGTAAAATACTTTCACATGATTGAACATATCATAGTTGTAATATGGAACGACATGTATGCCCCAGATTGATTATAATGCCAAAAGCCCTAGACTCAAGTGGTCCTGCTTTGGCTCCAATCTGGTTGGCACAGAGGCAAAAAAGTTGCTGAGGTTGGAGAGATGGTGGTCACCTGGAAGGGGGACTAAGGGACTGTACAGTACTGCTCTACCGTTCTTGTGAGAAGAGGCTGTCCATGAGGCATTGGGGTCCTGAGCAGGCATAAGACGTTACAGGTCAACTTAACACTTTGAATTGAGCCAGGCGAAAAATTGGCAGCTCTTTCAGTTGTGCCAGAATTTGAATTCTATGTTCAGACTGCCCTGTGCCGGTCAACAATCTGGCTACCAAATTCTGCAGCTGCTGCAGTTTCTAAACCATCTTTGAAGGCAGCTAAGGTATAACAAAGTGCATTAATCCAACCTAGAGGTTACCAGAGCATAGACTGGACTTCTCCACGACCCTTCCCTCTGCAGGGAGGTGGGACTGATTCAGATGATATGCCCCTGCTACTTAATGGACCCAAATTATTTCCAGAGAGTGGTAGGAGATATTTTACCCCATGTTGATGGCCTTTCAGCTGATTCCCTGGTGATCCGCTGGAATGCGGAGTTAACCAGGGCTATCGACTGTCTGGCTCCGAAGCGCCCTCTCCAATTGCATGGAGTCTGGACAGCCCTGTGGTTTTCCCTGGAGCTGAGGGCAATGAAACAATCGTTGAAATGGCTAGAGCGCCGGTAGTTAATTTTATTGTTATTTTTAGATTTTAAAAAATTTATTGACTTTTCCCAGTATGTATTTGAAAAATGGTACATTTTAAAATACAAAAACAAGGTTTGAAATAAATATTATGTAATTAAAGTTCTTCTAACCCAAACTATAGATAATATTCACTTAACTTTTTAATCTACTACTCACTTCTAGAGACCTCTACTTTTTAAAACTCCCAGCTATGCACCCTTTTCTGATTCTGCTACTAACCCTCTGCTTGTGATTTCTCATGCTCCTAAAATGAGACCAGGACTATTTTTAGTATATAAAAGTATGCAAAGCACTACAGCTCCTAAGCTACGCTGATGGAGCTAAATTGTCTTTATATTTTTATTCAAATGTATGTGGAAATTTAGTAACATGAGGTTTAACTAATTTATTTATTGATAATCTATTTGAGTAAATCTTTCTTATAGTGGTATAGTGGTATCATTTGTCTGCCCAAATGTCATCCACATGACTCACTCCCTAAAACTGCATACTATCCTTATATAGAATTCAACAGATAAGTATAATTGCACTGAAGAGGGCTTTTAAAAAAACAACCAAAAAAACAACCAAACCCCACAACACTATCCTTTACAAAATGCTTTAAATCTTTCTGCACTTTCAGAGAATCACTAGGGCAATAAGGGAACCCTAAAGTGCTGATTAGCTGCTGCTCCTGAGCCACATTTTTGCTTTCCTAAGAAGTTGCTGAAACATACCCCATGTGTTGTCATCCCCCAAACTTGTGTCCTTTCTGCACTTATCTGCACAGCAAAGCCAGAATCATTGGCAACCCTATTCACATGCAAGGGGTTGTGAAATACATGTACTGTACTTCTGGTTGTGTGCAAGTTTTTGCTGTAGCCAATAGAATTGACAAGCACTCGCCTCTATCTGAAACCACTCTCAAGTTCAGCTGGTTGGTTGGCTGCTGCAAAAATATCCCAAACTCTGCTGGCTGCTCTTAAGATTCTCCCTTATCCATCCACAGGATAGTCTAGGATTGCAGCCTAAAAGTGTTACAAATGTTACTCACTTGTTCCACTCAGTCCACATGCCTTTCCAAAAAAAGGAAATACGAGATGATAAGCTGTAGTGGCAAAGCTAAGAAGACATTGCCTAACTGCTGTTTCATATATTATCTGGCAGAAGATCTTGGCTTTGTCAACAAGTTTTCACTGGACGTGGGAGTCTCAGCCAGTTGCCGTTTCTCACTGGTGAAATTAATTTCACGATGCTGTTTGCGAACGCGAGCTGGCGACATTCGCACGTTACACTGTGGAACCCAATCCTTTGCCTTTTCTATATTTTGTTATTAAAAATTGTATACCGCCCGTCAACTACCGATCTAGGGCGGTTCACTAAGGCCCACTAGGCTTCCCTGCCGATAAAATGTGTGCAGGAATGCAGCCTTCAGGCATCCTGAGGGGAAATTTAAAAGTAACGCGGAAAACTATGGATGCCGCTCCTGGTGTATTTTTGTACGCTGCGACATTTTTCAACAACCCCGTGGAACGCCTGCCGCAGCCCTCAGAAGTGCGACGCCGCACTAAGACGGCGAGGCGCCGCCTTTCCCAATTCAGGTGCGACAACAGGGCTGCCGGCGAACAAGCGAGCAAGCGCCTCCCGCGGAAAAGCCGAGAGGCCGAGAAAGGCAGCGAGCGGGAAAAACGCCTCTCCTCGCGCTCTCCCCTCCCGCCCACTCCCTTTTCTTCGTCCCTCCCCTCGGCTCACGCTAGGAGAATGAACGTAGGAGATTCCGGTAGGCGGACTCCTCCCCCCTTTCCACGGTGCTGATTGGCCCCTTCCAGCCCTGTCGTCGATAGGCCACGCGGAAGAATCGGCGGGCGGCCATTGGCCGGGGTGATCGGAATTAGGGAGCCGTGCGCACATCAGCAGGGAGGGTGCGCGGGGTCGTGTGCAAACCGCGTGTGGCGCAGCCAGCAGGGACTCAACGGCAGCGGGTGGAAGAGAGAGAGAGAGGCCAAGTCAAGTCGCGCGCACGCGGAGCAGCGGAGAGGGGGGGCAGGAGAGCAGGAGCGGGGAGAGTCCATCGCCGCGCGGGGGAGGTCCAGCTTCAACCGACGACAGAACCGAAAATCGAGAGAGAGGTAACCCTCGGCGAGGTAGGCCGACGGGGTTGGCGTAGTTTGAGGTGGGGACTGAGTGAGGAGAAAAGCTCTGGGCGGGGTGAGGGAAGGAGGGCGCTGGCTCGTTCCGGCCTACTGCGCGGGAAAAGGAAAAAAACACCGTACTCGGCCGCGGTTGTTTCTGAGGAAGACGGGAAGAAGGGCTCGCTGAGGGCGCTCTGTGGTCGACCCCCTCGCGGGAGGGCTGAGGCGGTTGCAGGTAGGTGGGCTCCTCGTTCCCGCCTTCTGGGCCGGGAAGGAGACGGGGGCCACCTCCCGCGCTCGGGAGGGAGACGGGACGGGCGGGTCCTGCCCGTCACGAGAAGCGCTCGTTTGGTCTGGGCCCTGTTCAGGCCCTGCGCGCCTGCGCGTGAGATTTCAAACGGGCCGCGAGGGTTGGAGTTGGACGTGGACACATCATGAGGCGGAGGGAGAAGAGGCCTTCGCTCAGCACGCGAGGCTGCTCTCTCTTCTCCCCCACCCTCACGGCCGCTCCCCATAACAGTGTCGTCGTGGGAGTGTGTCCTCGTGGGGAGGCTCGGGACCTCAAAGCGAGGCGTTCCGCGTGGGGCCGCCCTCTAGCTAGTTCGGGAAAGGTGCTCGTCTCCGATGGCGCCGCCGCCTTCCCCGCGCGTCCTCCACGTGTTCGGCTGAGTAACTCGCAAGAGGAGCCAGCTAGTTAGCCGATCCATTGTAATTCACGGCCGTGTCTGTGACGCTCGAAGATGGCGTGTGCTGCTGTCCGCCCATTGGCGAGTGTGGCGCGCTCCTCGGTCGGGGAAAGGCGGCGCGCCCGACCCTCAGTTGGGAAACAAGCCCCGCTGGCTCCAGTGGGACTTGATCTCAAGCAAGGCGGGTGTGCTTGCAGCCTTGAGACGTGTGTGAACCGCTGATCATTCTGCGAAAGTGTGATGCACTGCTAGGTGCTTTAAGTAACACGGGCGACAAGCACGGTGCTTGGAGGACTTGACAGTGTAAAATCCAGTGGAGACAGCCAAGGACTTTATTGTAGTATTCTGTATCACTTGAGTACTATTTAAAGGAATAGGCTGAGGAAGAGTTCAAATGAGCCAAGCAGTCTGTGTTCTGATGGAGAGGTCAGTTACTAAGGAACAATCTGGGAGGAGGAAGCCTGAAAAAGCAGGTGACTTAAAAAGTGGCACCAGAGCATTATTAACCAGAACTACTTCTAAAGTACATGGAAATCTTGCACGTTGTTGATTCTGTTGCTACTTTTTGGGCAAATCATAACTAAATACCAAATTCCCAGTTGAATCCTGGCTGAAGCACGATTGTGAATTTTGTGTAACAGATGCTCTTCACTACTTGGTAACTGCAGGTCCTCTGAAAGTAAGGCAGTGGCATACTTGTGTATGTCCTGATCTGGTCGCTTTATAGTGCTCAAGGAAGTTTATATTGATGCAGGTCTCAGTTGCTTATGCTACTATGATTACATTTGCATTTAAAATGTTCTAGGATTATTAAGTGTTTGTAGCAGGTTCATACTGTTGCCCTTTAGGAATTTAACATATGTTTACTTTGTCATTTAAAGCATTTTTATGCTGCCTCATAGAAAAGTTATCTGGGTGACTTAAATTGCTTAAATAAGAGAAAAATTGTATACAAATAAGGCATAGAATCATGAAATATAACAAGTTATTGCACCCCCAAAACTAAAACAGATTTAAAAACAGATGCCCAAGCTACATAGTTTATTTAAAAGCCTTGCCTAGTTGGAGTGTCCCTTTGGCTGAACTGTTAAAGCTAACTATTAAATAAATATACTTGTCTGAGCTCCTAAGCCAGTGGTGGCCAAACTTTTTCCAAAGAGGGCCAGATTTGATGAAGTGGAGGGCCAACCAAAGTTGTTGAGCTTTTTTAAGGATTTTACCCCAGGAAATAAACTGCCACAGGGGCCGGATTAGGTCCCCGAAACAGACTTTGGACATGCCTGTCCTAAGCTGTGCTGGGTCTTGGCCTTTTCAATGGCAGCTATTAACTTACAGAACTGAAAAATCTGGACAAAGTCTACTGTGATAAATGTGGGACAAAAGGTGGAAAATAATTGCTTCATAGTGACAATAAAGATTTCATCAGAAAGGTATCAAATTGTGTTTATAATCATTTTCTGGTAAATTTCTCTTCATTGCCTTCACACTGCATTTCAGAAGCATTCTGAGTGCCTCTCACAATAGTGCGAGTTGGAAATCTGATCCTATCTATTTCCCATGTTATCCCTGAGTATTAGAGAACTTGAGCATATTCCTATAATGTAGGCGTAGTTCACCTAAGGGCTGCATGGGTGGTTGGTGAACAGTTAAGCCACTTGCCATTGGATATGGCCAAATGCAGTGTAGGGCTGGGCTATTATCATACACTTCACTATTTCTTGATTGTGATGGGGAGAAAGGCATCTTCCATTTCCTACTAGTGCTCTCTGCCATTTACAAGGAGTAGAAGGCACATGAAGATGGTGCTTCCCATCACAATTGAGCTTACTCCAAGGCAGCAAAATTTGATGGTGATCAGGAAATGTTGGGGGCAGGTGCCTTGGGCACCTGTGATAATTGTTAGAAACTCAGATGTGTAAGCTATGTGCCAAATGGCTCCTTAAATTATGGTTACAGTCGCCAAAACGGAATTCCTAGTTACCATTTTGGGGCCAGACTGCTCTAAAGTCATATTTTTAAATACAGCATTTGGTTCCTGAAATTCATTCTGATTCTGCAGATAAAATATAACAGATAGAATTCTACAGCATGTGTTGCTGGTGTGTGAAAACAAAGATCCAAGGATCCCCAGGCATGCAACTCCAGATGGTGGAGGTGTCAGGCGTCATCCTAGTGCCTGGGCATCTTCACATGGTCGCAAGTGGCTGATAACCAGGTGCAAAATGCGCCTGATGATTTCAAACATTGCCTCTGATGGATCACATTGTAGGTTTGTGAGGGCTGCATGTGGGACATGACTCATGAACTGCCCAAGTGCTATACTGTTATTTCTTATTTAGCAACAGGCAGTAGTTTTACAAGGCACAAAATTTATCTGCTATTAATAGTTCATGGATATAAGCTTTTTCTAACACAGAGATGGGTGTCTATATTATTATACTGTGCACCTGTTTGCCTTCTCTGGAGTCATTGAAATGGTGCAGGAAGGGGAGATTTATCTTGAAAGTAGGGAGAAGAAAAAGTAATAGGATATACTTGGAAGGAAGTGACATAACGCATCAGAGATTTTTACCTCATGTAGTTCCTGGGGGGGGGGGGATTATGTGTTGGAAAAATAGTCATGGGGATGGACTATACCTAAATGGAGCAGAGGGAAGATGAATGAACTAGAATGAATGAAAGGATAAGAAGGTATAGGAAGAGGTTTATGCGAAAGGCCAAATGAGGCAGTATGTGGGAAGAATTGTGGCTTGAGAGGAGAACTGGTGGAAGAGGAACAAAGGAGACAAAAGATAAGTCAGAGCCAGTATAGAGTGGGGAAGAGACACTAGTTGGTGCTGACAGCAGCCTATGTCATATTTCAATACACACTCTCACAGGATGCCTGCTGAAAGATGGACATCTGTACCCCTGAGTTCCAGCAAGAATGTGCCAAATAACTTAATAGAAAGGAGCTGACTCTTAAAATGTGACAGGAAGGGCTTAGGTGCTAGTTTTTTATTCATATGAATTGTATTGGCTATTCAACCCTGTTCACATGCTGCTCACATCGGTAGCAGATAAAGATCTTATTGGGTGGAGAAGAACCAGCTACATCTCCTGAGCTCTTGGGAATAAAGGGAAGGGTGGAGAACTGTTACATTGCTTGGACTCCTTGTATGGAAGATGAGATAATGCCAAAAGAATGATGGTATGTAAATGTAAATAATGAAATTAGTACATGAGCAAAGTCAGATAAAGGAAAGTGAGGTTCACAACAGTAATTTGTAACAGGTAGAGTTGGATGTTATCCTCCATGTTAGGTTTAGAGTATAGCCATTGGACTTAATGTGCTGTATTATTAGAAATTTTGGGTTAAGTTGTGTCAATACTGTGAAAAATGAAAGCAGTTTACATTTGAACAGTATTTATAGGTAGTTTACAAGGTGGCATCAAGCACTTCAGCTCTTGTAAATGTTATTATATAAATACATTATTCTAAAAACATTTCCCCTCTTTCTTAGGAAACCTAATTGCAGCAATGAGCAGCAACGAGTGCTTCAAATGTGGGCGTACTGGCCATTGGGCTCGGGAGTGCCCTACTGGAATGGGTCGCGGGCGTGGAATGCGAAGCCGTGGCAGAGGTATTGTCCCACCCCCAAAGCATATTGTACAAATTGCAAGTAAACATTAGTTAGTCTCTTTTAACAACTCATTTGGTAGCCTAGCCACAGCTGCTAGGAATTAAATGTAGGTGAATAAGTAGGTATGTGGAGGGAGGGACTGATCACCTAGTCCTTTAGGTTTTGAAAAGAGCCACAGAGGAAGAAAAGTTTTCCTCCAACACAATAGCGGAAATGCAATGGAAGGGGTGAGCAGAGTCATTCCTTCTCTGCCAGTATCTCTGGGAGATGTCATGATTGGTTTGGTTTGGTTTTTTAACTGACTGACTGGTTTTTTTGTGGGCTTATTTACACAGCTGCTTTAATATTGTTCCTATTTACAGTGCAATAGAGTGAGCAAAAATAAATTGGTATGCTCTTTTTTGTGCCATTATGTGGTTTAACTATGGTACATGTAGTACCACTACTGAATTGTTAAATGGCTTTATCTTTCTAAATAGGCTTCCAGTTTATGTCATCATCACTCCCAGACATCTGTTATCGCTGTGGTGAATCTGGTCATCTTGCCAAGGATTGTGATCTTCAGGAGGATGGTAAGTATTTCTAAAGTTTGGATGGGGAGAAACATTGCCAGTTAATTATGGGACGTAACACAATGTTAAGCACATATTCTGCAACTCTCTCCAGGTTTTATAGTCTTGTTTGTCTCCTTTTTCTTATTGTGGAAGCCTGCTATAACTGCGGTAGAGGTGGCCATATTGCTAAGGACTGCAAAGAGCCCAAGAGAGAGAGAGAGCAGTGCTGCTACAACTGTGGCAAACCTGGCCACTTGGCTCGCGACTGTGACCATGCAGATGAGCAGAAGTGCTATTCTTGTGGGGAATTTGGACACATCCAAAAGGACTGCACCAAAGTGAAATGCTATAGGTAAATCAACAAATGTGAATATTAATCCCATTATGCTGACCTTTAGGTCTCTTATAAACAAATTGTGTATTTACAATAAAATATATGGGGTTAGTTAACATTTGGATTATTTTTTTTGCAACGGTTTCTACCGTAATAAAATTTGTTTATTGATTTTCTTTCTGTGTCCCATTAAATTATTTTGTGCTCTTACCATAGAACTCGTGATTTGTAACTTCTCAAGTTGCTAATACCTCATTGCTCACTTGGGTAAACTCCAAAAATTTTAGGGTCAACTAGGTTTCAGTAAGGGTATGACTGTACAAGTGTAGAATGAGTTTATTTTGTGAAGAGGCTGAAAACATGGGACATAGGAATCATGTCTGCAATGTCCCGAATACTATACAGTAGTGTTTCTATGGATGTACTTTGTGTGTGGGACTGAAGTTCTGTCCTGTCTGATTGCAGGTGTGGTGAAACTGGCCATGTAGCCATCAACTGCAGCAAGACTAGCGAAGTCAACTGCTATCGTTGTGGCGAGTCAGGACACCTTGCACGGGAATGCACAATTGAGGCTACAGCTTAACTGTTTTCCTTTGTCGCCCCTCCTTTTTCTGATTGATGGTTGTATTATTTTTCTCTGAATCCTCTTCACTGGCCAAAGGTTGGCAGATAGAGGCTATTCCCAGGCCAGTGAGCTTTACTTGCCGTGTAAAAGGAGGAAAGGGGTGGAAAAATCGACTTTCTGCATTTAACTACAAAAATGTTTATGTTTAGTTTGGTAGAGGTGTTATGTATAATGCTTTGTTAAAGAACCCCCTTTCCGTGCCACTGGTGAATAGGGATGGATGAGTGGAAAGAGTTAAGTCAGACCAGCAAAGCCTCCCTGGGTTCCATGGAAGTGATCATATGCAGGAGGAAAACAAACTGGAAGTGTCTGAACTTCCACAGTAACTAATTACAATAATGGCCTTGGATTATCTGACCTCAATAACTGTTATAACACCGAGTATCTGTATCAGGCCTTACCTAGAGCGTATCGCTAAGTGGGATAAACAAAACAATGCACATGCCTGTTAATGGCCACGAGAGTGAGGGAGAAATCGAGAACTGAAGTAACAGTAATACAATAAGTGAATGTCTAATATGAGATAACAAGGTAATGGGAAACATTAAATATTTCAAATTAAATCAAACCCAGAACATCAGTGCTTTAGAGCATACACAATTTGGAGCTATTCAGGACTTGCAAAGAAATGCATTTTCACAGAAATCAAGATGTTATTTTTGTATACTATATCACTTAGACAACTGTTGAGTTTCATTTGCTTGTAATCAGTTTTTAAAGTCAGATGGTAAAAGCAATTGAAGTCCTAGAATATAGAAATGTAATTTTAAACTATCAATAAAGCTGGAGGAGGAAGGGGAGTTTGGCTGAAGTTTTTTGTTTGGGGTTTATTTTTCAGATACATAGTACAAATTAACATTACAGAGGCAAATGTGGAAGAATAAAAGCTGAACATTGACTATTGTACCACAACTGTATTATACAAAGTTAATTGCTGTATCATTTAAACTGTAGAATTGTCAAATACATCACTTCAGCAGCAATATTTGCATTCTTTTTTCTCTGCATGGATTGACAAACCGCAGAATGACCAGTCATTAGGAAAATTATTTTATATATAGTATTCCTAAAGATACTGTCCAAGAACACAATTATATATATTGTGTTAAAATCCTGTAGTCTTTCAAATTTCACATTAGGAAAACTACATTATGGACAAAGTACATTTTGTGGTGGAGAAAGAAGTATGTGAAGAGTACATTTCATTCAAGTAATGACATGGAACTAGCAGTGAAGGGACAAACTTGTAGGTGTGTGCCCCACCCTCGCATTTACCTGTGGTACCAAAGGTGGCTTATATCAAACCAATAAATGCTGTCAGCTGATATTGCAGTCAAACAGGCCTGCATGGAATTTCTAAATACTCCCAACAGCAGCAATTAGTGCTAGAAAGCATGTCTAATAATATGTATTGAGACAATGACATCTAAAATAAGAGGAATAAAATTTCATCATGTGGAAATTTCATCATGTGGAAAACTGCTCCTTGTGTGACCAGCTCTTCCTTGGGAGAAAATGGAGCAATAAGGAGCCTATCTTTGGCCATTGTCAGTATGAACTAGGAGGAGAGGGAAGTAAGTATGTGCACCTTCACCCCCTGATTTTGCAGGTACTTGATGCTTTACTGCTGGAAAGTGACCTAGTAGGAAGTTGAAAGGGACCCATGCTCTGGTTAAATGATTTACCTAGCAATTGATGTTTATGTTAAGTCTTTATTCTATCCAATTACCCATCACATTAAAAGTTTCCACTTACTTGGGAGAAAAAAATTATGCAATTCTTCAGCCTTTATATTAGAAAAAATCACTTAACTGGCATGTTATTCAAGACCATGTTACTAGTAAGGGAGACAAGAATGTAGGTTGTAGTTGAGGTTGACTAAAGATAGAAGTAGATTCTCTTCTTGCCTGCTGGGGAGAAGATGCATGGATATTCAAACAGCAAAATATCTGGTAACAAGACTGCTTGATCTATATCCCTTAAAGCTTATTGCTAGAACCAGGTCTCTGCCAATGACAACTTCTTGGAAGTCATTTCAGCTCTGAAATGTCAACTGGATTTCAGCTATGTGGAGGCTAATGAGACTTGGTAAAATTTGGTCAGTGCACCCTAAGAGTTGAACATACAGCACTGGGAAAAGGAAGATTCTGCTTGGCCAATAGTATTCTGTGACAAATACAAAAAATGGTCTGCTATAAACAAGCAAAGTACCATACGTGTGAGACCCTCTTAACCAACGTCCCATTAATTTTGTTTTTCTTTGGTGCAATACAGTGGAAAGAGCCTAGCAAAGTATTTTTTTTCAGTTCCAATATAACACAATCATTAGCTGAATGAGTAATGCAGGTCTGATGTGTTCTCTGAATACAGATTTCTTTTGCCATAAAAATTGGTTGGTACACACATTTTGATACTGAATGCACAGGTAGGGTAATGCTCAAATGACAAAACCTTCAAAAGAAGTTCGTGATTTCAGTCTTACGTAGAATTAATATAGCATACTAATAACCTTAACTGGGTGATAGCCAGTGTTAGACTAGAAACTCGGGAAAAGTGAACTTGTCCATTAATTTCAGTGGGTGTACTAAGGGCTGGATTTCATTTGATGTGGCCCCTAGTTTTGAAATGCTGTTGAGCTAGGCCCAGGACATTATTTCACAAAAGCTGGAATTTCTGACAATCCAGTAAAAATATTCAAAAAACCTGGATAACAAAAAGGGATATAGAACGTGTCCCTTCTGTTCACTCACCCAAGCTCCCTTCATACTAAGAAGAGAGTTACAACCTTGGTTTTACAGCTCAAGATGCATAGCACTACGTTCAGGTCAAAGTAATTCAGGAGCAAAGATTCACATCGCTGTTGGACGAAGAAAGTTCACATTTACAACTTGCATGAAGAACTTTGTTATCAGCTTTGTATAGTTCTGTGTACATGCCTGTCATAGAGCTGACATGGGGAACCTTTTTCAGACATTACATCACATTACCATCTGGGGCCAAACACTCCAATGAAGGGTAGGGCTTGTGCGAGAGGGTATTGAAGGCTCCATTAGGAGAAATTCTCAATACCATCTTCCTCCTGGGTTTTTGGCCAGGCATTGCCTACATCGTTAGTGAATGCGAAGTTTCTAAGGATACTCTTTCTCAATGTTGTGTTTTGTTCCTGTGCAATCACAGAAAATACAGCTTTGTATACAACCTTGCCGAACTGTTCATGGTAGGTTAGTATTTCTGTACTACAAATATCCTAAGATTTCTAGTTGGGTAAACATTTGTATGCTTGCTGCAATTCCCTGACACTGGAGCTGCATATTTATGCCTGGAAATAAGTGCCATTGAGCACCATGAGATAACATTGCATAGTAAACAGATTTGGGCTTATGCCTTTTAACGTCAGTAATAATTTTATCCTTGGGAATTACCCTTCAGCCTTAATTCCTTTGTTAGAAAACTTACTTTCCCAAGCAATACAGCTGCCAATTCATTATGCTTGCTGCTATACACTAGCAGCATACTGTTACAGCGGGTTATTCTTGGTTCTTGTGTAACATTTCTCACAGAAATGTATAGTACGCTAACATGTCTCAAAATGATTTCCCCTCATTTTCAATTACATATACCAGCTTGACTATAAAATGTGAACCTAAGGATGAGTTCACATTGATATGCTCCTAGCACTGTATGCACTTGACCAATAGTATGGTCTTAATTTACTTACGGAAGTTCTTGAGCAAGTTGGTTCAGGAATTGGTGGGGCCAGGACCCATACCTCACCTAAGGTGGGTCACACATGTGCCACTAAAACCTCATACATGGGTCCCAGAGGTTGAGGACTACTGCTGTAACATGTCATATCCTCTTATATAACTTGCCCCCTTTCTTAATCCTCCATCCTTCTGCATGTATTGCATGGGCCTATGGGGAATCTACTGCTTCTCATTCTGCAGATAAAACAGGGAGGAATAATTATAGCTTATACATCACTGTGTGGCAGTGCAAACAGTACATTACTGTTAAAAGCGCTATGTAGAAAGTACTGTGATTGACTTAGTATGCCGTAAACAATGACTTATCCATCATGACACCCATTCAGTGCTTTGAGAATGGTATTTCACAGTGCTTGCAAGTTAAACACTGCTACGAAAGCTAGCATTGTTCTTACGTGGTTTTGCTTCTACTCATTTATGCGTATGGTTATCACTGATGTTAAACTTTTCCTATGATCCATCATAATTTACTTGAAAATTATAATGCATTGGTAGAAAGATTGAATTTGTATGAGGAATTAACTCCTTCAGAGTAATTTGTGATCAGGAAAAATGATAGAATTAGTAGAGATTTGTTGTTTCCTTTGGTTTATTGAACTTGAGCCATCAGAACCTTTCTGTTCTCCATGAACCTTTAGCATGGAATATCTCCACACAGAACAAGTAGCACTACATTGGCTGCCATTCACATTTATCATCCTTTGGTTTCACAGTGTTTAAGAGGATGGAGAGGGTAATTTATAGGTAGGAAATCACATGTCCAGTCATAAGCTAGCCAGAATCTCAGCTCTAAATACGACGTGTTAGACCATCAGAAGCAGTAAAGATTACTGATGCTTACATAGTTGGGTGTATGGAGTGTTAGGGGAGAGGTAGTACTTCTGGTGGGGGACATGCTGTGCTTCTGGGGTAGTTGTCCACCTTTGGTCCCCACCCTGCACCCAGCTCTCACCTGTGACTCCTAAAAGCTGTTGGTGTGTGACAGCGGTCCAGGAATGGCTTTGACTGGCCAGCTAAATCAGGTGAGGGTAGCCAATGTGTCTTCCCTGCATGCAAAGAGACCAATAGTGGGGCCAACGATTAAGAAAATGGTTTCTGCACATGATGTAGAGGGAAGTGAGGGGCAGATGGAGCTCATCAACCTGGGAAGGTAGACCACCTGGGAGAAGGAAAACTGATCCCAAACCTCCACTGCCTCGCAGGATATTTTGGGGGATTAGAAGACTAAGGAGTAAACCCTACACAGATTCGAAGTGGAGTCCCTAAGAAGACTGGATGGCGCCTTGTATGCCTCCTTCCAGCAATTCCTGCAGCCCAGCTGGTCCCAAATGTATTGCTGTGCTTCACTTTGATCCACATCAGTGAAATCGAGAGGAGGGTCTTGTCATCTGGGCAGTCCAGGACCACCATACATACTGCCCAGGCTTGCACCTTGAGGAGGTCACTTCAGTGCTGCTAATGCAGCAGTTTGACTTCATCCCGGGAGGCACACTACGTCTCTTGAGACAGACAGATGCCAACAACAATACAATTAAAGCTTTGATACTGTGCAGAGTTAGGTACATTTAAGAACACATGTTTGAATGGACATAGGTATACATAACACCACAGGACCAGGCAGTATTGCTGCTAGAATGCTAGATGTTTATTAACATCTTTAGGATCATGCTGTAAAAATGCCTCATTAAACAGAAGGATTTGTCCTCTCCCAGACCTGTAGTTATAGCATGCATCCATCAGATGGCAGAAGTAAATGCTTTTTGAGTTTGTGAATAGCAAAATAACTTCTAGCACCTTCGAAACTTAAAACAATGGTAAATAAGTTCTCTCTGTGGTTTTAGGGGAGGGAGGCAAGAAACACCAGCACCCCCACCCTATTGAGCTTATCATGCTTGGATTAACATTAAATTTCAGTTAACTATACAGCAGTTTGTTTTAGGTGTTCAAAGAACAAATATATTGGTAATTGTTACACTTGTATGACGTCATAGGCCTCTATTCCTACCTCTGTATTGCAGAGGAAGGGGATGCTGATGACTGAATCTGGAAAATGAAGTTATCTCAAGGTCCTCCAGTGAATCCCTGGCTCAATATATATTCTACTTTTGTTCTTTCCCCGACTCCAAGTGTACTGCTGACACTTACATTTGGATTTTATGGACGCGACAACAATCTGAGACTCCTATTTCAATTGTGGATTGAAACTATGTTCCTATTGTTACTGGTGTCTAGGCAATTCAGTCTCAAGCTTAGTACTGGGATTTATTCAGAGTAAAATATGTTTATAATTAGGCTGATAGTTGAATGTCATTGAAGATATTGCATGTGAAGGTAAAGCTGCAATATTTTATCCAGAGCAGGACAGGCAAAATTTTCACATTTGCCTTTTGTGGGGAGGCTGAAATCTTTAATATCCACCCGTACTTACTGTATATTTGCATAACTTTTAGTGTGATCTCAGACAAACCTACCATAGGAAAGATGCATCCTGATTGCTAGTGAGAGAGGAAGGGCAAACTACATGGATTCCAAAGACTAGAACAAAAGACAGAAGCAGACAAGAGGAAAACAACTCTTTAGGGCCACAGGAATTCCCTGGTGTTCAAACAAATCACTTACCAATCATCTGACATCATTCATTGGCTAAAAACAGTGACGGGAGCCTGGCGTGCTCTGGTCCATGGGGTCACGAAGAGTTGGACACGACTAAACAAATAAACAACAACAAGTGACGTGAGCAGTCAGGCTGGCTCATTTCATAGAAATCACTTAGGTGGGTACCTGCCAATTTTGCTTCATAACATTGTTTCTAGGGGGGCTTGAGACTGACTTTAAAGAAAGCTCAGAGATTGGGCCCTCTGCCTGGGGGGACTAACTTTGCAAGTGTCATTGTGCTCATAGGCACCAGATTAGCAACGCTTGGACTAGCATATACTGGGCCAGAGAAGGGCTGCTAACTAAGCAGTCTTTTAATATCAATAGAAGAGGGTGCACATTTGACACCTCCCTGTCAGAAGAACGGAATGTTTTCTATGTAGGTGCATGGGCTGGGCAGGTGTGCCTGCTGAATATCTGCTTGTCACATAGGCTTTGGAAACACAGAACCTCTCCTCACCCCCGTTGTGCCAAATAATTATGCCTCAGCGGCTTGGTTTTGCAATTGTGGAGAGCAGCCACGGTGCTTTTCAATGCACTGCAACTAGGACTTTACTCTCTGTGTGCTTTAAAAAAAGAAAGACGTCCAGGCTTCCTCAACCTCGGCCCTCCAGCTGTTTTGAGACTACAATTCCCATCATCCCTGACCACTGGTCCTGCTAGCTAAGGATCATGGGAGTTGTAGGCCAAAAAAAATCTGGAGGTCTGCGGTTGAGGAAGCCTGACGTAGACAAAAGGTCAAATTCAACGAAGCGCCGTTTCTCATCTCTGCATCTCCATCGGCTGAACGTCCTCTGATTACAAGGGGGGCACGTAACAAAAAGTCGCTCCTTTTCAGTGCTCTTCCATGACACACCGAGCAAGCTCGGTCTTCCCTGGCCCGTGTTTTCCCTCGCGAGGGCTGGCTGCGATTGGGGCTCAGGGTCTGCCTGGGTCCGCTGCTGCTAGGAGAGCAAACAGAAGTCAAAATCAAGCAGCATTAAAAGCCCTGCTGCGGGGTGGGGAATCAAGCGCTTTTGCAGCAGAAACTGCAAAAGGCGGTATACAAATTCAATAAGCACTGTGAACTTTCTTGCACCGTTTCCCGCTTAGCTGTTGCCTCATCAATTTCTCCCATCGCTTCTTGCCCCGCATGAAAAGCACCCTGAGACCTAGAGCCGGAAGTTGCTGCGATTGCAGCCGCCCCCGCGCTCGCTTTAAGGCCAGCCTCTTCCGGGGCGGTGTCCCCTGCGCGCGTGCGCCTGCACCGCGTTGCCGCCAAGGAGCCGTTTCCGCCTCGGAGCCCGCGATCGGCGTAGCTTTACGTTTCTGCGGATCTTCCGCCATGGTGAGTGAATGGGCGGGCGCGCCCTCCCCCGGCGCCTCAGCCAAGTCGGTGCTTTTCTGGGCATCCTCCGGGGGCTTCATTCCCATTTCCTCTATTTCTCTTTACTTATTTCACAACAGTAGCTTGTCATGTCCTCTTTTTTTGCTGCATTATTTCGGTGTTGTTGTTTTTTTTAAAAAAAAAACTGCTGCAAGCTGGCCTGAGCGCTACAAATACAGTGCAAGGGTGGGATATCAACATTTTCAATAGACAAAAATTGCTGTAAGACCATTTTATAGCCCTGGAAATGATGCTGAACCTGTTGAATTTCTGCCTCTCCTGAGTATTTGCTGCACTGCTTGTTTTGGAATGTTAAAACGGCTAAACACGTTGCATACATAAATAAATGCACGCAGCAGTCTCTTTTATATTTCCCCATAGCTGTCCTCTCTTGGCTCTGGGTAACTTCACACCATCAATTCTGCTTCATTCCTCTCTACAGTGACATTCAAACCCATCATGACCAAACGAGTTCTTCAGAAGCAACAGACAGCAGGGTTGTACTGGTGTGGCTAAAAATTGAGGGTGGTATCTGTACAGTGGTATCTCGGGTTACAGATGCTTCAGGTTACAGACTCCACTAACCCAGAAATAGTAGCTCGGGTTAAGAACTTTGCTTCAGGATGAGAACAGAAATCATGCTCTGGTGGCACGGCAGTAACAGGAGGCCCCATTAGCTAAAGTGGCGCTTCAGGTTAGGAACAGTTTCAGGTTAAGAACAGGCCTCCGGAACGAATTAAGTATGTAACCAGAGGTACCACTGTATTCAACTTGCGAGCAACATGTTTTATAGTGGGAAATGCATAAATATCCATATTCTTCAACTGCTTAATTAACTTTAATGGTCGAACAATTTCTACCCTGTGTCTCAGCTTCATATATGGTGGAAACATTAATACCTCCTCATTTTTTATATATTCCAAAACAGTTGACTGGCTCTTTTTTTCTTTTTGAAGACCTTGGCAGCTGCTGGGACTTGGTTACTGATGCAAAATAAGTCCTCACCCTCAAGTGAATGGTAACATGGTCCCATTCACGTCTCACAAGCAAATTCTGGCTATGAGTTGGGATTTGTTGAGAATGAAACCAGCTGTGGTCCCTGGTTCAGATGTAATAAAAAGCCAGAGATGGCAGTTGTTTCTCCCAGTGCAAGTGAGAAGGAGCAAATTATTCCTTTTAGAAACATTCACAGTGATCTATTAGCTATAGTTCATCACAATGTGTGGGCGGCATTATCAAGGGTTGTCTAATTCTGTATAATATATATCAATGTGGCTTAGATGCTGCTGCACTATAAAGTTTATATGTAATAATAAGGCTCTATGAGAAATCTGACCCTTTTACCATCTTGATTGGCCAGGTTTCTATAGTTATCTTTGCATAATATTCTCTAGACTTATGTTTTACTGGTATTCAATTCTCAAATAAAGCCTATTCTCCCACTCTCTCATTTTAGGCTCGAAATGCAGAAAAGGCCATGTAAGTAGTCTGAATATTGATATTTTGTCACTGAGAATATTTTCAGCATATTCTAACAGTTAAACTGCCTTCTGCCTTTGATCCATAACCATTTAAGAAATGTTACTTTGCAATTCTACAGCTTACAATATGTTAATCTTGGTATTCTCTGCCTGTGCTTATTAGTTACATTTTGGACATGGTGTTTCAGACTGTGACAAAGTATTCCTAAAAGACACAATTTTAATATTTTCTCCATTTCTTTATAAGGCTTATGTTTGGTTCTTCCCATGCTAAATCGTATAAATGTATGACACATAAGTTATGAGTATTATGATTTCATATTTTCTGTTTGACGTGGAACTTTCTTCCTTTTAGGACGGCCTTGGCGAGATTTCGCCAAGCTCAGCTGGAAGAAGGAAAAGTTAAGGTAAGCCAGAAAACCAGTTTGGCTTCTGAGGAGGAAGATTTATGGAGCAGTTTCTAATAATGTAGGGGTAGATCAGAGTTTCTCAGACCACTGAAAGCCATATGCAACCATAGCAGGCAAACTTTTCTAAAACATTGGAACGGATGCATTAATAATGACTGTTGACCTGGTCATATGTTTCTGCTTATCTTTCATTATTCCGCAAAGGAAACTGGAAGTGAGTCTCCAAACTTTTGCCTCCTTGATAATTGTCTTACTAGAGAATCAACTGAGCATTTTGTTCTTGGCGTGATTATGAACTCGAGTCTTCCACATGATACCATGCTGTACCAATGGACAGCCATGTGATGTTTCATTTTAACTTTTACAAATCAATGCCTTTTCTATCTTGTAAAACAATAGAGCTGTTACATTTTGTTTTATGTTTGTGTATTGTTGCACTCACAAGCTGAGGACAGGTTGCGGCATAAAACAAATATAAAAAATAACAACCTGTCCTGCTAAAAGTGACAAAGGGAGTGATGGGGCAAAGGAAGGTTAACTTTAGGAAAGGCAGGAAAACATGAGTGTAATCCTCTACCAAAATCTGTAAGGAAGATTCATTCATCTTCTGTAGCCCTGTTTTTCCCCCTTTAGATTTTAAAACAGTGATTCCCTTCCCTGTCCCATTCTCATTGAGGTGGATCCAGAGTGTCTATTCCATGAATGGAAAGGCTCCTCTCTTCTCCAATAGACATCAAACCAGTTAGAGGAAAGGGGAAGAGGTGATTATTGGTAATTTCCACCCTTCCTTCACCCTGCAAGCTCCCTTTGCCATCTTCCCCCACTGTTCTGGGGAGTCCAATTGTCTGGAGCATTTTGGGGGCAGGGAAGGGTATGGGGAGGAAGGAGAGCTGCCCAGAATTGCTTCTTCCACTTGTACTTGCAGAAGTGTCCAGTTAGCAGAGTTCCACTGCAGGCAAGACAGTCCAGTTCCACCTAAATATTAAATACTTGTTCAACTGTCAAATGTCCCCAATGGCGTCTGAAGTTTGGTTGTCCAGACAAAAACTACAGGGTAGCAGTGGTGGCACCTTATCTATAAAGCAGCCTTTGGCATCTGTTCTGACAAGAGAAAGTATTAAGGTAATAGCAGCAGTACAAAATTAATGGCTGCCTCTATTGTGACAGAAGGGCAGACATGATTATAGTGGGGAAAGGGGTAAATATTTTTGACCCAAGAACTCACTGTCTGATATTTTGTTAGCCTACATTAAACCTGTAAGCTAGGGATAGTATAAAGTGTTAATCATACTTGTAATAGTTGGATATCACATAGGAAAGGTTTTACTTTATGTTAAAGCTCATAAAACAACTTGTAAAAAAATGTAACTGCCGCTAATGCCAGCAATTTCAAGAATTATGATTTTAAAAAAAACCAAAAACCCATGCAAACTGCTTAGGGAGCAGATTTTTGTGGGAAAGCAGTGTGAAACCGAAAACTTATGTATTTTTTAATTTTCAAAATAACAGCTAGAAAGTCAAGGTGGCTTCCAGAATCTGAGTGTGAGAACATGGAATTATCTGGCCCCCACCCTTGGGGTTGAAAGAGGAGGGAGAGAAGCTTTAATCCCAAGAGAGATATTTGGAATAAGCGCCTGAAAAATGTTGTTGGACCCTAAAGCAGTCTTATTTAAGACTTGCCCTGTATCTAAGAGATGTTTGCTACCTTATATTTGATCAACAGCAGCTTGACCAGAAAAGGGTTTCCAGTATTCCTGAAAGCTTTGACTCGCAAAAGGAAATTAATTTCAGAAATCCAGAGCAGCCACTGGTAGTGCCGCACTGTGTCCAGGTTGGTTGTATGTGGTGCGCAAAAGGAGGATCCAATATTCTAATGGCAGCGTGAGGCAAAGGAAATTAGACTCTTACTTTGTGCATACTTGGAACTATTATAGAGATGTGGAAAGTATCAGGAATGAAATGTTGAGAGTTGCATTGGCTGTATGTGCAGACAGTGAAAATACAGAAAGTACACAAATCTGAAGATACCATAATCATATTATATTTCTTTGTTTCAAACAGGAGCGAAGGCCTTTTCTTGCTTCAGAATGTAATGAACTGCCAAAAGCTGAGAAATGGAGGCGGCAGGTATTTGCTGTTGTGGATTCTGAATAACAATCCTCTAAGTATATAAACGAACCCCTGATAACATAGTTCCAACTTCTGTCCATTTATTGAAAGACAGTTGTACCTTGGATCTCAAATGCCTTGGCTCCCGAACAAATCAGCTCCTGAATGATCAAAACCCAGAAGGGAGCGTTCTGGTTTTTGAACGTTCTTTTGGAAGGCGAACGTTCGGGGCTTCTGATTGGCTGCAGGAGCTTCCTGTAGCCAATCAGAAGCTGTGCTTTGCTTTCCGAACGTTTTGGAAGGCGAACGGACTTCCGGAACGGATTCTGTTTGACTTGGAAGGTACGACTGTGCTCATGTATTTCTCTGCTCTGTCACAGATGAGGAGATGGTAAATGAAAAAGATGCAACAGTGGACAGGCCTGCAGGAATTGGTCTGCACATGCTGATAGCAGCAACAGGTGGGTGGGGAGCTGTGGCAAGGAGGAGCATGCTCTGTTCCTCCTCCCAGTCTGCCACCGAAGGCAAGGGGCTCACTTTGGCTAGTGGCAGGGCTAGGCCTATGCACACCATGGCATCATTGTGTTAAACTACAAACCAGCTGCTGTAGTTTAACAAAACAGTTCCAAAGTTTTAAATCTATGAATTGTCAAAATTGGTTGTCTGCGAAACCGTTTCTAGGTCATGGGAGAGAAAATGTTGGAAATGCTCTTTTTGAATAATGATTGCATGATGCAGTACCTTAAACAAAGAGCTTTAAAATTATTATTCATTAAACAAAAACTTTTTAAAGGTATTGTGTCATACAGCCTCTAAAATAGATGCTGCTGATTTGTTTGAGGAAAAAAGTAATTGTCGTATAATGTCTCTTTTTAAACAGATTATTGGTGAAATTTCCAAGAAAGTGGCACAAATTCAAAATGGTAAGTTCCTAATGCAGGGGTGGTGTTAATCTTCCTAATGGAGGGGCAGGGTTAATATCCTTATGAGCCTGCAGATTGTACTTTTCACTAGCATTTATTACACTTGAGACTTCTTTTTATCTCTGACCCTGAAGAGCTGCCACTGCTCTGAGGTCTAGGCTTGTGATAGTGAACTGATAAAAGGAGCTACTGCTCTGGAGTCTGCTTTTGTTGGAAAGGATGCTGTGATATCTGAATTGTGAATCTGGTATTCAACAAGCCTATCTAGCCAAGCTAGTCTTGGGTCAACCTTCTTGATCCTGATGTGCTTTGAGTCTTTGGAATAATAACTGGCTCTGGTGCTTTTGATATCCACACATTAAAAATTACTTTAATAAGAAGCCTGCTATAAAAGTTGTCTAAAAGCAGAGGGACTGATGTCTTCATGTGACAGAGAGAAATAAAGCAATATGAATGAGCAGTATTCTACAGCAGTGCTACTCAAAGTGATGGTCCATGGATCGGTGCTGGTTCATGAGCCATCAGCTGTTACTCTGCAGCAACTCCACCTCAATCCAGGTTGGATAGGACACTTCAGGGATCAAAAATGGCCCTGCTCCCTGCCTAGCACATTGCGGGGTGGAAAGAAATTGCCAGTCTACCACATCAGATAGTCTGAAAAACACTGTCCTACAGTACCTGGAAAAATTCAGAATAGAGAATGTATATCAATGATTAAAACAGCTATTTCCCCCCCCCCCATTTCCTTTAAAAAAGCTGGCTTAGGTGAATTCAGAATTCGTGACTTGAATGATGAAATTAACAAACTCCTAAGAGAAAAGGGGCACTGGGAAGTCCGGATAAAGGAGCTGGGAGGACCCGATTATGCAGTAAGTATATAAAAATTATTAGATCCGTATGTAGGAAAGTGCAAACACAATACAAATTTATCTGTTATAATTTGATAAATAATAACCACTGCCTGGTTCTTATCATTGGGAATCTCAGGTGAGATACCCACACAGTGGCTCTCAATACCATTCACCACACGGAAGCAGAGAAGGGTTCAGATAGTATACTGTTGCAGAAGATAAGGCTCAGTAAAACAGTTCTGGACATGGATAGATACAGCTTGTGGGCTTTTCCAGATACAGATACCTACAAGTACAAGGTATCTCTGTTGCTTTAAATAAGTTCAGCAATTCAAGACATAACACTGAACAAGTAACTTGACTAACAGACAGACAGGCAGATAAACTACAGAGTAACAGACTACTGAGTTGACATATTAATCACAGATATAGTCTGAGCACTGGCCCATTACCATAGCAACTACGTTGGCTGACCTTGTGATTAGCTCATCATCGGGTGATTTACACTCATGAAGGAAATTTACCCAGTTATTCCAAGACTTGTGTAAGTGGATATCCACATAGGTAACTCAATAATTCAAATGTATTGTTGGGTCTTCCATGTTATAAATAGTTTGTGTGAAGTTCTCCAGATTTGACCATGCCAATCTGGGTCTGCCCAAACCACATGAAACACTGCCTGTACTCACAAGTTCTGTCTAATTAGCCACACAAAAGGAAATACTAAGCATTGTGGCTTTTACCCCTTTCTTCTCCCTCAAGAGAATTGGTCCCAAAATGCTTGATCATGAAGGGAAAGAAGTTCCAGGAAACAGGGGTTACAAATATTTTGGAGCTGCTAAAGATTTGCCTGGGGTCAGAGAGCTTTTCGAAAAAGAACGTAAGTATTTTTGTGCATGTGGCATACGCATTCGAGAAATTAAATCTTTTTATATATACTTTTCAAATTTATACATTTCATTAATTTTACAATCATTTTAACATTTCAAAGTCTGACTTCCTTCCCCCTCTTTCTGTGGTTCCTTAAATTTATTTTTTAATATCTTCTGCATATCCAAATTCATTTAATTTGCTCATTTAATTATCTACTTTAAATATACAGTCATACCTCGGGTTAAATATGCTTTGAGTTGAGCACGTTCAAGTTGCGCTCCTCGGCAACCCGGAAGTAACGGAGCGCGTTACATCCGGGTTTTACCGCTTGCGCATGCGCAGACGCTCAAAATGGTGTCACGCACATGAGCAGAAGCGGCGAAAAGCGACGTGTGCATGCGCAGATGCGCTGTCGCTAGTTACGTTTACCTCTAGATGCGAACGGGGCTCCGGAACGGATCCTGTTCGTATCTAGAGGTACCACTGTATACTCTTATGAAACTGCAGGTTATTACAATAATCCTGCCAATGTTTTTATCTGTTAATATTCAATAAACCATTTCCATTCTTTTATAAAAAGTTTGTTATCTTGATTTCTTACTCTTCTGGTAAGTTTAGCCATTTCTGCATATTCCATTCTTCCTTTGCTGGGACTTCTGCTTCTCTCCATTTTGGGACGAGTAGCATTCTTGTTGCTATAGTCACATACAGAAATAAATTTCTATACAATTTAGGTAGTTCTGTCCCTATAATTCCCACAAGAAAAGCTTCTGGGTTGTTGTTGTTTTACAAAGGTTATTTTAAACATCATTTTCAATTCATTATATATTATGAATAGAGAAATTAAATCTAGTATAAAATTTTACAGAGTAGGACACGTTTTCCCGTAAGATGTGTTGGGAGTTATTTTCCTGTAGTTTCCCCTCAGTTTAATGCAAATGGTAAGAGGAGGAGAAAATACATATGCAACTGATTGCCCTGCTCAATTATTGCAGTGCAATTGCTACTGTTTATTTTTTATTTAAAATTTACTGTATTAATTTAGAAACATTGATGGAATAGGCCCTGGCATCTCCAGGTAGGGCTGGAATTTCCTCTTTCTTACAGTCATTGCTGGCATGTTTCCTATGGATGTCTTACCCAGTGGTTTGAATATACTGTAGGTGTCCTTGGCTATTTGGTTGAATCTCAATGACTAGCTAGTCATAGCAGGTAAAGCTATGTGCTTCCATTTTCTCTTACTTGGGTGGAGAGTGACTTTGCATTTGTTCCTTCAGCCCTTCCTCCTCCCAGGAAGACACGAGCTGAACTCATGAAGGCTATTGATGCAGAATACTATGGCTACAGAGATGAGGATGATGGTGTCCTGGAACCGTTGGAGCAGGAACATGAAAGGAAAGGTATGCATGGTCAACCTCGGATCAGTTGTTGCTTTGCTTAGTGTCTTTTACAGGAGACCCTACTTCTAGTTACCTGTAAGACAAAGAAGTACAGTGGTACCTTGGTTCTCAAACGCCAAAAACCCAGAAGTGTTCTGGTTTTTTAACGTTTTCCAGAAGCCAAACATCCAATGCGGTTGTCAGCTATCGTTTCCAGGGCACCTTCACCAATCAGAAGCTGCGCCTTGGTTTTTGAACATTTCAGAAAGTCAGTCAGACTTCTGGAACGGATTAAGTTTGGCACTTTTGTTTTTGTGACTGTGTGGAACCCAATCCAGCTACTGACTGATTGATTGATTGATTGATTGATTGTGTGACTGTGGAAATAGATAAATGACTATCATCAGTGCAGGTAAGAATTTTTTCCCCCTAATAATCTTCAATACTGTCTTATTTATTTTATACTACAGTACATTGATTATTGCTTTCATTTTATGGATCAGTGGTCTTGTTAGATGGTAAAATTCACATTAATTTTCTGTTTTAGTGGTTGTTTTTAAAAGTCTGTAACGGATTAATCCATTTTTGCATTACTTTCTATGGGAAAACGCACCTTGGTTTTGGAACGGACTTCCAGAACAGATTAAGTTTGAGAACCAAGGTACCACTATAAAACAGTTCAGTTCTTTTCAAAGGATCTTATTTCTGCTTCTTATTTAAGAAACGGTCGTGGGCATGTCGTTGAGGACACATCTTCCATTTTGGCATATGCTGTGTATTAAATACTTCAGTAGTGTTGCTTCTGTCTCTTCATGTGGATTCTTACATCACAGGAGTGTGGCTGTTTGTCTGTCTTGCCCTGTACTGACTGCTCTGAATGGCAGGGTCTGAGGCACAGTCTTTTCCATCACGTGCTACTTGATTTCATCCCCTCCCCACCCTTAGAAAAATAATAATTAGATGCCAGGGATCTATGACTGTGTGACCTTCTGCATGTGTTACTAAGGTATGTCCCCTTCCCCAAATTAAGATTCTGTTAATATCTGTTGACTGAATATTTGCAGATCAATTTATAAGCCACTTTTAATCAAGCTTGTGTTTACTTGTTGTTCACGTTACCCACTTTTTTATACTGGATAAAATAACCTGTAGTAAGCTTTTGATATGACCTTTATATTGCCCTAAAGTCAAATGCCAGATGCTATTATTTTACAAATTTTGTCTGACAATTCAACTATTTTTTTTGGCGCTTGCTAACAACATTCCTGTTTAAACAAGCCTGCGCAGGTGCTTAGAAAGCTGAGGTAATTTTAATCTGTTTTACTGTTTTAACTTGTATGTTTTAAAACAGGGTTGTGATTCCTACCCCCTTGATTTCACAGTTTTATCTTTTGTAAACCGCTTTGAGGGTTTTTGTTTTTTTGCATAAAGCGGTATATAAATTATTAAATAAAAAAATATGAGTTAATCAGTATTGGAGCTTTTCTGCTACAGAACTGCAGTTTTTTTTCCTCCTAAAAGGCAGTCAGATGTCCGTACTAGTGATATTGGTCTTGTTTTATTCAGAAAATACATCTGAAATTTATCTGTTCCCTCATCTGGATCTGCTTCCTTGGCAATTCACTCCAATAAATAGATCTCCGGTTATGCTGATGATAATCACATGGGGACAGAGGAAATTAATTCAAGTCTTTTGGAAAGAAATCAGCCTCAAGAAAATTAGATGAGCTACTAGAAGGAAATAACTAAGCTGCTGCTGTTGATTATGTCAAAGCATTATAAGTTGACATGAACTATCCCCCAACAGAGTTGCCTTCTTGCCACCATTTTGGTACTTTTAAGTAAGATAAATCTTCTGCTGTTTTGCTTATTGAGTTCAGAAGATTGGTTATTGCCTTTTGAAAAATGAATACGCTAGTAATTTTACTTAGATTGTTTTATCAGAAGCATTTCATTTACATACTACATTACCTGGGGTTTGAGGTTTGAAGGCTGTACATTATGAGACTCTGGCTTGCTATGCTCTGTAGACCTTATTGTGGGGAAGAGCTGTACATCTCTACAGAAATTAGCAGAACTTCTTGAATTACTGTTACATATCTAAGAGCATAAAATTCAACACCTGTTCAACTAATGACAAACTGGCGTATAAGTAGCACATGGTTCTGAAAGTAGCATTCATCAGTTCTCCACAGTAAGTTCATGCCTTTCCCAAGTGTGCTTTGATCCTGCACCATGGCTGTATCAACCTTCCTTTCATTTCCTGAGACTAAGCCCTAGTGTTCAGCTAAGTATCATTCTCATTTCACAATTTTGAGTCTTGCTGTACTCTTCTCATTTCAGCCTGTTACTGTATCAAATGATGATACAAGCTGTCTGTACTTATGAATATTTACTCGGAAGTAAGTTCCATTGGTCCCAATGACACTTACCTCCAGGTTAATTTGCATATGTTTGTGAACTCAATTTGGTATTAGTAAACCCATTGTGTTTTCCAGTAACTTCTTCCCTTTTTTTCTAGACGCTTGCATTGTTTGTACAGAAGGCATATAGAACAACAGGTGTGGTTCAAGTGTTTTTTTTAATTACATACATAAATTTTAAGATACCTATATTATTCTATTTCTCCTTTCTAACTATGGTCCCTGGTTTTGAAGTGTCTTTGTATAGTTTGCTTGAAATATTTATTTTGCCAAAGGCAGAAATGATGATCCAGAAAGTATGAACATTTTACTTCAGCTAAAGGAGAGAACAGTGAATTGTGACATGTTTGAACAGGTCTCTTTTAGGCAGTTCTGAAAAGCTAGATTTGGCAGCAAGTTCTGGAACACCCAGTTCTGGAGCTATATAGCAAAGTTTGGCAAGCTGGGAAAGACTCTCTTAAATATGCAGGGGCTGGCTTTTGGTAGCTTGTTTTCCACAGCACTGATTTCTAGTTTTTCTCTGCCTTTTACTCTGCCATGGTGCTCCAACAATGGTCTCAAGCTTGCTTGTTGCCTGATTCCTGGCCTACAGTAGATGGTGCTATAAATGCAGGAAGCAGGGAGGTTGAAACTTCCTGCAGCAAAGTATTTTCCATCTTGAACAATCACTCCCTGATAGAATCTCCACTGCTAGAAATAGATCCAGAGCTGCCCCAACCTACTGTGTTACTCTCTCTCAACTGTAAATGTTACAGCAGTACAGAATTGCTTGTTAGGGTTGCTCTAAATTGAGCCCTTGCCTTATCATGGCTATGAGAAAGGGGAAATTAAGAGTGTTAACAGACATCTTCTTTTATAGTCTGCAACACTTTTTCCACTTTAAGAAGTGAAGAAGGGCTCCAAACTCCCATCCTCTAAAGCTGATTTCAAGCAGGGTTGTGTTGCCACAGAAAGGAAACAAAAAGGAGAGGCCAAGCTTCAGACAGGAACATGGCTAGTAAAAAGGGAAATTGTAGATACAGTGGTACCTCGGTTTTCGAATGTAATCCGTTCCAGAAGACCATTCAAGTTCTGAAACGTTCAAAAAACGAAAACTCAATAGCTGACAGCTAGGCCTCAGGATCTTGCACTCAGCGGAAGCCGCGTGGCATGTTTGACTTCTGAGGCGTGTTCGAAAACCGAAGCATTTACTTCTGGGTTTATGGCGTTCGAAAACCAAAATGTTTGTCAACTGAGGCGTTCAAAAACCGAAGTGCCACTGTACTTTGAAAACTGCATGAGTTTAAGTCAAGCGATGAACATAACACTTAGAAGTTCTGGACTGCTTGAGGGAACCAGGAAGGTGGAATCAGTAAGACAAGAAGCAGTGCCACAGAAGCTGAAGATGTTCAGCTTTTATGGAGCATTCTCATATACATTCTCTTGAAGTGTAATATTTGGTGAAAAGAATGCTTGTTAGACAAGTTCATCTTCAAATGCAAAGGGCTGCAAATGCTAAACACTTTTGCTCCAGTCCCTGGAGGAGGAAGAGACCCCTGAAGGGAGTCACAATTGGTATTGTTAAGCCTATAGTACCCACCCAGTGAAGTTATGAAATGGGTTGTAGTGATATCCTACAGTGACCTACTTGAGGGCAGACTCAGCAGAGAAAGGGACAGAACATCTCTTGTTGATACCTAGTTCTCAGTTATAATATATACCAGTGCATCCCTAAGGAACCTACATTCCTTAATTTTATTATTCCTTTGAGCAGATCATGGGAAGTAGGCAACCTGACTTCCAATCAGTTTCCTAATTTGAAGGGGTTTTTAATCACCATTGGTGGGACACTGAACCCTGTTTCTCCTACTGTATAAAAGTGTGTCAAGTTTTCAGGCCACTTCATACATTTGATAAAATAGACTGAAACTTATGAAAAGCTCACATCACAGTAAGGCTACATTGTTTTGACCTGGCAGTAAGTCCAACCGACTTCAGCTTTCCAGGGCTTTAGACTGGGAACATTCACAGTTCTATCTGGAGATGCTGGGGATTGAACCTGGAAACTTCTGCTTCCAAGGCAGATGTTTACCAGCTCTGAGGGAGGATGGATTATAGCTCAGTGGAAAGAAACGGCTACATCTCAGCTTCTAAAAGGTTAATTCAAATATAGTGCATCTAACTTATTTATTACGTTTCTATACTGCCCTTCATCTGAGGATCACAGAGTGCCTTACAATATAAAAATACAAAAAGACATAACATAGTTACAAACAAACAAAAATACCCCCAGTTTAAAAGGTCATAATTAGCCAAAGGCCTGGGAGCAGAGGAATGTTTTTTCTTGGCACCTAAAGTTATGTAAGGCAGGTGCCAGGCGGGCCTCCCTAGGGAGAGCATCTTACAAGTGGGGAGCCACTGCAGAAAAGGCCCGTATTCAAATTGGCACACTGTGGACCTCTTGCAGAGGAGGCACATGAAGAAGGGCCTCAGATGATGATTACGGGGTCAGGGTTGGTTCATATGGGAAGAGGCACTCCTTGAGGTATTGTGGTTCTGAGCCATTTAAGGCTTTGTAGGTCAAAACCAGCACTGTGGGCTTGGGAACTCATTGGCAGCCAGTGCAGGCGTGCCAGGATCAATGTAATATTCTCAGACCACCTTGCCCCAGTGAGCAACCTGGCTGCTGAATTCTGCACTAGCTGATGTTTCCAAATCATCTTCAGAGGCAGTCTCATTGCCGTAATCTACGCTAGAGGTTACTTCATTCCTTAATGAGTTGTTAAAAATAGTATTAAAAACTGAGCACATACAAATGTATGCTAGCGAAGTCAGCCTAGCTTTTGTAAACAAGAGTCACACTTCATAAACTTGAAAGAATTCTTTATGTATGCAGTACAGGAAAGGCAAACCATTTTAAAGTATAGTAAACCATTTTAAAGTATAATAAAGTTCAGGCTTTCTCAGAACTTATCATAGCACTGGGTAAAAGGTAAACAAGGTTTAGAGGGAGACATTGTCAGTTTCTATCTGGATAAAGTTGAGTAATGTGTGCTGCAGACTTGAATCAAAATGGGGGACAGGTGCCGGGCAGGAGGGATGCTTCCCTTACTGTTCAGCTGACAGAAGGCTATCAACTGAGTGACACTTTTGGATACCCACCACCCCTATTTCTAGCCCAATCTGTTGTAACTATAACATCAGAAAACCCTGCCCATAACTCTTTGTAGGATTGCCACAAGTTTCTGCTAATTGTACCCTTCTAAATGCCTTCTCCAATGCTACTGTTCCATTCTCAAGGAAGCAAAGTTCAAACAGTGCAAGTAAAAACTGATAAATACGTTTGTGGATTCACCAAAAGTTGACTCTTATAATTGACTCTGAAATGAAAGAGCTGGTGCTTTTTGAATTTAATTTGGTCAACCTCTTAAAATCCAAATATAAAGTACTATTTTTTTTACTTGCCCAGTTATTGCAGAAGCAGTGGAAAAATGGAAAGCAGAGAGAGAAGCACGGCTTGCAAGAGGAGATAAAGAAGAAGAGGAGGAGGAAATAAACATCTATGCAGTAAATGATGATGAGGTATTGTGCTGGTTTCAGTTCTGCTAATAACAGCATGCCATGAATGTAGAAGAATTCATTAACAGTAAAAGGCAGAGTGGCATAAACGTTAGCAAACTTGGATAGGCCTGCCTGTTTCAGTGTCTGTGCATTTCGGTGTCTTTATGTATGTGATAAGTGCAATTTCTTTTCTATGTGGATAAAATGTGACTGTCAGACACTGGGGTGTGTTTCTGAATTTGGAATGAAACATCAAGATGAATCAAGTCTTAATTTAGGCTGTACTTCCTGCTGTGTACTGGTTACACACAGAGCATGCATGAAGCCTGCTGTGGACTTATGGCTGTGTGTTTGTGTGGTTTAAAAAAAACACTTTGTCTTTTTATAATAGAACTTGAAAGCTAGTCAGTTTGCATTTGACCGTTAGGAAATGTAATTAACAAAAAAACCTCACCTATTTTCCCCTTTCCAACTTTGGAGAAATCTGACTTTTAAAGCAGCTCAGCCCAATGCGTGTTGTCTGAATTTGTATAAAATGGGTGCAGCAGAAAGATGTAGACTCCCCCCATCCAGCGTTTCTCAAAGTGGGAGTGGGGAATGAAGGGGAGACTTTCTTTCTTTAATTTCTTCCATACATGCACTTCACCTTATCACCTCCAGCATCAGGGCTGGAAAGGAGAAATGAGGGGAGGCTTTCAAAGCCCTCTGTGATGTATTCCATTCTCCTTTGCACCTTGACATTGGAGGTGTAAAGGAGAGCATGGGGAAGATTGCAAAGGGCTTTGTGATCCCTGTGTTGGAGGTGACCTCAAAGAACAGCACAGGGAGCAAGAAGCAGTTCCCACTGAATTGAAACTGCTTCCCTTTCTCTGAGCAAGATGCACTCCTATCTACTGCCCAGCACCTGATATTCTTTCCTACAGGACAGTTGATGCTCATTGGCTTTGTGGCAGGAGTGTGGACAGTCTAGCTAGAACAAAATCAGGCGCCTGGTGTTGACTTTTTCTTCACTGGCATGATGCGTGTGGTTGCATAAACTGAATGTTCTAAATGTATTGCAGTCTGATGAAGAAAGCGGAAAGGAAAAAGAAGGAGACGACAGTCAGCAGAAGTTTATTGCTCATGTCCCAGTGCCATCACAACAAGAGGTAAGGAACAAATAGAAAATGAAAGTTGTACAGGTACATTGAACTTCCAGAGGAATAGCTACATTGGCCTACTCCAGGAAAAAAAGTTTTGTGGCACCTTTTTGCAGCTACTGTGTTTTCTCTGTCATTCCTGACTTCATTAGTGCATTTTGCAAATTTATGTGATGTACCTTAAGCAAACATATACAGTTTAGCTGAAAAATAAAGCCAGACTAAGGTTCAGAATGTGTTTGTATCTCAGAAGAGAATCATTTTGTACTTTGATAACTATAAAGGGGTTGTTCAGACATAACCATGCAAAACAACGCTTAAGTATTGCAAGAATGAGCCTTGGGATTCCATTGCTCCTCCCACTCAGTAAATTAGAACTTCTGTTTCTGGGCTGCAGCAAACCATAATGTGCCTGTTGCAATGAAACGGTAAACTCAGCCCCAATTCAGAAGGCTCTGAGCATAATGTGCAATGAAAAGGAAAGCATAGTGCTGCTGCACAAGTGAGAGTTCTTGCCCTGGCTTCCACCAGCACATCCGGTTAGTTGAATGCACCCCTATACCTCAGCATCTTTGCAAAGAGAGTTTGTATCAGTTCTGGAAAAGTGGTGATACAGCATCCTAAAAGTCACCGGCAACTTAGGTCAAGGAACATCAGACTTTGGCCACAGCAATAATCTTTTGACACCTCTCTTCAAAGCTTGTTCCTTTTCGTTGGTAGTTCCTTTTCATTGCCAGCATGTACGTATAAGCTATTTTTACTAAATCATTTGCAATCTGTGAAGTTTTAGTACTTTATTTTAAGGCTGAATGTTTTTAATCTGCAGATTGAGGAAGCTCTTGTCCGAAGAAAGAAGATGGAACTTCTTCAGAAGTATGCCAGTGAAGCTCTTATGGCTCAAAGTGAAGAGGCTAAGAGACTTCTAGGACTGTAGCGTGTGTTGAGACAGTTCTGTTTTATAATCCATCCTAAAGCATCCTGGGAGCAGTTGCTTAAAGCATGTTGGTTCTGCAAAAATAATGTACACTTTACAAATGCTGGAAACGAAGGGTGATTTCTTTCCCTAAGCACATTTCACTGCAAGCATTTCACTCTGCCCTATTCTGTACAATTTTTTGTTTTCAGCTTCAGTAGTCAAAACTCAAAATAACTAGCCAGCTTGCCTTTGAGTTGTCCTTTTCTAGCTGCTTTCCTTTTTGCTTAATTTCTGGCATTTTCAGTTGCTCTTAAATTAGAAATTAGCATTCCAGTATGCTTCTCCAGTCTCAGTAAAATACAACAGCATTTAGATAAAGCCATATTTAGCTGCTCACCCTAATTGCCTACAAATTTGGAAGAGAATTGAAGGCAGTTCTTGCAGTGTGGTGTTTTGTTTTTTTAATGTTTGACTTCACAGCAGAACTGAAGCGCTCTGCACAACTAATACAGCTTTATGTAGCATGCTCAAAGCTCGATGTGAACACCCACTTGGTTGGATTTCTGAAATGCTGGATATTTCAGCAACTAATATTGTAAATACTGTTTCACCTTTGTAATATCACTCGGATCTTTTCAGTAAAACAATTTTTATGTAGACACGTTTGTTCAGTTTTCACTGTGGCTTGAAAATACGTCTATTTCTTTATGGGAAAGTCATGAGACTAAAGCCTCTTAGCTGCCAGAATCTGCTTTATCACATGAGCGAGGGAGGTTTCAATAAACTGAGAATCAAGAAATGTTAGGACTCCATAAATCAATACCAATAAGATCATTATCTGAAATGTATGTGCATGGAAACCATTTGAAAGATGTAATATTGCAGGTGAAGCTGGTACACATTTTTATGGGCCATTTCCCCAAAGGAATATTACAGTGCGGTCACTGTGTGTGTTTGTCTTGTATTAATCCAGTTCACAGGTAAAGCATGGGATTTAGCATGACCTACTTTCCTAAAATAGCTTTTACAAACCAAAAAATTATGTAAGCTTATGTGGCCACTAGTACTCATGTGTCCTTTGTGTGCTTATTGTGGCTGTGAAAGGGAGTTGAACAAGATTTATATTAGGAAAAGTCAACCAAGGAAAAGCATGGGTTGGCTATCCCTGAATTCTAGTGATTTGGCAGCTACCAGCACCTAGAAGACCATTTGTATAAAATGAATCCCCAGTGTTATTTTCAGAACTCTTAATTCCAATGTCTTCAGTTTGCTCTATAGGCTTGTGATCTAGAAATCATCAAACTTGCTCAGGGGATTGTTTAGTATAGCTTCATTCCAAAACACAAAGCATACATTAAGAACAGTAGCATTTGAAATGGAATGAATGGTGTCCCAAACATCTTAGTCACTGCTATAATGCTGCATAACTTTTGGTAGTGAAGTCTCTCTGTTTTCTACATGCATTTATCCTACATGTATTTATCCTATTCTTGGTTGTAATGAATTTAACATTAATCCTACTCATTAATAGTTGCCTTATACTGCTTCAGTCCCTTGGGTCACAGTGTTTGATTTGTTACAAGTACAGTGGTACCTCGGGTTACATACACTTCAGGTTACAGACGCTTCAGGTTACAGACTCCGCTAACCCAGAAATAGTTCCTCGGGTTAAGTACTTTGCTTCAGTATGAGAACAGAAATCGTGCTCCGGCGGTGCGGTGGCAGCGGGAGGCCCCATTAGCTAAAGTGGTGCTTCAGGTTAAGAACAGTTTCAGGTTAACAACGGACCTCTGGAACAAATTAAGTACTTAACCCGAGGTACCACTGTACCAGTTTGGTATGGAAGCTATGCCACCGGTCCCTTTTCATTCAGGCAATTTGTGCTTGCTTACAACATTATAGTAAATACAATTAAAAAAATGATACACTAAAAATCCTTGAAGGAAATACCAGAAGTTTAGAAAACAGTCGTGTGGGTGTAGAGGAGTAATGTATTCTGTAATCCTGTAGGATTACTGCAAGGCTATAATCTTTATACACCTGCCTGGAAACAAATTGTTATTGAACACCGGGTTTTTGTTTTTTAAAAAGAAATACATCGCTGGTCTTCAAGTGGTGGGGCCCGGATCCAAGGTTGGTTGCAACAGGAGGACTACAACCTTGCAGATATAAAGGAAAGGATTAAGAAAAGGGCCCCCAAATGCATGTTTGGGTTAAATGTGGGCCCTGGGTCTGAATACGTTGATGATTCCTGGTATACTGTACATACATAAGATTGGGCTTGAAATGTAGATTTGCATGGTCTTGGACCAGGGAGGTCCTTGCCTTGCTGCTGCAGGTTGCCATTACTTCCATTTCTCCCTCTGCCGTCTGCTTTCCTACTCCTTTGTGTCAACAATGTGCATTAGTGTGGGGAGCTGGAGGCAGAGGATAACCAGGTATAATCCATATAAGCCAGTAACCCCCTGCAGCAAAAAAAAGGGGGGAAAGAGCTAGCATGACCTAATGGTTAGAGCGTTAGACTGACCTGGGGGAGACCAGAGTTTCAATCCCCACTGAGTCATGAAGCTCACTAGGTGACCTTGGGCCGCTCACCATCTCTTAGCCTTGCCCCCATCACAGGGTTGTTGGGAGGAGCTATGGAACCCTGTCCACCACCTTGAGCTCCTTGGAAGAAAAAGGTGGTATAGAAATGTAATAAATAAAAAGGAAGAAACGCGGACTGGGGGGAGAAAACACACTGCCTTACACTTGGAACTTTTGCCAAGAGAGGGCGGCGCTGAAGAAGACGCGGCCTGGCTGGCGAAAGGCGGAGGCGGCGAGGAAGCCCCGCGGGGCAAGTCGGGGCCGTCGAGCAGGCTCCACCCCGCGGGGCTGCAGCGTAGGCAGGAGGAGGAGCCGGCGGGGAATGAGGCGAAGCCGGTGTCGGCTGTCGCTGCTGCCCGGCGCGGCGCCGGCGCCCGACTGGACACTGGCAGGAGCGAGACCCGACGGAGGGGCCGCCGCCGCCGCCGGGCTGGGAGCTCCGTCTCCGCCATGAGGGGAATGCTGCTGCTGCTGCTGCCGCCGCTCCTCCGCCGCCCCCTGCCACCTCCGGGGCTGAGAAGGCTTTGCAGCGCCAGCGCCGCCGCCTCGGCTGCTCCTGCCGCCCCGGCCCCGGGGAAGAGCAAGGCGGGCTCGCAGGTACCTCGCTGCACTGAGTGGGGGTCGGGGGCGCAGGGCTGGGGCTGCTCCTGGGCTTCGGGCAGCGGGCATGGGATGGGGCGGCCTCCCTCTCTCAGCTTCTTTTTTGAGCGGTTGATGGAGGGGTTGGACTGTTTCTTAAACAAAAAGGAAAGAAAAACGAAAGGAGCTGATGAGGGAGGGGGAGGGAACCGAGAAGGGGGAAGAGGAAAGGGGTCTCGTTTCCTTCCTTTGAGGCTTCACGGTCTTAGCTTAGTGCTGTATTAACTTTTAACTTGAGCTGCTGCTTTGTTTGTTTTGTGCTCTTAATCTGCTCCCTCTCCTCCTCCTCCTCCTCCTCTTTCGTAAGTTCCTTGGGAATGCTGATTGGCCACTGAAAGGCACCTTTTATGTGAATTAACGGGCTGGAAATTTTTGTTGTTGTGGGGCAGGACATTTCATTAACCGTTCATTCTTTTCAAGGTACCTGCCTCTTCTTTTTGCCTCTTTCCCCTTCCTGTCTACATCTTTCTTTCTTTCTTTCATCATAGAATCACAGAGTTGGGAGGGATCCTGGGGTCATCTAGTCCAACCCCCTGCAATGCTGGAATCTCAAAACGCCCATTCGCCATCCAGTTTGAAACCATACTTAACCTTTCTTAGCTTTGCAAATGTGATAGCAGCTTTATTGCTGCACCACTGGGATCTCGTTTCACCTTCCCTCCCTCCCAGCATTGCTTCTGTTTCCTTTTTTCCATATAAGAAAATGTCCATCCTTGAGATGGGATGCTGCTGCTGCTGCTGCACACTTTTGGGTGCAAATCTTCCTTCTAGGGGAGGCAGATTCAACAGAAGTCTTCTGTGCTTCTGTGTTGGGTCTGTCAGACAAGCATGGGCAGCAGCCAGAGGGAGCAGATGGGGGAGCAGAAAGTGTGTGGTGGGGTCCTTAAACCCACCTCTGCTACTTGCTCACCTGGCTTAGCATCACGGACAAGTACAAAGCCATCTGCCAACTCTACACAATCTTTGGGCAGGCAGTGGTTGGGTTTGAATCCCCCTGTGCTGCTTAGATCTAGTTGGTGAATGGAGGCTGTCCTGGTCATCTTCAACATTGCTTGCTTGCCTGCCTGCTGAGAAGCAATCACTTCCATTTGGTAATCACTGCTGCAATGGTGAGTTCTCACAATGTGCTAGAGCCTTCGTAGTTGCCTAATGGTGCACACCAGCCTACTTTTCCCAGTTTTCTGGCTTCTTTTTTTAAAATTTACTCTTCTCTTCACCTGTGGTGTCAAGACTGGTCTTAACCATGTGAAGGAATGAGGACTCAACCCCCTGGAACATGTTCTTTTTCTTGTTAGTACTTCTCGATTGTGGAATGAGAAAGTGACCTGGTAGAAAAAGGGCTGGTCCCAATTCCTGTCTTGTTGGTAGATTTTCTGTATGAGTATGTATACTAATAGGTTGCCATAGCAATTAATATGTAACTCTTGGCAGTTACAACACAGTCTTCTTGCTGCGCAGAAGCATAATCCAGACTCTTTGGTCATGGAGCACTTTTGCTTTGCAGAACAAATGGGAAATTAAGAATTTGTGGTTGGTGCGGCCTGCCCTCTACTTAAGGACGCTGAGCATGACCACATACTTAAAAAATAAGTATGTAGAACACTTGCTTAGTAGTAGCTACATAGTATTTAACTTCTGAATAAACAGGCACAGGGCTGTATGTTTCTCAGCCAGTGTTATTGACCTTACTCTGGTATACCAAGAATCCATGTTCAGCTCAATGCCAGTTTCCCAACATCTGACTATATCTCCATATGGACAGCTGTCAATATAATGGCTAAGAGGTCACCAAACCTAGTTTTGACTACCCACTGACCTGCAGGAGCTTTCCATATTTTCAGGCAGGAGTCTCTTCCAGTCCTATGTGGACATGCAATGGGGCTGAATGTGGGACTTCTGCCTGCAAAGCACATGCTGTGCCACTAAGCTACAGTCATTTCCCAATGGAGTTTCCTTGTCAAATGCATGACAAGGAAATTAAGTGCCCATGCTACTTGGTTGACAGTCTAGATACAACATTAGAATACATGACCTAGATATGTCATTCTAATAATGCTTGACCTCAGTAGTCATACACTGTTTCCTTTAATTTGTTTATTTTACATAGAACAGCAGGCTTTTAACACCCAATGGTTGCTGGAGGGTCCTGGTCTTGGATTTGAGAGGACACGAGTGAAATCTTTAATATGTTTGCATTACATTCAGGTGTTTTTTAAAAGGAAGTTATCTCCTTTTTTAAAAAAAAAAGATTATAAATAAATGCTTTAAAAAATAAAGTGATTCCAGTGTAAATAAAACAAAATAATGGTATTTGAGTATGTGCTGCCTTTTCCATCACCAAGAACAGCTATTTTCCCTGTCATGCTGTTTCTCTAGAGTATAGCACAGAATCACAGACTAACATTAATGTCAAAGCAACCCCCAGCAGCTGAAGAGGCTTGCTTATGCAACAGGTTAATTTTAATAATTTAATAATTGTAATAAACATTCCCTTAGCTTGTTTCAGTTTTATTTACATATGCATGGAGTAATCCTGAAGAGAAAAGCAAATTTGGGATATGTTTGCACCTGCAGTGATTGCTTTAGTTTTGTTATGCAAGCTGGGCATTTGAACTGCAGACTCCTGGGATTTTCAAAGGCTCTGGAATAGCGCCGGTTTAAATGCCCACCTTGAATGGGCTTGGTTGCCAACAATGTCTGGAGGACCATAGGTTCCCTGCCTCTCTTGTATACCTTGCAAGAACTGATGGCCATATTATTTATATACTGCATTTCCTACAGATAAATCTTTGTTCAAAGCAGTTCACATAAAAACAGTGTAAATGCAGAAGTTTGATAATGAAACATTATAAAAAGTATAATATCCCTACAACATAACACTGAAAAAATCAACGATTAAAAAGTTCATTTAACATAAATCAACATTATAGCAAATGCACACAGTGCAGCAGCAGTTATTTTTTTCTTTCTTGGCAATAGGAAGTTGAAACATGATGACTGGCTATATGAGATTGAGATGTGTTGTGTGAGTAAATAAGTTTGAGAAAGGATTCTTTGTTTAGGTTAACTGCTTCTCACTCAGACTCTGACCCCAAATTAGCATCACCATTCTACATGTATTGTGGGATGGTTCCTGAAAACCTCTGCTTGGCTGTATATGCAGGGTAAAAGGTAAGGAGGGAGCGGATAGCACTGTGGTCTAAACCACTGAGCCTCTTGAGTTTGCTGATCGAAAGGTCGACAGTTCGAATCCCCACAACGAGGTGAGCTCCCGTTGCTCTGTCCCAGTTTCTGCCAACCTAGAAGTTCGAAAGCACACCAGTGCAAGTAGATAAATAGGTACTGCTGCAGTTTCCGTCACGGTGTTCTGTTGCACCAGAAGCTGTTTAGTAATGCTGGCCACATAACCAGGAAAGTTGTCTGTGGACAAACACTGGCTGAAAAGCGAGATGAGCGCTGCACCCCAGAGTCACCTTTGACTGGACTTAACCGTCCAGGGGTCCTTTACCTTTTACCTATAAGCAGGGTATGTGGTTGTGAATCAAACATTGCACACTGCACCGGCAACCATCTTCATGATCCCAGAAACTGAAAAAGTGTAACTGTAAACTGCCCTGGGATTAAAAAAAGTACAGTGTAAATCAATGTGGAATAAATATTATGAAGGGTAACATATAAAGAGTTCAAATAAATAAGCAATCTGAATGCTAATTTGTTTGAAGTCTAAGTTCAGATCTAAAGAATTACAGGCAGCAACCATTTCATGCGAGGGCTCTGTTTCTGGCGCCTGTGTGTGTTAGCAGAGTCTTCCACCGCCCTGCCCCACACCGGTTTCTGCCCCCATTCTGCCTTCTTCTGGGTCCAAGAGGACCCACACACCGGTGATCATGTGTCAATTGGACATGCCTAAAATGGTCGCCGCCTGTAAACAAGAAACTTAAGAAATATAAAGTGTGTAGATTGATGGTGTGTTGAGATGTTTCATATGTGAAATTTGTGATAGATGTTGGGCGACAGGGTAGGGTCCTACCTTATTTCATATAAGCCTGTATCATGAATTGCAAAGTAGACACATCAGTCATAGACTCCCAACAGGAAAGGCATAATGTACTCACACTTCTTGGGATTCTTTCAACTCCTATTTTTATTGAAAGCAAAAAGGTATGTCAATCAAATGACAAATATTCATATCGGGCATTAGCTTTATTTGTTTACATTTGTAGTATTTACCTTCCTTGAGGGTGGATGGGTAACCATTGAAACACTTATAATTTCAAATGTTACTAAAAAAACCCACAGCTACTTAAATTCAGCCACTCTTGTGAACTGAACTCTTGTCTCCTTTGTGCATCTGTGTGGCACAGCCACAAGCACTGTGGCATTAAACTTGAAAAGGGATGGAGCAGACAGATCCTGGAGGAGTTTCCTTTGTTGCTGTGAGTGGCAGATTGCAGTAAGGACACAGCGGTGTTTACAACTGTGAATGCTTCCACCTTCCATAGCTTGATGTTGTAATGTCAGACAGGGACAAAATATTTTTGAGAATATTGTGACAAACTCAGAGCTATTGATGAAGCATTGAAACCTTTGCATGAACAGATGGTAATTTACTGAATTATTCTAGTGGCAGATTCAGGTAGGTAGCCGTATTGGTCTGACACAGTCAAAATATATTTTAATGTTTTTTTAAAAAATGTCCCAGTAGCACCTTTGTTGTTTAGTTGTTTAGTCGTGTCCGACTCTTCATGACCCCATGGACCAGAGCACGCCAGGCACTCCTGTGTTCCACTGCCTCCCGCAGTTTGGTCAAACTCATGCTGGTAGCTTCGCGAAAACTCTCCAACCATCTCGTCCTCTGTCGTTCCCTTCTCCTTGTGCCCTCCATCTTTCCCAACATCAGGGTCTTTTCCAGGGAGTCTTCTCTTCTCATGAGGTGGCCAAAGTATTGGAGTCTCAGCTTTAGGATCTGTCCTTCCAGTGAGCACTCAGGGCTGATTTCCTTAAGAATGGAGAGGTTTGATCTTCTTGCAGTCCATGGGACTCTCAAGAGTCTCCTCCAGCACCATAATTCAAAAGCATCAATTCTTCGGCGATCAGCCTTCTTTATGGTCCAGCTCTCACTTCCATACATCACTACTGGGAAAACCATAGCTTTAACTATACGGACCTTAGTAGCACCTTAGAGACCAACTAAGTTCGTTCTTAGTATAAGCTTTCATGTGCATGCACACTTCTTCAGATGCACACATGCATGCACACGAAAGCTTACACCAAGAACAAACTTAGTTGGTCTCTAAGGTGCTACTGGACAATTTTAAAATATATTTATTCTAGCGGCAGTTGGGTCTAATGAAACATGTCTGTACCTTGTTGTCAGGGAAAGTATCACCTTTAAAAATAACCAGATTTTAATTTGAATACTTCCTTGATCAGATGTTTTAAATAAAGTTTTAATGTGTACACTGTGTTTGTACTTGTCTATTCTAGTTGAAATGTAGTGATTCTCCTTCTAAGCTTTTCGTGACAGAGGAAAATCGGCTTATGCTGCCAGAAAAGTTAAACTTAATTTTCTTTCCATTTTGATTACACTATTCTGAGGAAAGAGAGACTAAATCCATAAGATCTGCAGATTGTGTTGCTTGCTGACTATATTCCCGGTAGAAGTTAATCCAGCCTAGAATCTCATTAAAAACTGTTCCAAGACTTTATGCATTTACTCCCTTATTAGAAAATGGACAACAAGACACAAGAAGACATTTTCTAGAATCAGATTTGACCATATGGAAGAAATGGAGACCAAAAATTTTACCTTTTGACAGTGGCGGAGTATATGCCTGCGCTGCCCAGGGCGGGCGCGCTCCCAAGGGGGACGGGGCGTGGAGGGTGCCCTCCTGCAACTCCCACGCCTACCGTGAGCCGCCGGGGGAAGGGGGGAGCTGCTTTGCCACTGGTGCAAAGGGGGGTGACATTCAGTGCGCTACCTGCCTGTGACTCAGACTCCCACGCCTACCATGAGCAAAGTGGCAAAACGACGCAGCAGTTCCCGCTTCCCCCGACGGCTCGCACCGCTTTGCTCACGGTAGGCGTGGGAGTCCGAGTCATGGGTGGGCGGCACGCCAAATGTCACCCCACCCCTGGGATGACACCTGGGGTGCTGCACACCCACCTTCTTCCACCAGTGCCTTTTGATTCTCCTTTAGTCCCAATAATATAACACTCTTCCTTTCGCATAGCAGCTGAATCATCTCCTCTCCCCGCCCCCCTTCTTCAGTCTACTCACAAGCACACAGAATGAATTCTCCTGTGTTTTGGGCTTTCTAGCCCTTTTTAAAAAAACTTTTTATACCTGTCAAAATCTCAGGATCTCCCCCACCCCCATATCTGCACCTCTTGTCTGTGGGTGATGCCATTTTGGCTTTGTAAGCAACTGCACACTCACCCCCTTAACATTGGAAAAAGGTTGATTTTAAAGATGAGGCCAAGACATGTTTTTATAGAGGGAGAGCATTTCTCACTATCCTAGGAAAACAAAAGTATATTTTTGCAAGGAAACCCCAAAGAGGGGCAATATCACTGAGCTGGTAATTTCCTTCATGCATGTGAGAATACGCAAGCAGCACATGTAATTACGTATTATCCATTTCCAAGGAGCAGTCTTCCCAACACTGACTCTGGATCTGCTTTTTAAACTTGTGCAAGTCCACATACTGTTTGGCCTTCGTAACATCTTAGTGTTTGGTGCTTCCTTAGTCCTGTAAGCCATTAGTGGAAGATTTGCTGACTGACCTAAATAAATATTTTGTTGTTGTTGTTAATTTCTTGCCAACTGTGCCCTTTCTAACATTACAAACTGGTTTAGAAGGAATAATATATTATTTGAGTGTAGGTTGAGATGAAGCAGATCACATAATTAATTTAACTGGAAATATTTATAGCTCATATAGCATTTGGCCTCTGCCATTAACCCCAGCTTAATGGTTCTTTATCTGATACGCATCCGTTTCATTCTTCAAACATGTCTTAAAATGTTGTCTAACAAAATGGCTTTTCATGGCCAAAGAATGTTATTGCTAAACCTTAGAAGTTACACCAATGTGGCATTTACGGTGGTGGTGGTAGGGAGAACCACACATGGAGGAAAGGCAGGAGATATATAACAAACAAATAAATAGTACAGTGGACGCTCGGGTTGCGAACGTGATCCGTGCAGGAGGCACGTCCGCAACCCGCAGCATCTGCAACCTGCAGCGCCGCGCATGCGCGGGTTGCGATCCGGCGCTTCTGCACATGTGCAAAGTGTGATTTAGTGTTTCTGCGCGAGCGCCGAAACCCGGAAGTAACCTGTTCTGATACTTCCGGGTTTCGGCGCGTCCATATCCTGAAAACGCACAACCTGAAGCGTCTGTAACCTGTGGTATGACTGTATCATGAATGCAAGCTTTCTTTTATTTCAGCTCAACATACAACCTACCTTTGGCTTTCTGTTTGACATTGATGGAGTATTGGTACGAGGAAAGACACCAATTCCAGGCGCAAGAAAAGCCTTTCAAAAACTACTTAATTCTCAGGGAGAGTTTTCGGTTCCTGTAGTATTTGTCACAAATGCAGGAAACTGCCTTCGTCAGAAGAAAGCAGACCAGTTGTCTCATATTCTTGGAGTGCCAGTGAGTAATTTTAATGCCTTTTGTGTGTGTGTGTGTGTGTGTGTGTGTGTGTGTGTGTGTGTTTAAATCACATGAATAATGAAGGAATATTTCTGTTTTATAAATTGTCTACTTAGTTCAGTAGTTCTTGTCTTGCCTTCATAAAGACAACAACTTTAAATCTCAGTTCCAAATCTTACAGGTGTCTTTTAAAATAGATGCAATATGTTCCGAATCATTTCAAGGGTTTCTCTTAGGGGATTAAAATGCTTATCAGCTTCGTGCTTTACAGGGCAAATTGTGTGTACTTCTATCCAAGTAACGTTAACCTCATGAATTGTAAGCTGTTTTCTCATTATTGTTTTGCTTCAGAATTTGTATATGGTTTAATTTAAACCTTACCTCTGAAACAAGAATCAGATGCTGGGTGTGGAGAGAGACTGAGGCAAGAACTATTTTAAGCACTGGTTGTGTGCTGTGGAAACAGAAATCTGATCTGAATTAATTTTTCAGTACTATTTTCATGAGCAAAGATGTCACAGGTAAAAGAGAGCATATTAATTAAGGAACTGATCTCCCATTCTTTCTCTCACAGATTTCCCAAGACCAAGTCATGATGTCCCACAGTCCTTTGCGAATGTTCAGACGTTACCATGACAAATGTGTTCTTGTGTCTGGACAAGGGCCTCTTCTTGATATTGCTAAGCAGTATCCTTTGGAAAATGTAGCTTATTCCAGGTTACAGTGGTACCTTGGGTTACATACGCTTCAAGTTACATATGCTTCAGGTTACAGACTCCACTAACCCAGAATTAGTACCTCGGGTTAAGAACTTTGCTTCAGGATGAGAACAGAAATCGCGCGGTGGCAGCAGTGGGAGGCCCCATTAGCTAAAGTGGTGCTTCAGGTTAAGAACAGTTTCAGGTTAAGAACGGACCTCCAGAACGAATTAAGTACGTAACCAGAGGTACCACTGTATATGGAAAAAGCTTTTGGTTTTTGGTTTTTTCGTACAGTGATTAATAGGTGCATCTTGTAGTTTATGCTGTCCATGAACTCTAATGAAAATGTCAGCTCTTAAGTGTGGTCTTGAAATATATAACGCAGCAAGGGAAATGAAGGGCAGGCAAAGAAGAGGAAACATTTCCAATTTTCTTTATTAACCTTTCTAGCTCCTGGTTGCTGCCTCGGTTCCTCACTCTCTTTGAGCAGGCCGTATCTGGCTTACGCAGAGAGGCTGCCGCTAACAGCTGTCCAGTCACTGTTGTGGTTATGCTGTGTGTTTGTGTGAAAGGGAGACTGCAAGCTTGTTCTGAAGCCATTGTGGGTTCTTGTTTTGGCTGCAGGGAATGAATACAGCAGGAGTAGTTTAGTGGATCCTAAAATAGTAGTAGTAGTAGTAGTAGTAGTAGTAGTAGTAGTAATTCTTGGTTATGTGGCTTGGAAAAAAAGTAGTTACTGCCAAATCAAATTTATTGCTTGTTTCATAAAGCAGAAATGTACATTCCAGAAAAATGTTGCAATAAAATTGTATTGTTATCCATAACCAAATACATTGCTAGTGTTGGATTTTGTCAGCCTGTTACAATCGACAGGCTGCGAGAAAACTTCCCCTTATTGGACATGGTTGACCATGACAGAAGACCTAAAGTTTCAGTAAGTATATTGTTTACTACAAATCATTTCTCTTAATAATTGATTTGAGAGCTTTGTATTGTCCTTAACAAAAATGTCCTACCTAACAGCCTGGTTTGGCCCTTGAAGTCTCATTTGCTGGAGATACGATTTAAACTAGAATACAAAGCAGGGAGGTGAGAGGAAGTCATGGAAATAAGTAAATGGGAAAATGGTTTGTAATGGTCAAATATGTTTTTTGTTATTTCTTTTTTTTTTTTTACTGTGATTTTCTGTTTTTCTTATTCCTTTTTTATTGTCTGTTTTTTATAAGATGTATGTGGTTTGTGTTTCTCTTTTTTTATACTTTTTCTTTTTTTGTAATTGTAAAATTGGAATAAATATTCTTTAAAAAAAAAAAAATTGAAGTCTCTCTGACCGCTGTTCATGTGCTCATAAATTTAGGATGTTCTACTGGCTTAACTCCACAAAATCTATTTTCAAGCAGTTGCTATATAGACAAATGAAAGACAAATTTAATTGCCTGTATATTGTCCACAGCATTTAAAAGGTTGTACAGTTTGTTCTGAAGGTTACCCAATATTGACTGATCTCACAATAGATTAGGCTGCAATGAAAAGAGCAGAGTAGAAACATGAGGAAATGTTTCCAAGAACTAATGAAAGCATTGCCCAAGTATCGTGTCAGGTTGAAGAGGACAGGAGAGTTGGACTGAACCGGACTAGTTCAGGAGGAAGGGGCTGGGACACTGACCAGCCCTTTAATTACCTGTACTTCCTCGTTTCCTTTGTGGAAAGTAGTCATGTGTAGTCATATGCATTACCTTGTGAAACTTTTTTTTTAGGTCACTCTTTCTTAGGTGAATGTCCTTTCTTCCTTATGCTGGAGTGCGCATTCACAGACATCTAAGTTTGTTTTGGAGGAAGGAAAGGAAGTGGAAGAGGATGATCAAATTTCATGGAGTTTCTATAATAAGTTAATTTGTCTGGCCTGTTTTGAGGATGGTATCACAAGCCTGCAAGGAATAATCAGATGAAAAGTGTCTGTTGTATGCTTGAATCCCATCATGAAAATTGTGAATTTTAACTGTGAAGGGAGTGCAGGATTTTTGTTTCTGTTGACAACAAAACGAATTTGATTGCTATTAAAATATTTTTTTTTAAATAGAGAAGAGAATGAAATGCACAACGGCATCTTCCCATACCCCAGTGCTATCTCATCCTTACACTTAGGATATTGTGTTGCTGAGTATTGTGCAAAAGATAAAATCCATTTGGGCACAATGGTAATATACAAATGTCCTGAGCATGCAAGGCAATGCTGCACTAGACCCAGAGGAGTGAGGTGTTCATTTTGAGGCAATTTTGCCCCCCTAAAACACATAGCAGGGGTTTGCATTAGTGAGTGAAGGGGCTCAAGCAATTGTTTCAGCTGGTATGGAAGCATGATACAAAGCCAAAGCAACAACCAGCAGCAAGTACTTTTCAACAACAGAGGTGCCGTTTCAGTTCCTTGTTGCTATAATAGGTATACATTTATTTCTTAGAAATGTAAATGGGCATGCGAAGCATTACATCTGAACAGGACTTGTGTGCCTGTCAGAGTCAAAGAAAAACCCCAGGATGCTTTTCTTAGTAATGATAGCTTGTTTTTTTTTTTCCCCTTTGCAGCATCCACCTGAAGTGGAACTTCCCAAGATTGAGGGTCAGTATGTCCTGCAGCCCATGATTTCTAAGTGAAGTAGAATGCATAGTGGCTTTCAAAAAACATACTACTTTGAGGGCCTCAGGGGCCGGTTGTGATGAACCTGACTGGTAGGCGCATAGCACTTGGCATGTAGAGTTTATATTCCCTTGCTCTTTAACACTAACTTACCTGTTTGTCTCTTTTCAGTAAGTTCTCTTGTAACACTGCCATTCTAGGCTAAGCCATGATGCTGTCAGTGCTATCTAAGTCTTAGCTTTACAATCCCTATTCCAAATTAGAACTTGAAAGCAAGGAGGTAGACCCTATGACCTGTGCTGGTTGTGTCACTAGTTGACTAGGCATTAGCTTACTAAACGCCCACCCACTCCCTGGCCAGAAAAAAAGACGGTTACTAAAAACTGCTGTATAAAACAACCTACATACGTAAACAAATCTTCCAAAACCATATTCCATACTACAGAAATTACCATCGCCATTATTAATTTCATTTATGAAGCACTTGCGATGTCGCATTCTGAAGCAATTGACAAAATCTTAGCTAGGGGGTGTTTAAAGGTAAAGGGACCCCTGACCATTAGGTCCAGTCGTGGCCGACTCTGGGGTTGCGGCGCTCATCTCGCTTTACTGGCTGAGGGAGCCGGTGTACAGCTTACAGGTCATGTGGCCAGCATGACTGAGCCGCTTCTGGCGAACCAGAGCAGCACACGGAGACGCCGTTTACCTTCCCGCTGGAGCGGTACCTATTTATCTACTTGCACTTTGACATGCTTTCGAACTGCTAGGTTGGCAGGAGCAGGGACCGAGCAACAGAAGCTCACCCCGTCGCGGGGATTCGAACCACCGACCTCCTGATCGGCAAGCCCTAGGCTCTGTGGTTTAACCCACAGCGCCACCCGTGTCCCTAGGGGGGTGTTTACTTTACATCAAAGATGTAAATTCTTTCTGCACCTTTGTACAATAGTCTAGCCCTGTTCAGGCATTCAGTACGTGTGGGTACCCAACACATAGATGGGCCTGTGGGAATGCATAGTTCTAGCCCTGTCCCATTGATAATTGACACACCTGTCAGCCATATCTCCAGGAAATATGTGGTTGGTGTCAATCTGAAGGGGGCAGATTCCATGCGCATACAGGGTTGCCATCTTTGTGGAGAAAATCCTGTATGTTGAAACGTGTGTGTGTGTGTGTGTGTGTGTGTGTGTGTGTAGAAGCAGCCCACTTCAGACAGACACTGATCAAGCATTAGTGAAAGAATGGAATGAAGGTAACAATGGACCCTGGAGTTGTTTCATGAATTTCTGAAGACGAAAGTTGATTGAAGACAATATAGCTGCAAATAAGTTACTACTCAGTTGAATTCTGCTCTATTTATTTCGGGCTTTGTACCATCTCATGAAGCGTAACGAGGACAGAATTGTTACACTGTGGTAGCTGTGTAGAACTGTGTACCTAATTTGTGTCCCTGTTGATTGCCTTGTAGCGATTGTTCTATTTGGTGAGCCAGTGAGATGGGAAACGAACCTGCAGTTGATCATAGATGTTCTTTTGACAAGTGGCTATCCTGGGAATCCATATGCTCAGGCAACTCACCCACATATTCCTGTACTGGCTTGCAACATGGATCTAATGTGGATGGCTGAAGCCCAGTCTCCAAGGTAGGGCAAGGGCAGTGAGTATTGGCAGGTTTTTCAAGATCTGTACAAACAGCAAGGGAGAACTCTTGGGATCTGAAGAGTTCACTGAGCTTATCAGCATACAACACCAAAAATGTACCATCAATGTCACAAACATTCATAATTCCTTGATTCGAAGAGTGGGCCTCACTGATCCATAATCCTCAACTTACTTATGAGGCAAGCATTATGACTTCTGGGAATACCTCAGTTTGGATTAAAATCTGAGCCAGAGGAGAATTTATCCCATCCCATCTGTCTGTGCACTTACCTGGCTGTTTCTCTGTCAGTGGGAAGTCCAAGACTAATTAAGAACCAAAAACAATCCCATTCACACTCCTGATGATGCCCGTCAAACACCCAGTGCTTGTGTCCCTGTCATAGGAGCATTGCAGGTTGCAGGGGGTAGGGAGGATGAAATGGAGATTTCTCACTAGCACAGCTACTGTTTCCAGGGAAGGGGGTTTGAGGAGGGTTGTGCTTCTTCATTCCCAGTAATGTTATAGGGAACAGGACCCATTTTGATTTGTAATTGTGCTTGGAATTAACTGAACTACTATTTTCTGCTTTAGGGGTATAGTTTAATTTGCCATGTTCATGGGTGAGGGGGGGTTTCCCATCAATACAAAATATATGCAACTAATGGATATTCCCAGCGCTGCCTGGGATTCTTTAGAGCAGGGGTCAGCAACCTTTTTCAGCCGTGGGCCGGTCCACCGTCCCTCAGACCATGTAGTGGGCTGGACTATATTTTTTTGGGGGGGGGGAAATGAACAAATTCCTATGCCGCACAAATAACCCAGAGATGCATTTTAAATAAAAGGACTCCTTCTACTCATGTAAAAACATGCTGATTCCAGGATCATCTGCGGGATGGATTGAGAAGGCGATTGGGCTGCATCCGGCCCCCGGGCCTTAGGTTGCCTACCCCTGTTTTAGAGACCAACAAATACTGCTTTTAAAAAATGGATAGTGTAGTGTATGTGTGTTAGCTACTCACCTGCCTATTTATGTAAAACTGGATGGAATTAATTCAGCCTTCACAATCTACCTCAATAGAAGTTGGAAAAATATCTCTTTTTATGTGATATTTTGTTTTTATCCTGGCTAAACATTCATTCTTGCTAAGCTTTATTTTCTGTATATTTTAGGTTTGGGCATGGAACATTCATGGTTTGTTTGGAAAACATTTACAAAAAGATCACTGGCAAAGAGCTGAAATATGAGGCTTTGATGGGAAAGCCTAGTGAACTGACCTATCACTATGCAGAATACCTGATCAGGACACAAGCAACTGCAAAACAATGGAAGAAGCCTATTCAAACCCTCTATGCCATTGGGTAAGATGTTTCTCATCGTAAAATATTCCTGTTGCAAACAGCAACTCATAAAACTTGTTAAAATGAATGAGTCAAAACTCATGATTTGCCAGTCAGTTGAGAAGGGGAATGTTTTAGGTAGGCTATTGTTACGAGTTTAAAAGTGGTTAGGGACTGGAATAAATGTGATTCTCCCCCTGAAAACCTGTTTAAAACTTATCCAGTGACATTGCAGATTGTCAAAACCACCCTTCCTCTTTCAATTTTAGCCAGGCAGTAAATAAGTGAAAGAATCTGCTATATAGTTCTACAATGTCTGGCTCCTGGTGAATCTGAAACCACCTTTTTCAGATCTTTTCATCAGTGGTCAGTAGCAAATAAAGTCACCTGCTTATGTCTGCTTAAGCAGTTACAGCCTACTTCTCTGCATGTTTTCTCAGAAGAAAGTCTCACTGGGTTCAGTGGGACTTGATCCTAATTATCTGCATAAGCTCGTCTTTTAGTTCACGTGGTGTTGAAAGATCATGGGCCAAATCATGCTGATTTCACCTTGGGAAGACTGCATCACAATCACTTTCGGTTATGCCTTTTTGGTTAATCACTTATGCTGGGATACTTATTCAGATTTGAGGAGGTTTTGAGCTTCATTTTGCTTTCTGTTAATGAAGTCTAATTGCATCCACTCTGTGCTGAGAATATATTGGCTTGCAGTGGAGTGAAAGAAGCCCATCAGAGGAGAACTCTGCTGCCGTAGAGAGCTCTGGAGGACACTGAAGCTCTGCTCTCAGTCACTGTCAGCCTCTCTTTTCCTCACATCCTGCTCATGCTTTTCAGTCTTCACTCCTGTGATAAGTTTTTTTGGTGGGGGGGGAACACCTTAAAAACGTTAAGATTCCGAGATGTCAGGTTCTTGACTTCTGTTGCCATCTGGTAAAATATATGCAGCCTTGGCTATACTGGTTCAGTGTGGGGATGTGTGCGAAAAGTATGAATGGCTTAAATGTGGTAAAATGTGTGAACCTGTAACATGTGCATATTTCACTAATATTATAGTATTTGTTGGTTTTCACATCATTCCTCTTGACTTGTTTGGATGTACAAAAGATTCTATGAACCAGGGTGAAGTTTATTTTCCCAAAGGCAAGGAGAAACCCTCTGAGACACAGTTCATTGGGCTTTAGATCCACAGAGCTGCTAGACCAGGGGTGAGATGTCCAGAAAGGGAGCTTAGATGTGTGCAGTCGTAAAGCCCGTAGACTGCAGTATGCAGAGGAGAGTCTGTGCACTGTAATAATGGAAATAGCAAGCTCTATCAGCAGGTGCATTGCGCATATACCCGAAATATGTTTATGCTGATGTAACTTTCTTGACTCCCTAGGGATAACCTAATGACAGATATTTATGGTGCTAATCTTTACAACCGCTACCTTCAAGAAAAGAACTCGAGACGAGGTTCCAAGGCACTTATCCAGGCCAAAGCTGCTGGGGGCTCAAGATCTGCCACAGTCTCTCAGGAAGAAGAACTCGAAAACACTTGGGAAAGTGAATTAGCATCTGCGACTGCCACAAGCTGTAGGTCTGTCCTTGTTTGCACCGGAGTTTACAACCCTCACACAGAGGTGCCCTCTGACACGAGGGAGTGCATAACTGAGACTGTGTTTCATGGGCACAGGGATTTTAGGTTTGATCCTGCTTTAGTAGAACCAAACCACATTGTTCCAGATGTTGAAGCTGCTGTCGACTTAATCTTCCAGCTAGAGAACTTTGCACCAAATGAAAATTACAGGACTCCTTAATGACTTTCTTAACATTGTATGTTCTGTGTACTTTTTCTTCCTGAAAAACCAAACGGAAGCACTTAGTGGCATATCCTTCCTAACATGTTTATATTTTTATATGTAACACTTCTAATACACTCCTGCTTGTTCTAACAGCACCTTCCTTTGATATCTAACTTTGGTTTCTGTGCTCTGATATCCCTTTGCGTCCAACACCCACTGTGCTTTTTATATGAATTGTTTTCTGCATGCTGGCTTCACTATTTAGCCACAGAGTTAAATCTAATGCTCTGAACCGTGAGGAAGAACATCAGCTGTGTTCAGCAGTCAAGGCAAGTCTGTTTTAGATAGTGTGTAATGAACTCTATGCAGTTCCGAGTTTAAAGCAGGGGTGGCTATCCTCCCAGATCCTGTTGTACTCCAGTTCCCATGAACTCCAGCCAGCACAGTTTATGGTGAGAATTGGTGGGAGTTGTAGTTCAATAATGTTTGAAGAGCCATAGGTTAGCCAACCCTGATTTATATGTTTATTCCTAAGGGATTATAGTGTTCCCCTCCATAACATCTTGCTTTCTTTTGCTACGAATTCCATCCAAAAAAAATCACTGACTCATTGTACTCTTTTCTCTGTTTCCTTTATGGAAAATAGAATCTGCACTTCAGGGGAAACGTTGTGTTGAGTGCTTTTCTTTGGATTTCAGCTCAAGCTCAATTGACTAAAATTATGGCACAAGCCATAAGTTTGTGCAAACACCAATGGGCTGAATGGGATTTCAGCAGTATAATATTTTGCTCAAATCCCGTTCTAAAGAGCTAGAAGTTCCTGGTAGGCTTTATCCCTTATCTGTCTGGATTTATCATTAAACTCTTAAATACACTCAAGTTTTATTATTAATCACGGTGTTTCTCCTGCACTGAACTGCAGAATGCACAATAGCTGTTTGAGCTACTTTCTTAAACCTGAAACTCCAAACCACAGTGGCGATGTTGAACATGCTAGTGAGGTTCCTTCCCTCTGCGAAGTATCATGTATCTGGTCTTTAATGGCCATGTATCTCATGGATGTAAAGTTTTAAATAGTAACTTATTGCTTACATTACCAGTTTTATAAAGCATTGTGTTTAACTAAAAAAAAAAAAAACCCTGCCCAGTAAAGTATTTTCTATTTAAAACTGCCTACGGATCTTTCTTTCTTTGTGCTTTCTATATATGTCATACGTCTGACCCCTTAATTATTGAAGATGGCAGAGAGGGTGATTGTGGAGCTACTGCAGGTATTCCTGGATGAGATTATCTAGATCCACCACAATCTGAGTTCAGATCTGGTATGGGAACTGAATCAGGCTTGATCAACCTTTATTGTGAGAGGGGGCAGGAGTGTGACCCCGTTACTTCTGCTTGATCTCTCCGTGGTTTTCAATACATTGACCATGGTATCCTCCTGGACCGATATAGTGAAATGAGTATTAGAGGCACTGTTTTACAGTGGTTCTGTTTGTATCCTCAGGGTTGTGACTATAGAGTAGCACTGGGTAAGTGTTCCTCAGACCCCCGGCACTTGTCCTGTGGGGTTCTGCAGAGTATTATCCTATTATACAAACAGGGCCGTCTTTACCTGGGGGGGGGGGGCAAGGGGTGCAGGGCACCCAGGCCTCAAATTCTGGATGGTGCCAGGCGCCCGCCACTGAAGCTCTTAACAACCTATCTGTTATGAAATAATAAATAATTTTGATCAAGCTAGAAAAACAAAATACATATATACCTAGGTATTATCGAAATGTATACCTTCTGTTTCACTAAAGGACTTTTGACTTTGTGCGCTCATTTACCAAAGACGTGCCGTGCCAGTGGTGGCGCTTGTCATTCACAACGGCGGCACTTGTCAGACTTGGGGGCGCTGGGCAGATCTTTGCACTCAGGCAGCACATATGCTAAAGATTCCCCTGTATATGAAGCTTTTGGGAGCAGTCATTAATAATAATAATAATAATAATAATAATAATATATAGTATTACTTGTACCCCGCCCATCTGGCTGGGTCTCCCCAGCCACTCTGAGCAGCTTCCAACAAAGATTAAAAATACATTAAAAGGTCACACATTAAAAACTCCCCTAAACATTAGGTGTTTAGGTGGGCCAATAAACTGTGCTTCAATCCCAGGAAGAAGGCTCTTGGGGTGGATGTTCCCCACCTTCAGGAGGTAGGTTGGGGAATGGGGTTGCTCTCCCTTGGAAGGATGCTTGGGGTGAGCTTAGCCGTACAAAGAGCTGTTTGGCCAGAGAATGAGAGATTGAAAGAAATGGTTGCAGGAATGCTGCAGAGTGTGGGGAGAATAAGGTTGTTTTCCCAAAATATATGTGTGTACACACACACACACACACACATATATATATCTATAGATGAAAACTCACTTTCCCCCCTTTAAACTTCACATAGTAGAGCCAAATGTAATGTAATATAAGCCTGTATAGTGGCAGAGTTACAGGAACAGCTACCCCACCAAGATGGTGATGAAAGAAAGGAGACCATGAGAGCTGTGGTAGAGTTCAGCATCTAAACCACAAAGGTATTTCACTTTGGTCTTTCCCAATTTCCCCCCTATGGGTTGGAACCAGAAGGTGCTTTCTGTGGACTGAAGCATTCATTCTACTTGCATCAGATCCAGTGGAGATTCTCACTGGAGAAACAGACTTTTCCCAATTCCCTTTCCCCACTGCAGCTTCCAGCTTTGCAGGAGGAATCAGCAGAAATCACATTGTCTCCTGTCCATTTTTCCTGTGGAAGCATCCCATGAGCAAAGTTCTGCTGCCAGATTCTGAGTCCAGACCCATTCCATCACAAAGAGTGAATATTCCTTAACTACCACAGAGTTTGAAGCACTTAAAAAGCAGCATTTAATTGAAAGCATTGGAGAACGTGGTGTTCAAAAAGCAAATTGCACAATATTGTTTCCTAATTGTTCCTAATATATTGGCTGAAATTGGAGCAGGAAATTATTTTTGGTACATTGCTGTCAATTCCAAAACAGCCGGAGTTGTTCTCTCCCCTCCCCCCCATTGGCTTGGTTTGAACACAGGCCTAAGCCTCTGCTTTTTAAAAACAGCACAGGAATGGACCATGATCAGACAAACCATGCCTTGTTTCTGCAAAGTTTGTTTTATTTTTCTAGATGTTCTTATCATATACCTTTGTAGCTCAATAAAATCTGCGTAGGTGTGGCCATGGCTAAAGACAGGTGCTGGGTTTGCTCATAACTCCATGCCATAGTTAAAATAAATCAAGATTTGTAAGCCAACAACAAACCGTGGCTTCAGATTTTTAAGGTACTGGGCAAGGTTAACACATGACCCAAAGGCACGGTCCAACCATGGATTCGCATTAAGTGTGAACCAGCTGTGCCACAACTGAAGAACATTTAAGAGCTTGTGAGTGGAAGAGACAAATTTACTAGTATTCCCTCCATTATCCATTAGAGGGCACTAGAGCAAAACAGCTTGTGTAACAGCTGTTCAAACTACAAGCAAACAGAATTTTATGCAGTATTTAATTAACACTTACTCTTTGGTTCTGCTAGTATAGAGCTGCACTGTATTGCATGTTGCATTTGGCTTTTAGGACATGACAAAATATGAACAACAGCACCGACAGAAGAACATCCAGAACTGATTTATTAACAAGTGTCATTCATATTCAGCTCAGGGAGTGGAAAGTTGAAGCAACAGAAGGGCAATATTGCCCCAGAAGGACTAGGAAGTTTCACAGTCGGCCCAGCAATTGCTGGTAGAAATCAGCCACGTTCTCCAAATCATTCTCCCTTCATTACACTCTGCCCTTCATAGGGTGACACCCAACTGATTCATGGCATCCACTTCTCTCACCAGATGTAAGCATCACACAGATTAGAGGTATATTGAATGAAAGATGCAGCTCTTTCCTAATGCCCACATTCTGTTGCATTTATTCCAAATTGAAAGAGTCCAATGCCTGCAAGTTCATGAGAAGCTGGTGGTGGGCTTTTTGTTTCAATGGGTTTTTTGTTGAGTACTTGGGAGTATATATGATTGAATATAGCAGTTTGGGAAATCTTGGGAGCCTTAACCTGGGGTACTGTCACATGATGCCCCTAGCTTAGATGGCTTTAAAATGTGATGAAACACATCATAGAATCAGAGTTGGAAGGGACCTGAGGGTCATCTAGTCCAGCCCCCTGCAATGCAGGCATCTCAACTAAAGCATCCATGACAGATGGTCATCTAACCTCCAAGGAGAGTCTACAACCTCCTGAGGTAGACTGTTTCACTGTTGAACAGCTCTTACTGGCAGAAAGTTCTTCCTAATAGCACACTGAGTTGGGTGTCAACAGGACTGTACCCAAACCAAGAAACAAGGAGACATTGATATGGTCAAGAATTCCAAGGTTTAGATGTCACCAACATGGTGCCCATGGGCCTTCCCTGGCACCAGAAGGCTTCTGACTCCCCCAAGCTGAACTTTGCCCAATGGTTGCAAGGTGTGTTTTTGTGTTGCCTGTGAGTTTCTCATTTGTAACTATAAGCAGATGCCCCTAAAGGGTAGCAACCCCCGGTTTAGAGAAATACAAATAGCTCAGTGCTGACAGAATGCCAAATCCGTTGAAGGAAATAAAAAAATGAAGGGGCAGGGAAGAGAATGTGTGTCCTAGAAAAGGGCATAGGTAGCTGGCACTCTGAACAAGGAAATTCCACACTGTAACATTCTGTTTGTGATTAATCACTATTGACAAATGAAACCTGCAAAGACAAGACTGACCTTTCAGATTCAGATGTAGCAGGCCAGTAAATACCAGTTGCTGAAGGGTGAGAAAGTACTAATGCCATCAGGCTGTTTGGGGGAGCTTCTGTTGGAAGCAAAATGCTTGACTAGATGGATTCTTGGTCTGAGGCAGCAGAACTTTCATTATGAGGTTACTAGCAGGGAGTGCCCAGGAATGTCTGGGGATTTTTGGAAATCAAAAAATATGATTTTAAAATGGACAGTGTAATTTGTGAGTCATGTCAAAAATCAGGCAAAGTCACATCTTGAATCAAAAGATGGTCCACCATCTTGAATCAAAATAACATCGGCACCCGAACAATAATGAAGACCTTGAGAACCTTCATGCCATGTTTAGTGATAATATCTCAGGAGATGGCCAATAAACAGGCATAGCTAACCCCAAGTCACATTTCAGTCTGCCATCTTGATTCAGAATGGTGCCTGGCACCCAACAATCGACATAGATCCCCACACCAGGAACCCTTGCGCCAAGTTTGGCAACATTAGCTCATGAGGTAGCCAAACTAATGCTAAAAAATGGGCAAAGTCACACCAAAGTGATGTTTTGGTACACTGTCTTGATTCAAAATGGCATCCAGCATCTAAATTCTGACAAGGACTGCCATCCCCACCTTGGGAATCCTTGTGTCGAGTTTGGTTATGATATTTCAAGAGGTGTCTGGTTGTATAGAAAACAAACGGACAAACCACTTTCCAAAATATATAGTAGATAATGGAAGTTCCTAGATCTTCTATTCCTTAGCATCTTTTGGATGCTTAATTGCTGTTTTTTTGAACAATGAAATTGAGAGAATCTTGCTGTTGACCAGTTCTGAGTACACTGATAACCATCTGCTTAATCTACGCTTGGAGGTGGCAGCTGACTCTATAAACGTGACAAACAGCTGAGCCATAGTGAAGCCTGCTTCCACTGTAGCTATAGCAATCTAGCTTCAGATGCAGGGTCATTTGGACTCTGGGAATCACATTGTTTCCAATAATAATTTCCTGCAGATCTACAAAAATGGGCCCTGCTTGCTCCAAAAAAACCAGCACAAATCAAATGCCAAGCCATGTGAATGTATATCCAACAGTAGGTACACACGTTTAGGTTTCAGCAGCTGTGGACAGGCCAACTTCTCAGATTATAAAAGTTGCTGCTTTAGCATCTCAGGATACTGGCTTCTCAATCTCAACAGTATAACTGCCCCATTTTTTTCAAAATTCTACTTGGACATTGCACGGTTGGTTGGTTGGTTGGTTGGTTGGTTGATTTATAAAAATACAAAACCCACACCTATGACTCTCCTGCTTTACTAGATTCTTGAGTCCAGCCAACTTTGTAAGGACCAAGTGGACTTTTGAACAGCTATACATACATATGCACGTCACTCAGTCACATTCTGACCAACACACTTATTTTATTCACTCCTTTTCCCAATTGCCCTTAAGACCTGCTGAAGAATGAGCACTCAGCACTCAGGTTACAATTGTGGGATTTCCCCCTTCCAAAATGTAGCACCTTGAGGAGAAGGTTCTTAAGTCTTAAAAATACGAACAGTTCCTTACAATGAAGTAGCACAGTCCTCTCTACCATCTCATTTCCACTTCTCTGTTACAGATGTAAAATAGGTTAAGTCGTTGGAATATTCAGCCAAGCAAATGGGAAGAGAACATGTCAGTTCAATGAAGCTTGAACCCTGTGTGCCAAAGAGGTACAGAAGTGTCAGCAGCTGCACTGCGTTTACAAGATCTCCATTTAAGCTCCTTCTGGTGAGCTTAAAGTTGGGGTGAAAATTGAGAAAACTACTTTTCTGGGGGAGGGGGAGCAAATCTGCTCTTTCTGTTCAATACCTATTTTGCTTTAGGTGCTGAGTGAATAGTGACACTGTGGTTATATGCAGTTAATGAGAAAACACACACACACAAATTAGCCAAACGCTCATTTTTATTATACACATTACAATGCATTTGCTACAGACTTTGCTAAAATTTACAAAAAAAGTAGGTTTCATAGTTTTTAAAAATAAACTTCTTTTTCTTATAAATTCATAAATAGGTGACAATAAAACGTCAAAATTGACTATTGTACGCAAGCTTTGTTCCCTTGCCATCTTGCATTCCACCCCACCTGGTAAACACTGTGCTAGGAAAAGCAAGACAGTTGCCGGTGATCAGAAAGATGGGCTCTATGCCTGTTCCCAGAAACCTTGATTATTACAAGCAATAAAACTTATTAAAAAATGCAGAACACTTCAGTTTACACCGGAGTTCTTCAAACCTTTTAAAGTCCTTTTTGGAATGAAGTGAATGAATTCAATATGAATCAGAACTTTCTCCCCACTATGTATGTAAGCCAGGCCTTTTTTATGGCTAGTGGAAGCTGCATGTCCCTGGGACATGAGATTTATTTTTTTTAACCACACACCAACATCTGAGGCACTATTACAGAATAGGAAATGCCACTGACAACACAGAGCACATGAGGAACCTCCAAAGACCGTGTCAGTATTCATCACTAAATATTTCCCTAAAAACCACTTTCAAAAGTAGTGCAGGCATTATCTCTGTCACATTCCAGACTGTGCCAACACCACAATTGCAGACTTGCATTTCCATCCCCATCCCCAATACCTGAATTTATAGCCTTGTGCTATCTTTCTACAGATTCTACCATTAGACTATGACCTGATGGTCAGGCTTAGTTGCCAACAGCAACTAAGTGTGATAGACACACGCATACAAGACAAATTTCGCTGCACTTAATAGGTATTGACACACCTCTGTATCTGCCCCCATGGATGGGCAAACAGCTGCAGGAATGGCATGCTTCTGAGCAGAGATGGGAGAAAGAAAAGGTTTAACTTGTCCTTCCCTACTACTGCCCAAATCATTGTAAGTTATTTTAGTCGGTGTATGTAAACTGAACTAGAGATAGTATTTGGATTAACCTGATCACATCAAAGTACTGATTCTCATAAAGATATGCAATTTCAGTATAGAAGAAGTTGTCCTTAAATTCCATTAATCTCAGCAGGACTTAAAGAGCTGCGGCCCAATACATATCACTTATTTCCCCCTGGCTATAAAAAACAATCCCAATCATGTATACTTAGTAGGGTCAATTGATTTCTATGGTACTTACTCCCCAGTACACATGTGGAGGATTGTAATCTTAGGCAGATTGGGGCACTATGCTCTTCTATTACATCTCTTGTATCACTATGGATGGGGACTGGAGAACACACATCACAATGCAGTTGCACAAATAGAGCTAATTTGCACGTGGGTCCCAAGGAAGTAAAACTGTGTATGGAAGGCTGGACATGCATGCATGTCTTTCTTGTGAGATCTAAAATTTTGGGAAGGTAGGGAATAGTTCTCTAAAGCTTGAGAATCTCTCAAACGTCCGCTCCCCGCTCCCCGCCCCAGGCAGAGAGCTTAAAAACAAAAGCAAAAACTTCCCTACAGTTTTGTATACCACAGTACAAGCAACCAGATTTCATAAACTGCAAAATTATTAGCATCACAATAAGAGGACTGTGACCAACAGCAATATATTAAGAGCATGCACGTGTCTCACTCATGCACTTTTTATTTTCTCAAAATACAATCAAAGCAGCTAAGATAGTGTATAAGCACCATAGGCAACCATAGTATCAAACCATTCCAGATTGTCTATTTACTATACCCTGTAAATTTATTTCCCAGTTGTACAAATTAGAAGGGATTTGGGATCGCCGTGCAGTGAGGTAGAGAGCTTACACACTGGTCCTAAATACATAGAGGTCCCATTCCATGCTATTTCCTGGTACCCAAATTTGGGACCAAGGGGAAAGTTTTCATCCACTAAATCACACCCATAATACCCCGCATGTTTTCCTTACACTTCTCAAGTTCCAGGTTTTCCACACTTCTGACAGCTCTGCCCATCTGAGCAATTCAAAAGTTGCCGTCACCAAGTCCTTAATTCTGATGCTGCCGCCTCCCTGTTTATTTTAAAAGTTGAGAATAAAAGCACAAAGCAGAGCCATGACCGTAACAGGGCCAGAAAAACGTCAGGGAGGAGCAGGAAGAGGGATGGAAAGGAAAGCAAACACAGATGTGAGAGCAAGGCAGAAGGCATTTACTTCTGCTGTCGCTGCCTGGATGATCGGTTTTAAAAGTAGGGAAAGAGGATTCAGAGAAACTGGTGCTTTATCTAGTATGACTCACCGTTTTGTTTTGAAGCAAAGATTGTATTTATTTATACCACCAGGGTGATGTCGCACATTTGAAAAAGAGAACAGAATGGAAGAGAAAGTAGGAACAGCTCTGCCAATTCCTCCACCTCCTCTTTCCATGAGAAATGTGTGCGAGTTTCTCCTTCAACATTACAGAGTTAGTGAAAAGAGCACAAAGTGTGACGTCTCTTCCTACACTTTTAGGTAATATATGAAGTCACTCTGGCTGGATGATTGATTGTATGTGTGATGTATTACCTACTATGGTGACCGATATTTGCTGCCACGTACATTCTGTTAGCGCACCGGTACAAATGTTTGTCAGCACAAGCATTTCTGCTTGCCCAGTGGAACAATTTCCCCTCTTCTCTCCCCATACACCGTCCTGGGGGTTCTCCCAACCCCCACAGGGCAAACTGAGAGGGCACAGGGAGGAGACAGGGGAAAGCCCTTTTGTGGGCTTCCACTGGTGGGACCAGTTAGTTGAATCTAGCCTTTTGCTTTTAAATGTATTGTAAGTCACTTGGAGACCTTTGTGTCTAATAAAGAATAATCCAATCTCGTACTGGGTCAATGATAAACATAACTAGGTGCAAATATCTATATATATGTCCAACATTACCTAATTTCAGATGTTTTGAAAAAACACAAAAGGAAGGCACTGTACTAAATTCACATATTAGATTAACAAATATTTGCATAGATTATGCATTAAGATGGAAATTGCCAATAGGTTAGTAAGGCGGGCATCTAAAAAAAAAAAAGCTATGACATTTGGAAAATATTTTTGTGGACAAGTACTATGCTTATAAAAATGGTGAAATCCATAGTACTTATAAACTTTATTTTCCTTGTTGTATAGCAAAATTTATATTTAATCTTGCAAGCCAGTAAAGGAAGGTGGGGGGGAAGAACAACTACAAATAATAATATTTTAAGGCTGATTGCTATTGCTATAAACAGAAAAGTTTTCAAAACTATGAGCTACTCTTTAAAAGTCTAGATTATGTTCCAACTACCAGGAAACAGTTTTCAAAGATTTAGGCCATAAACTCTCCTCACAGGCTACATAATCACACATTTAATGTACTCCCTTCTAATGAAATATTTAATGTACTCACTTCTAATGAAAGACTTCCAGGTTAATTTGGACACAGATAGAACTCTATTTTAGTAAGTGTTTGTACTTTATTTTTTAAAAGCTCTGCTACAAAAAGAATCCAATTATAAATGGTAAAAAGCATGTCTGGTGCCATCAATTGTGAAAGGTACATATGTGCTTAACTGGCCAGGCAGGTTTAGTAACAGCATTTTTTGTGCAGAAAATATGCCACAAAACATGCTTTCATGTAACAAATGTGGCACATCTGAAGCACCCAAACCCTAATTGAGAACTGTCTTTAGTACAAATGATTATCTATTTAGTATCAGCATCAGAATCTTGTGTGTGCTCTATGCGCTGCTTCTAGCGATATCTGTGAAATCTGCCTATGCATCTACATTCTATGCTAAACTGATTTTGGCAAATGCATTTCCCTCTTCTATTGTTTTGTGTCTTTAGCATGCAAGTGTGTTTTATTCTGATCTAGCAATGTTGAATGATACAAGACAACTTCATTCATCTAAGGAAGTTGTACAATATTTTGAAAGAAAAAACTGGATTTAGGGCAAAGCAATTTGCAACTTATTTTTATATAACCTCTGACTGAACCAGGCAGACTCCACAGATCATCTGCATGGTAGCTGAGGGCCAATGCACATGATCTGGGCCAGTGGCAAAACAACCAGAAGACTGCTCCTCCGCTGCCACTGCTAAAGTAAAATGTGACTTAGCCCTGAGTCTTGAGGGAAAGAAAAGAAATCCTAGGCAGAAAAATGCATTTATTTGTAGCAAAGATTTATTGTTTCCCAGTGTCCAAGATGGGTGATTCTTTCTATATTGTACTGGGAAGCTTCTTTTGAGAGATACATTTTCCATCTGATTAAAAGATTTCCTACACAATAAACTTGTGGGAACCAGCTATTGGTTGTACTAAAAAGACTGAGGAAAAACAAAGTGCTTAGTTTCTTTCCAGTGATAAGAGACTGCTTTGAATATTTTCTCACCAAGTTCCCCCATTAAAAGACCAGACCCAATAGTCTAGGGTTACAATCCTGAATTCTACCCTGCAGTACATTCTGCCATCTTCCATAGATGAGATCCCTAGGACAACTAGCACTACATGCCACTTGAGAAAAGACAAGGTCACTGTTGTCTCTGTATATAGATGCATATCTGTTCCCGCCTTCCCAACCACAGATAAGCCTCTATTACACATTCACCAATCCCCAAGTAATCATTGCCACCAACTCCACCATCTCCTAGTAGGGCATCAGGTTTAAGCACTCTAGGAAGGGAGGGATCACACACAAAGAGTAGCTCCTTAGCCACCCCATCTGCTGCAACCTCATTACCACTTTTTCAATAAAACACTTGCAAGCACACACAGATCCACAGTGATACAGGTGGCTTTGGCAGCTGCCAGTTGCTTGCACTATTCTGTTAACAGCTCATGCCCTTTTACTAGGCACTGGCTCCAAAGGGTGTCAGAACACTCTGTAAATACGAGATAGGTTCGTATTACTCTTTAAAGTTACGTCTCAGATTTACCTATGTTGTAACAAAAGCCAGTTCCTTCACAATGTTTGGTGAGCTACAGTACAGTACAATCTTATCTGTATGACTGGCCTGGAGAAAGAACTCAACTTGTAGCAAATTCAGGGCTATTCAAGGGCTACAAGAGTAGGCTCACAAGGAACCTAATCTGGGAAAAGAGCCATTGCATTCTGTTCATTCACTCTCAGGTGACATCAGAATACAGAATGTCAAGACAACATTAACAGCTGAGTTCTGTGTATTCTCAGCATACTTGCTATAAAATGTGCATAGATCGGAGGCAGCAGGTCGATTCTGAAACATTTGGTGGTCCCAGAATAATGTCTTGAACTGGGAGCTTGTGACTACAATCTTGTGAACAGAGTCTAACAGGATCCTGTTCACTTAAACCCTGGAAATCTTATATAGATCACACCCAGAATGTAGATTTAAGGATCAATTTCTAAAATCACCACCGTCATCATCATGGGAGCACCATCATGTCAGAATCCATCCAAAGTGATCCTAAAGATGTAATGGCATCATCAAAGAGTTAGCTGGAGAAGACCCTTACAATACTCAGTTGATTTGAGACCTGGCTATGATGTAAACTTTCCTGCGCAACACAGGCACATCAGTTTAGGGCTTGGCCTAAAGGGGATGGATGCAAGCCCACTAGGCACAGTTGCTAATCAGCTTCCATTCATTTAAATTATGCAACCGAAGTGCCTGGAGGACTGTACTCACAGTGTAGAAACATTTGTTTGATACCAACAATTAGTTAAGGTAATCACTGGAGTTTTCTGTAACTCCCAAATACAGTGATCAGTTACTGCTGGGCAATCAGTGCTTTTTTTAATTTCTGGATGCAGTGGACCTGATGTCTCCTGGTATGAAGTCCTATTTAGAAGCTAAACTTCTTTGTCACACCTCACACTGCATTGCTATGTAAAACGTAGTTGTGAAAACTATCCCTAACAGAAAGTAAGGCCTCTTTATTTATTATATCTAACACACTTGAAATCAAAGCCACTGCTCTCAAAACTACAAGCAAAAACACAACAGAACCCATTTTGGGTCCATCTTTGATTGGAAACAGTGGGATGAGTTTTTTAATTAAACAAATTTTACGGTCAGTTACTTTGTATGACAAAAACCAAAACAGACAGAAGGTGCCATATTTTTTATAGCCATGGGTGGATTTTCTGATAAATCATATCAATTTCTAAAAATGATCCAAGATACCAAACTTATCCAGGTCTTCTCTCTTTAATGCTAATTGAAATAATCATAAATTGATGTTTTTGAATTATAATCTGAATTTACAATATGCATTTTCCTAACACAATCAGGGACTTCCGAGTGTCCAGGTGCAGGGACCTGCTTTTCAGAGACTTTGTCCTTTGCTCTGAATTGAAGGCCTTTTAATAGGTACAATACATTAAGCACTGAAAAGCTGGCTTAACAGCTTGCAGATACTTTGGAGTTGAATCCAAAGAAAAGTGCACCGAAAGTTTACTTTCCACCCCCTCTTTCTTCTGACAGCCCGGGCCCGAGTCTCTGTTGTATGGAGTGGGATGTATCACGGGGGTGGGGGGAGAAAACTGAGAGGAAAGAGGAGATCCCTGAAAATCAGGTGGAGACACCTTCTGCAAGTGGGAAAGTCAGCTTCCTTTAGCCTCCGTTGATGCATTTTTTTCTCTGGTTTCAATCCTTTATTCAACCTATTTTAGTTTTAAAGTGCTAAAAAGAGGAAAAAAATGTGGGCAACATCTGCACATCTTAACTGCAGGCATAACTTTAACCTGAGACGAACATAAACTCTCCTTATGTTAAATGTGCTGAGCAGAAACAGTCACATAGTTTCATTAATACATTGCAGACCTACCAAAAAAAAGAAGATTTTTTTCCTCTTACAGAAACGAGAAGATACCATTTGAAAGAACGTGCTGTGGCACTGACTAATAGTGGCAGGGGCAGGGGGATCCACAAGAGAACAGGCTCAATTATTTAAAAGGGTTATCCTACAACTCACAAAATGTGTCCCACGTTGGGAGCTCCTGAGCCAATTTCTGACATGAGAGCAATTGCTTCATGATTTATAGGGGCTCCATAACATGGGTGGACATTTAAGGAAAATTAGCAGGGATCACCTATACCTGACTGTGCAGTTTACAGACACTTATCAATTTCTTAACAAAACTGGCCCAGACAAACTTCACGAGGAGCTGATTTCATGGCACAAAAAATAAAACAACCTTAAATAATTTATGATTTGCAATTTCCTCCAAAAATTTAATATCTAAAGTTAAATAGGAAGAAGCTCTAGCTGGATGACATCCTATGGAAAAAATACTCCAGCAACAACATTAATGATCAGCATATGTAACTGAAACTAAGCTTCAATAAAAATGATTTGATGCACTGCAGCAATTAAAGAAGCAAATGGTAAAAAAACAAAAACATCATCTTTTCATAGGTACTGAATATGAATTTTAAATGAAATTAATAACACTGAATATTAGAGGTACACCATGTTATCTCCAAGAAGGGGGCTATAAAAATGTGCAAAATAAATGATGAACAAACCTTAATATTGACATTACAATCCTAAGCCTATTTACTTGGAAGTGAGCCTGATGAATTTTCAAATGCATTTACGTTCCAAGAAGGTTCTGTTGAAATCAGTAGGACTTCCATTCAATGAAATGTTTTTAGGATCAAGTCTTCCAAGATGGAAATAAAGAAAATAAATTAGTGACCCATGTGTTCAGTTCAGTTTTGCTCATACTGGTTTCTCTCTTTGCCTGAAAAATGTGAGACAAAAAACTGTCCAGCTAGCTTTGCACCCACAGCATTAATCAACCCTCACCACATGCTACATTTAATGTCTAGAAAAACCTATCTTCTATGGAGGTTCCTCATATTGAACAAATGTTAGCTGATTTGTCCTATATAGGAAACTTTCAAGTATTTCATACTTGAAACGTCCCTGCAGAGAAATTGAATGACACTGTGTGGTTTCTGATTCTTTGATTCTTGGAATGCTGAGAGTTTAAAAACAGAGGCAGTGTTAAGACTCACTGACATAAAAGCAGAAGTGTCTTCTTCCCATGTACAGGGATTTACAACAGGTAACACAGTAATTTCTTGTTCAGACAATTTCATACAAAGAGATCCCAGTGGCTTCCTTCTGTGCAACTTAACTTTCAAATTGCACAAGTTCCTCTGAAAAGAAGGTGGTAGAAACTGCTACAGAGTAACGGCCGTGGAAGGCTAACTTTTAGATCTACAAAAGAAAGCCCCTTCATATTGAAAATTATCCTGCAAATGTTAATGTCTAACCTACAAAAATATTGGGCTTGCAGGAAAAGGATACTGCTGCTTTGTTATGCAGCACGGTGTGTGTGTGTGTAATTATAAGGGAAGGGAAGGTACCCTCGTAATTCCAGTAAGAGTTAGAGATAACGTAACCTGCATCAGCAACCACACCCCCATCCTTCCACATCCTTGCTGTCAAGTTTGATGCTGTCTGTGTTTTGCTCACTGAACATGGGGCCTCCGTGCCTCATCATTAGCTCTGTTGCCATCTTTACAAAAGCCTCCTCCACGTTGCTGGAGTCCTTTGCAGAAGTCTCTATGGCACAGGTGATGTCATAGTGCTCAGCCAGACTCTGAGCTTCCTCTAGCTGAACCTCCCGACGGTCACTTAGGTCAGACTTGTTTCCTGGCAGAAGAAAGTGGAATTGTTTACAGATTAATTTTGTAAATGCATCTCCTACGGTCAGGGAAAGTGTTCAGCCATGGGAGGGAGGGGAGAGACACAATAGCAGTGACTTGTGGAAGGGTGCTTGGAAAGCAGCAGAATCGCACAGGTGAAGGAAGTAGGCTGGAGGTGAGATGCCACTTATCTTGGAGATGAGAAAGAGCAAGTGAAAGTAGAAGCTGATAGAAAGTCTGTGGAGGAAGGACGAAGAAATCTGAGCCACTATAGGTTTATAACATTTTGCACTCTGGATTGTGGATTTAAAATTTCACCCTGTTTTGATGCTTAGAAAGCATTCACCTTCAACATAGTTACTTTGTCTAATTAAAGGTTCTGTGTAGCCCACACACTATAAATTCCTATACTAACGTTCATTTTCCTTGTTCTGTATTTCATTGGCGGTGTTTGGACATCACAATAAACCATGGTTTGTCTTGACTGGAATGAGTCTAACCTCCACCCAGGCTCATGCATTCCCCAATCCCCTGTTAGGATTCCTGCTCCGTGTTGGGAATTCCATTCCACCCTTGCTGCAGATATGTGGGATTGTTACATGTCCCATGTCACATGTCTGCAGCAAGGGTGGAATGGAAATCCCAACACCCCCTCCTCTGGCGCAGCCACAAGGATAAGACTGAAAGCTTTCGCTTCCATTTTTTATTAACTGCAGCTTATCATGTCATCCAAAGCCAGCTAACGGTGGTGAAGCTTAACTGGAGAAGGTGGAAACAAGCCAGTTTCAAACCATGAAACTGGCTTTTTCAAACAATCTGTAGTTGAGATTCACCACCAAGGATGTAACATTAAACTGTGGTTAAAATACAGCTTTTATCTCTGGAAGTAATATGATTCTGAATGTCTACCTACAGTGCCAGTTCTAGACAAACATTGTATATATAAACTGCAATGAAGAGTAAAATATATCCGTAACAAAGGACATTTGGCATATTGGACATAAGCTATAGTTGTTTGTGCAATTCAGTTTAAAGCAGGGCTTTCTTTCAGGCAGAACTCAGTTCCAGCACCTCTCAGGTGGGTGCCATTGCCATTATAAGAGAACAAAGGAGGCATTCATGGTGAGTTCCTCTTTTTCTAGAAAAACAGAACTGGCTTAAAGTATGTTGGAGCTTTACCATATATTATAAACTATAAGAGTCAAATCCCAGAGGACTCGAAGGCTCAATAGTGCGTTGCTCAAATAATTCCTAGTATTTTAAAACGTATTTTTGAATTTGAAAAAGAATAAAGGCTATAGAATCCTAAACCAGCTTTTCCCAAGAGCAAACAAAAATGCATGATGTGAAAATGTGAACTGCAGTAGGAACCAAAAGCCAAAGCTTTCCAAACTTTGAAAATATATGTCTCTTCATCTCCAAGATATCCAGGAAATAAAGAAAATGTCTCTGCACTGGCTGCTATTGGTCCTATTAAGTAGAGGCATAGCAATTTGTATTTTTAGCTCATTCCAAAATATACCCCACACTCACCAATCAGCAATTGTACTATGTTGGAACCTGCATATTTCCTGACATCCTCGATCCAGCGAGGAATAGACTGGAAAGAGCCTCTCTTGCTGATGTCATAGGCTAGAATAGCTCCATTGGCACTTCGATAGTAACTCTGGGTGATGGTCCGAAACCGTTCTTGACCAGCTGTGTCCCAAATCTGCAACTAAAAAAATAAAGAAGTTGTTAGGTCTTACAAGATATTGGTTGTATTTCTCAGGCGATATGCCTTATCTCAACTGGGGGGGGGGGCAGATATTTACTACAGAAGTGTACAGTTTTTTTTGTTTTAATAGATAATTTAAATAGAGAGAGAAATTGGTTTGGATCCCTTCCAGTCGGGATTCAGGCCTCATCAAGGGACTGAAACTGCCTTGGTCGCACTGGTTGATGATCTCTGGCGGGCTAGGGACAATGGTGAGAGCTGCTTCCTAGTTCCGCTGGATATCTCAGCGGCTTTTGACACCACTGACCATAACATCCTTCTGGACCGTCTAGAGGGGCTGGGAGCTGGGTGAACCGTTATGCAGTGGTTCTGCTCCTTCCTCCTGGACAGTGTTCAGAAAGTGGTGGTGGGGGATGAGTGTTCAGACCCCTGGGCTCTCACTTGTGGGGTGTCTCAGGGTTCTGTCCTCTCCCCTATGCTTTTCAACATCTACATGCAGCTGCTGGGAGAGATCATCAGGGGGTTTGGACTGGGTGTTCTTCAGTATGTGGATGATACCCAGCTCTACCTCTCTTTCAAATCAGAACCAGTGAAGGCCGTGAAGGTCCTGTGTGAGTGTCTGGAGGTGGTTGGAGGATGAATGGTAGCTAACAGATTGAGGTTGAATCCTGACAAGACAGAATTACTTTTTGGGGGGACAGGAGGTGGGCAGGTGTGGAGGACTCCCTGGTCCTGAATGGGGTAACTGTGCCCCTGAAGGACCAGGTGCGCAGCCTGAGAGTCATTCTGGACTCACAGCTGTCCAAGGAGGCGCAGGTCAATTCTGTGTCCAGGGCAGCTGTCTACCAGTTCCATCTGGTACGCAGGCTGAGACCCTACCTGCCCGCAGACTGTCCCGCCACAGTGGTGCATGCTCTAGTTATCTCTCGCTTGGACTACTGCAATGCACTCTACGTGGGGCTACCTTTGAAGGTGACCAGGAAACTACAACTAATTCAGAATACGGCAGCTAGACTGGTGATTGGGAGCGGCCGCCGAGACCACATAACACCAATATTGAAAGACCTATATTGGCTCCCAGTACGTTTCCAAGCACAATTCAAAGTGTTGGTGCTGACCTTTAAAGCCCTAAACGGCCTCGGTCCTGTATACCTGAAGGAGCGTCTCCACCCCCATTGTTCTGCCCAGATACTAAGGTCCAGTGCCGAGGGCCTTCTGGCAGTTCCCTCGCTGCAAGAAGCCAAGTTACAGGGAGCAAGGCAGAGGGCTTTCTCGGTAGTGGCACCGGCCCTGTGGAATGCCCTCCCACCAGATATCAAAGAGAAAAATAACTACCAGACTTTTAGAAGACATCTGAAGGCAGCCCTGTTTAGGGAAGCTTTTAATGTTTAATAGACTATTATATTTTAATATGTTGTTGGAAGCCGCCCAGAGTTGCTGGGGAAACCCAGCCAGATGGGCGGGGTATAAATATTAAATATTATTATTATTATTATTAGTGGACCATGTCCTATATAGGAAACTTTCAAGTATTTCATATGAAATGTCCCTGCAGAGAATTTGTTTTAATAATATTTTTAAACATGAGATGAGAAATGGGTATATGTGGACCATGTCTACAGATCAGAAATCTCATTTCAATCTGCCACTGTGTTTTCAAACTCTGCACACATATGGGCTGTCATTCTATTCAAACAGCTGCAGATTAGAGTTGTAGAGTTGGAAGGGATCCTCAGGGTCATCTAGTCCAACCCCCCTGCAATACAGGAATCTCAACTAACACATCCATGACAGATGCCCATCCAACATCTCCTTAAAATCGTCCAATAAAGGAGAGTCTGCCACCTCCTGAGCAAATCCATTGCACTGTCAAACAGCTCTTACTGTCAAAATCTTATTCCTGAAGTCTAGTTGGAATCTCCTTTCTTGTAACAATATTTTAGGTAACCTGCTTACAAGCTATATGGGTTTTTGTACACCAGTACTAGTACCTTGAACTTAGGCTGGTAGCTAATTGCAAGCTAACGCAATTTGTTCAAGAGTAGAGCAATAGGATGGGAATATTCTGTCCCAGTGAGCAGTGAAGTTGTCTCACTTTGCACAAGCTGCAGCTTCTTGGCAAGCCTTGAGGGCAGCCCCATATAGAGCACATTGCAGTAATCCAATCTGGAGGTTGCCAGCAAATGAATGACAGTGGTCAAGGTACCCTGGTTCTGAAACGGATGTAGCTGTCTTACCAACTGAAGCTGGTAAAAGGTACTCCTAGCCACTGAGGGACTGGGCCTCTAGTGACACAGATAGATTGCATCCCCAGCTGCAAAACTGCTGCTTCGGGGGGACTACAACCCTATCCAAATAAGACAATACCCACAGTGTCTCCATCTTACTATTAAACAGTCAATTAATAGTATCAATTACTATCAATATTGGCCCTCCTCCAGCCCACCACTTGGTCCAGCCACTGGTCCTGGGCTTGCATAGTTTCTCCTGATTCAAATGTTACAGAGAAGTAGAGATGGGTATCATCAGTGAACTGATGACACCGCACCCCAAATCTCCCAAGGACCACTGCCAACAGCTTCATTTAGACATTAAACAGCATTAGGGACATTACAAAAGATTAGATTTAACAAAACAAATTATCAGATAGCCCTACAGAAGGTTCATTTAATAAAATAATTAAGAAATCAATGTCCTTACAAAATATTTGCATAAGCGACACATGGGATTTTTCAAAATTCCTTGTTGTAAAATCAAGTGCTGAGCAAAGGTGAGCAAGTTACTAAAGTACACACTAATTTGAAAAGTATTCAATTTCTTCCCAATTAATATAGCTAATTTGTGGTAGATTTATGAACAGACATCTCTTCAGGGTCAAGTAACAAAAACTAAAGATGCCCCAAGCTCACACTTGACTTTGATGGGCAAATCTTGTATAGCATCTGGGATTGTACTAGCAGCCCCTGTAGTTTGCTTTCGTAGACCTACTACAGCAGGCATAGGCAAACTCGGCCCTCCAACTGTTTTGGGACTACAACTCCCACCATCCCTCGCTAACAGGACCAGTGGTCAGGGATGATGGGAATTGTAGTCTCAAAACATCTGGAGGGCCGAGTTTGCCTATGCCTGTACTACAGCATGATTTGCTGTTCATAAGAACACAGCTTTCCAGTGTCAAGCCACAAACTAACCAACCTTCTCAGGGTATTGCTTCAGGCATTTGCATGGGTAGAACAAAAAGATCTATCTTAGCATTCAAGATCAGGAAATCCTGCCAGATGCATGTGAAATAGAATGAGAGTTAAGTGTCAACATGGAGCAATCTGATAACTAGCTGCAATGATCCGCAAATGCTATCTCTTCCTTGACCTTCCTACCACAGTAACAGCTTTTTGCAGTTATCTGTTGATAAAACAAAGATTTAGAGGATGCAGAGAAGTCCTGTACAGTATTCTCTCAACTTGCCTCAAGGAAGTACTTCTCATGATGACACTGCACTTTCCCAGTTCAAAGCACAAAGTTACTGCTGTAAAGATGCAGGTCTTTCCACAGCTAGTAGGCCACAGTAATTTGGTTTGCTGCCTAGAACATGATAATATAAGTGCCAGCCACACTTCTGGATAATGACTGTAACATTGCTGAGCAAGCAATATAAATCCTTCTTCCCGCATGCCCAAACCATATCCTGAACCTAACCACTAGCACTCAACGTCCGAAGAGGAAACTAAAATGGGAACCAAAACTGACCAGTCTCCAGACAAAAGGTGGATAAATCCCTTGTCAGTTCTTTTGTTTCATACACAAACTCAGTCTTGAGACATTAGCTGGATGATCCAACACAGCTAATAGAAGTTGGCAAGTCAGAATTCCAAAGTGACTCACAGGAGAGAGGCACTTCAGGCTCTTGCCCACCAAAGCAATTATGGGGTGGGAGAAGACAACAGAAATGACTCCCATCCTGATTAATACTATATGAGGTGGGAAGTTAACCTGCCCTTCCCATGTAGTAACCCCAAAGCTTAAACACACTAGTGATAACAGCCGTGGGAAGGAGGAAGGCAGGGAGGTTTCAGGGGTAGTTGCAAAGCAAATGGGGGCACTGCTCATCACTGTGATGCCTGGGAGAACAGGGATGTGGATGGATTGCTCCTTGTTATTTTCTTTGCTCTACAAACTATTTTGCCAATTCCCTCTCTCACATTCAGTTCCCACCCTCATTCTGTTCTGGAAGGTTGGGGGATGCTATATGTGTCATGTATTCAGTGAGACTGAAATGCATTGTGGTTAATTAACACATCAACTATCCCTACAGTCTTCTGCAATTAAAAACACTGTCCTGATTTACCTCTTAAAATAAATACCTTTAGTTTTTACTGAACAAAATAAAACTATGGTACACCTGTAATCAAGAAGAATGCAAATGCAGCGTGCAGTATTTTTCTCAGAACACAAATTCAAGCTTATGGAAGGTTTTCAAACTTGTAAAAAACTGCCCATTTGACAATGGTTTTATGAGAGGAGCAGTCACGCAGATAAGACATTGGTCCCATTTTATCTTCCTGCAACATGAGGGTCAAAGCTCCACATATGGGAAAGCTCATTTAAACCAAGCCAAGTACTGAACTAAGGAAGTCTGAAATGTCATTTGAATTTCTCAAATGTAAGACTATCCAAAATTAGTTCAAAATACCAAAAAAACCTGTGTACCATCTACTAGTGGGATCTAAAAGCAGACTATGTGTATCTAGTTTCTTCTACGGTAATGTGTAACTGCCAATCACAAGAAATTTATTTTTATTTTATGCCACATGTAAGAAGCCTTCTTTAGCTTTTCAGTTGGCACTGCTCTACTCCAAGAGCCCTTCAGAGAGACACCTGGTACTAGGTGGAGTCCCAGGAAGGAAAATATTTGCAATTCATGTGTGTGTTTGGCATATAAACTTGACCAAGCTTCAGTCTCAGAGGAAAAATGTCTCAACAGCCTTTTTGCTGGGGAAAAAGGAAAAAAGAGACTAAAAATATAAATGTATATTTAGATAAAAATAAAAATAAACCTTGGGGGCGTTAATTAATGGAATCCTCTTCCAACACATAAGGTAAAGTAAAACTACCATGTTTATTAACATTTTTCATTCACCCCCACCCCAGCAGCTTACATAGCCTATATTTAAAAGTAGATACATCTACCACACAGGAAATCATATAGGTCTCTCTCTCACACATACTACAGCACAGAAGGGAAGCTGTGGCCCTCGAAATGTTGGTGGGTTCCACTTCCCATAATCCCTGACTACTGATCACGCTGGCTGGGGTTGAAAGGAGTTGGAGTCAAGTAACATCTAAAGGGCGACAGCTTCCCCATCCCTGCGCTATAGCCTGACAATGTTAGTTAATATTCCAAGGTTGTATCTGATGAAGTTGTACTGAGAGTGCAAAGAGTGTCTTGAGTTCTAATCCTGGTACGGACGCACTCTGCACTGCACAGTCATAGTGATGTTTATGGTAATGAGCATTTGCCCTTGGGAAAACAGTATCGCTCTGCTATTTGTTTCGAAACCAAGATGGCATCTGGAAAAGCATTCTATTTACTTTGCTAGTACTTTGGACAGTTTTCTAAGCCACTTTAGAAAGATGAGTCATATGATAAAGCAGTTGCGCAACAAGTCTGTTGACATTTGTTGCAAGCCTATTCTTAAACCTGTTTAGCACCATCTGAAGCACTTTTCCAAACCAGCTTAGAAAATCCTGGTGTGATGCTGAAGAAAAGGATACAGTCATAACACCAAACATATTTGAAGCTCTCTCTTATTACTTATATGCACTGTGCATTCTAGGTACTGTACATGTCACATTGTGGACAGGGAGATTCAAAAATGGTTTTTAGTGTGATCCTTTAGCTTCCATTTCTCAGTCAAAAAGGGGAAAATGGCATTTGCTGTGAGGTCTAACAACGTAAGAGGCACAAATAGCCTAAAGATATGTCAATTTTTTAGAAAGGTACTGTGTTAGCATGATTTTAAAAGGACATTAGACAGGCAAAAACAAAACCTTAGGGTTGCATGAGGCTGAAATCACGCTTAAACTGACTTGCCAGTCCCTGTGTGTGCAGCATTAGTACGTAAACACAGCAAACACATAGGCTATGGATCCTAAGTCTGTGTGTAGCAACAGAAAAAAAGAAAGAAAAGAAAAAGCTTACAGTATTACAGCACAAGCCTTTGTAGTTAGCAGGACTCAACAGATGTGTGACGTGGACTGTTGGGAGCTTTATGGCTTAAAACCAAGTTAACTAGGTGATAACAAAACACACCCTGACAATTAGAGCACTGTGTACCATATCCTGTACATTTTATTATCGCCACTGATGTGATGGTGATTTTGAACAGTTTATGTAACATCCTTTTGAAGTTTCCTTTAGGTATGCTCCAACTGAGGTTATCCTGGAGCTTCCTCATAAATAACCTTGGAAGTATTTCCAATTCACAAGCAATTGCAGAAAGGTATATAACATTCCCAAAGGGATTTCCATACAAGGTTATGTATACAAATAAGGTTTGAAATGCACAGGGAACATTTTTTTGCAGAGCACTTTTGTACATAGCACTTTTCAATTGTCTATCCCTTTTTACAATATTATATGCCCACTCAATTGCTTCACCCTGAGGAACTGGCACTGTTACAAGTGCCACATAATCCTTGTTCAACACTTGTAAGAAGTTGATCTTTCATTGTGGTAGCCACCCACACTTGGAGCTCCCTGCCTACTCACACAAGGCAGGTGCCTTCACTATACTCTTTCCGGGGCTTCTTACAAACATTTTTATATAGGCAAGCCAATACAGACATAAGAAGGTTGACATGTGTTTTAATATCTTATTGTTGATTTTTTTAAAAAAGTTTTAAATACTTGTTTTTAACTGATTTTTACTGATGATTTTATTGTTGTTGTAAACTGCTCTAAGGATTTAGTACAATCAACTGATCTATAAATATTTTGAAATAATCAGACTTTGCACAAAACAGGAGTTACTATCTGTACTAGCAGCACATCCAGATAGGCAGTTTCCCAAGTGGTGTGCATCAATGTTCTCTACATCCCTCTGCCACAATAGGAAGTGGCCTAAGAAAATTCACTATATATACATGACAGCAGCAAGCACCTGAGAAGCGCATCCTTGACACAAAATGGATTAAAACCATTCCTGCAGTATGCTCTTTAGATCAACCAGCAGTGTGGGCCGGAAATGTCCTGCTTTTCAAACATTTTTCGGAAGCCGAACGTCCGATGCAGTTGCCAGTTTTTGTTTCCGGGGCGCCTGCACCAATCAGAAGGTTTTTGAACATTTCAGAAGTCAAATGGACTTCTGGAACGGATTAAGTTCAAGAACCAAGGTACCACTGTATGTGTGTTATCGCACGAAGTGCACACGGTCCAAACTTTCTCAGCTACCACACCTGATGCCCTTACCTGTTGGTCGGGGGGGGGCAAAGTTTGTTTGTCTGAAATTAGTATAGTGTGTTTAGGGTAAAGTTCTAGCACAAACCCTTCAGCAAAGTCTGTTGGCAATGAATTCAGTGCACCTCTGTGGATGTCAGGAGGAGGACAGAGAGGTCTGGTGCCACCTAAGCCCGCCTTCCCCCACACCTGTTACCTGCCTGGCTAGTGGGGGTGGAAGGAGCAAGAAGCCCCTTCCCTTGCAAACTGGGGCGGGGGGGGGTCGTGGCGAGAGGCAGGCCAGCCAGCCCCCCCTCTTGCTTGTCACCCTCCCTCCTCTCACACTCGGTCCAACCCCCACCTTGACCCGCTTGCCCTGGATCTCCAGGCTCTTCATGGTGAAGTCCACGCCGATGGTGCTGCCCTGCCTCTCGGCGAAGGCCCCGGTCTTGAAGCGCTGCACCAGGCACGTCTTGCCCACGCTGGCGTCGCCGATCAGCACCAGCTTGAAGAGGAAGTCGTAGCGCTCCTCCGGGTCCGGCCCGGGGGGCGCTCCTGCCACGGGGGGACCCGGCATGGCGGCAGCGGCGGAGGCGGCGGCGCTGGCGCTGGGGCACCTCTTGCCGCTGCTTCCTTTGGCCTCCTCAGCTCCACAGCGGCGGGGAGCTCCGCGGCGCCGGGCCCGGCCTAGCGCTGAGCTCGCCGCCCCTTGAGCGCCTGTCTGGGCCGCGACTGCGACCGCCTCAGCATCGTCCCCGGCCCCGCCAGACCGGGTGACTGGGCATGCGCAGTGGGAGCCGCAAGCTCTTCCTCATGCATTTGCCAGGAAGGGCGGGCGAGAAGGAGGGAAGCGTCGCCTCAGGTGGCGGCAGGCGGGACGAGGGGCGGGGAAACTCCGACCTGCCTTCACACTTCGCGCTGAGGGCCGGCGCAGGCAGTGCAGGGATATCCCAGCCCGAAGCCAGGGGAAGCAGCCGCCCGAGAGGGGTCGCGCCTCAAATTTTAGGAAAAGGAAGACGCTTCCCTCATATTGAGAGCGGGCGGGAGGATCTGCCTACCACGTGTACGGAACCTTAAGAACACGTGTATGTGCTTAGCAGAGCCGCCCAGCCATTGGGCAGGGTGAGGCTGCTGCCTTAGGCGGTACTCCGTGAATTTTGGCCGAAATTGTGTAAGGTCTTGCAATGCCTGCAAGCAGAACACTGGAGGAAGAGATGCCAGTGGAACGAATGGGCTCTACCAGGTTCTTTTTTAAATTAAAAACAAACAAGCCCAGATCCACCTTCCTTGTGCTTTGCTTCCTTTGCTTTGCAGCCTCATTAGTCCTTTGGATAGCCACGTGTGAACAAGCTCTTTTAAAAAGTTTCCCCCCATAAGGCAGTCCTGTTGATGTTTCCTCTAAAGACCCACTGATTATTCCCAGGTACAAGTATACATAGCCTGTGTTACATAGGGATGCAGATTTAGGCTGAAATCCAATAATTTGCTTGGAGGTTAAGTCCCATTGGTATAGGTTTGCACTGTTGATCTCAGAAATAATTGGTTGTAGAAAACAACACGAGGCCAATTTCCATCTTCCTCATTGCTGGCCTTGTCAAAACAGAGAAGGAAAGGCAGGAGGGAATCAACTATGATAGCTGGAGACGGTCTCTTGACTTGCCATGTACGCAGAATGGTAGAATATTTTGTGAGGGCTATTTAGGTAAGTATGCCTTCCTTCTGATGTTAAGTAGTCCCATTTGAGGGGGGGCACCACATCTTTTCCACTGTAAAGTTCAGTGAAGTCATAGGGTGATATTCCAGGACTCTGTACATTGCTTTTGAGAAATGCTGGTGTGTACACATGATATTTTATTATGGAATCAGTGGAAACAGTACTTGTTTTTTTTCTATGCAGTCCACACAAGTGCATATTTTTTGCTCCTGAAAAGCACTTTATGAGAAACTGGTTTCATTCAGAAAATAAAAGCTCATTGAGATTGATTCTGCATTCTTCTGCAGTATGTCCATTTGAAAACAGGTGTAGGCAGTGCTATTTTTCTAGAAAAAGTGCCAGAACTCACCATGAATGCCTATTTCTTTTTCTTAGAATGGCAATGGCACCCACCCGAGAGGTGTTGGAACTCATCTGAGAGGTTCTGGAACCCACCTGAGGTGCCAGACTGAGTTCTGGTGAGTTCCCTCTGAGAATAAGTTCTGGGTGTAGGTGTTGTTCCTAGCAATGGAGGGGTGTAACTGTATCTGCCCAGTTACATATGTTTGTACATATACCAAGGTTGCAATCACTACTTCCTTCTTCATTCACCGGGGCATGGGCATGGAGAAAAAGGCATGGATAACCTAATGAAGGTGTTTCAAATAACCACACCTATCTTTGTGGATGGTGGCATCTAAAATAAATCTAAAGCATGTTGAGAGCAAGCATGAATGATTCTGGATTAAGGAAAGGTACATTTTTGTGATAAAACTGCATACAGATGATACATTTAATTTACATAACTTCCCTCCCAAAAAATCCTGGAAACTGTAATTTACGTCTCACAGAGCTACAATTCCCAACACCCTTAACAAACTACAATGCAGGATTCTTTGGTGAAAGGCACATGGTTTCATGTTGTTTAAATTCCCTGTGTTATAGGTCCTGTTCCCAATATATGTCTACTTTATCCAGCAGATCTTCAAGCTTGGTTAAAAAGCCAGCTACAAAACACACTGGTGAGTCAAGAAAATAAGTTTGTTAATGAGGAAATAAAATACTAATAGTGGCATGCAGTAAATTGTGCTGTTAGTTTGCATTTTGCTGATAAAATGATCCATGTCCTAACCTATGATACAATGCTACTAGGGCTGCCAATCTTTTTCTTTTAGGTAACAACATGATGTAGTTCATTGGAAAACTAAATAGATTGCTTTAATGTCAGTGATTTTAGAACTATGGACTGCATTAATCACTACTTGTGGATCAAAACAAAGGTTTGCAGCTTTCCCCTACCATTAACAGCTTCTGCTGTTGTTCATAATAAATGTGCTGCAGTTTCCTCTGAAAGTAAACACAGCTAAGGTACAGCAATATGTGCTAATATAGTGCTAATACAGAATGCAATCATCAGATTTTGATTTACTCCTTAGCAATTATCTGCAGGATTACAAACATTGTCAAAAAATGTCCTTGGGCTGTACCCAACCAAGTAGTTCCATTTAGCACAAGGACCTAAGGCTGCAAAAGGGGACTTGCCCTTCCCTTTTCTCTTCCTACCTCACCCAATCTGTTCTTGGGGTTACCCCAACCCTCTGGTGCAGATCTGGGGAGGGCAGGAGGGGGGATGGAGGAGAGGAATGAAAAGTTCTGTTGCATAAATACAACACTCTGTGCTAACAAAACTACTTTGTTGGATACTGCCCCTTATTTCCCAAGCATGAATTCAATTTCATGTTAGCATCTGCCTAAGTAGCTGATATTGTTATTTGTAGGCGAGCAGTGGGGATTTTGTTATTACTTGTTCTTTGAAAGCAGTTCACCACCATAACATATAATGATGTTTTTTAAAATTCCCCTCTGTTTCAAACTCCTTTGGGTGGTCCACTGTGAAACAGTGACATGTAAGAGACAGTGTGGTATTGTGGTTAGAGGGTTGGACTGGAACATGGGAAACCAGGGTTCAAATTTCCACTCAGATAAGGCATATTAAAACAATAGTTGTCTTGATCCAGATGCACAAGCAGAAAGAGGTAAATGCACACAAATCTCTCCTATTTTACTTCGATTAGTATGACTCATCATGTAAGCACGGAGGTAAGGGGGAGGCAGCAGATGTCAGAGTGAGTTCAATTTCCTCTCTCCTGAGCTTCTGACTGGGGATTGGAATTAGCAAGGCTAGCATTTTCTTAGCTAAGAGATGGACAATTCCTGCCTTACTCTTGTTGTTCTCAGCAATGGTATTGCAGAATCTTGAGTTCTGATAGCATACTATTCCAAATACTCACTTTTAAGATTATTCAGTCCCAATGATTTTCCATATTTCAAACCATATTTACTTACAACAGTGACTGGAGCTGGCTCTGGTTACTCAGTGATGGGAATATGTTCAGCACATGCTAAGATGGCCTTCTCATAACCTGTGTATTCTTTGTTTCATAAAGAAATAGGTTGTGAAGCTGAGCCTTGGCACAAATTAAATTCTGCAGCTGGTCAAATGACACTGAAGCATGCCAATGTAAAATTGTAGTTTTAGCACAGAGATCACCCACAATTCGTTAGTTCTGAAAAATGCTATAAATAAAAGAATTTATCTGTAATTTTGGGATCTGCTGTGAATCAAAGTTCTTTGGTTTAAAATTTTGCACTGTTGCTATGGTGTTTAGATAATACCACATGGCATATATTAATAACAGATTTCTTGAAAATAACATTTGCAGTTAATTTTCTATGCCTTCTCTCAATTGTTCTATTTCAGTGAGTGACGTAATAAGATCCCCCACACCCCTGCTCTAAAAGCGTACAGAGTGTATCTCTACAATATACATTCAGCGAGCAGCTGCTTTAGAATGTGTTAGAATTGACAACTTTGCCATAGTTTCATTCAAAGTGGTGTTGCCAGCTGGGAGGTATCAAAAACAAAGTTTTTGATAAGTAAGCATCGCTGTGGATTTGTGTATCTGTTTTCGTGGGTTATGTTCTTTTCTGTGTTTGTGTACCTCTGATTTGCACGTGCAAGAAAGCTATGTAAGCAGCTATATAGCTTTGTAAGAAACTAGCTTGAGCACAAAGCTATGATTTGTATGTACCATAAAGGTAAAGGGACCCCTGACCATTAGGTCCAGTCGTGACCGACTCTGGGGTTGCGGCGCTCATCTCGCTTTATTGGCCGAGGGAGCCGTACCATACTCAGGGCTTTTTTTCAGCCAAAACTCGCTAAAACTCAGTTCCGGCACCTCTCAAGTAAGCACCATTGCTATGTTTAGAGAATGAGGGAGGTGATCATGGCAAGATCCAGGACCTCTTTTTCCAGAACAATAGCACCACTGACCATACTATATATGCAAAGCTAAAAGTGCTATTGTGTTTAAGCAAGTGAAAAAGGGAGTGTGAGCCTTTTGACAAATGGATAGCTACTAGGAGAAGCATAATTTTTTTTTAAAAAAAAATCTTTCTGGCCAGGTTTGTTTGATGCCTTCCCTGTGTATTTTTTTGCCCAATATAATAATACGCTTTTCTTAGCCATGGGGTATAGGTATTTTGAATCAATGAAGAAATACTCATAAATCTTAGGAGGCTCAAACAGATGTTTTAGAGACGTTATTATAGTTAGGTTTATTCAACTGACACATTATATGAACCTTGAAACACCCCTTATTACTACCGGTATTTTTATGTAGATTTATTCATCATAATGAAATATCAGTAGTAACTCTTAAGTGTACATATGCCTACTGCAAACATTCATCCCAAGAAAAGTATTCCCTTACCAAATTTTACCTCTTAAAAAGTGTGACTGTTCCATGTCCTTGTCTCTTTTCTTACTAATTAAGGCAGAAGCCTTATTCTCAGTTAACTTGATATGGACAGGGCTAAAAATCCCAGAGGAGTTTAAGGGACAAACAAGATGAGATGCCACTCACACAACTAGCAGTTATGGTAAAGTCCCTCCCCCCCCCCCAATTTGGTAATTTGTAGGTCTGGGACTCCTAATCCATACTGGGATTGTTGGTGGGGGGTGGGCTCTACCCTTTGCACCCTCACTGTTGTCCCACTCTGGTTTGCGGTCCCTGTGCTTGCTATTTGCGTTGGAAGAAAGTCTTCAGATAGTGCAAGTAAGAGCTTTTCTTCCCATGCAAATAGCAAGCACACGGATCCCTGCTTCAGATTGGGACCTCAGATTGGGAAAAAGAGTTAAAGCCCCCAGCCTCTGCCAGGGTACCAGTGCAGATCTGAAGGCCTGCTATTTACTTTTACAAAGCCATTCACACAATTGATTTGTATGAATGATATCTGATCTAGTTTGGCCCTAAGTGCGAGACTCTGTGCCAAACACTCTCCGTAGTACTTTTTCATGAAAATTAAATGACAATCTATCATGTACTTAAAACTGAGCACATTCTTGAGTGCTGTGCTTCAGTAGGATTTGGGAAATCTACAAAAGTATCTTTTGTTTTGTTTTGTTTTGTTTTGTTTTGTTGTTTTTCTAGTACAATCTAATAACTTTTAGGTGGAACAGTTGTGCTTTTAATTTCAAGTGGAAAATATTAACCAATGTTTTTGTAGATATTGCCAGACTCTTTATGGATGAATTTGGCAAGTTAAGCACTCATATGGTGTTCAGCGCTCCATTATATAGAAGTGTATTGGGCAGAGATTTGTATATATTTATATTCACTTCATGCTGTAGAATGAAAATTGGCTTTTAACTCCTGCAATGACTTTGCAAAGTTTTTTGCAGATAAAGTCGCTCAGATTCGAGAAGAGGTAGACTCCACCGTGGGAGCAGGGCCGGGGCGGGAGAGTGCTAGAGTCCTGTCTAGTCAAGTTGTGTGGGATCAATTCCAATCTGTTACCCCGAGGATGTGGACAGGCTGCTTGGACGAGTGAAACCAACCACTTGCCTCCTTGATCCTTGCCCATCCTGGCTTATAAAAGCTAGCTGGGAAGGACTGGGCGATGGGCTTCGTGGGGTGGTGAATGCTTCCCTCCGTGAGGGAGCCTTCCCAGACCCGCTGAAAGAGGCGGTTATTAAACCGCTTCTTAAAAACCATCTTTAGATGCGGCCACGATAGCCAACTATCGCCCAGTCTCAAATCTTCCATTCTTGGGCAAGGTGATTGAGCGAGTGGTTGCTGAACAACTCCAGGCACGCCTGGAAGAAGCGGACCATTTGGATCCCTTCCAGTCGGGATTCAGGCCTCATCATGGGACTGAAACTGCCTTGGTCGCACTGGTTGATGATCTCCGGCGGGCTAGGGACAAAGGTGAGAGCTGTTTCCTAGTTCTGCTGGATCTCTCAGCGGCGTTTGATACCATCGACCATAACATCCTTCTGGACCGTCTAGAGGGGCTGGGAGCTGGGGGCACTGTTACACAGTGGTTCCGCTCCTTCCTCCTGGGCCATGTTCAGAAAGTGGTGGTGGGGGATGAGTGTTCAGACCCCTGGGCCCTCACTTGTGGGGTGCCTCAGGGTTCTGTCCTCTCCCCCATGCTTTTCAACATCTACATGAAGCCGCTGGGAGAGATCATCAGGGGATTTGGGCTGGGTGTTCATCAGTATGCAGATGATACCCAGCTCTACCTCTCTTTCAAATCAGAACCAGTGAGGGCAGTGAAGGTCCTGTGTGAGTGCCTGGAGGCGGTTGGAGGTTGGATGGCGGCTAACAGATTGAGGTTGAATCCTGACAAGACAGAAGTACTGTTTTTGGGGGACAGGAGGCGGGCAGGTGTGGAGGATTCCCTGGTCCTGAATGGGGTAACTGTGCCCCTGAAGGACCAGGTGCGCAGCCTGGGAGTCATTTTGGACTCACAGCCGTCCATGGAGGCACAGGTCAAATCTGTGTCCAGGGCAGCTGTTTACCAGCTCCATCTGGTACGCAGGCTGAGACCCTATCTGCCTGCGGACTGCCTCGCCAGAGTGGTGCATGCTCTGGTTATCTCCCGCTTGGATTACTGCAATGCGCTCTACGTGGGGCTACCTTTGAAGGTGACCCGGAAACTACAACTAATCCAGAACGCGGCAGCTAGACTGGTGACTGGGAGCGGCCGCAGAGACCACATAACACCGGTCTTGAAAGACCTACATTGGCTCCCAGTACGTTTCCGAGCACAATTCAAAGTGTTGGTGCTGACCTTTAAAGCCCTAAACGGCCTTGGTCCAGTATATCTGAAGGAGCGTCTCCACCCCCATCGTTCTACCTGGACACTGAGGTCCAGCACTGAGGGCCTTCTGGTGGTTCCCTCACTGCGAGAAGCAAAGTTACAGGGAACCAGGCAGAGGGCCTTCTCGGTAGTGGCGCCTTCCCTGTGGAACACCCTCCCACCAGATGTCAAAGAGAACAACAACTACCAGGCTTTTAGAAGACATCTGAAGGCAGCCCTGTTTTGGGAAGCTTTTAATGTTTGATGTATTATAGTATTTTAATATTCTTTTGGAAGCCGCCCAGAGTGGCCGGGGAAGCCCAGCCAGATGGGCGGGGTATAAATAATAAATTATTATTATTATTATTATTATTATTATTATTATTAACCAAAATGAATATATATTATAAATATTAAATCTTCAGAGAAGTGTTGTTGTTTTTAAAATCGAACTGGCATAGCAGTCGAATTCTGAGTTGTTGTTTTTTAGTAGAAGAATCAGCTAGTAAACAATATATTAGCCTGGATCATAATATTATCAGTTCAAACACAACTTCAAATTGGGAATCATTGTGTCAGCTGGCATCATTTACCCCAGTGCAATGCTTAAGGGTTTGAAAAGCACAAGGAATAACTTTGTGATTCTTTCTCTGGCTTTCCCATGATTTTGACCTTGAGCAGGGACCAATAATCATTTGGAGAATGGTTGGAATGGCCTCCACATGACACAAGAACATTCTTCTACTGCTATTACTACAATAGAATTTGTCAACACCACAACATTCTTCTGTATAAAAGTTATATGGCTTTAGTAGAAATGTTATAAGGAATTAAGTATAAATAGATTAATAGAGTATTAAAGGAAAAAATAAGGTTAGAATGAGTTAAGATAATTATAGGATAGAAAACAGAGGAAGATGGAAAGGAATTGCTGAAATAATTAACAGAAGTGGAATACAAAAAGGGAGGTGTGAGGAGGTCGTGGAAATAAGTAAATGAAAGATGGGATAATGAAATTGTTTGATTTATTTTATAATTTTTTTTTGTTTTGTTGGTTTAATGTATTGTATTGTATTGTATTCTATTCTATTGTATTGTCTTTTTAGTGTTTAAATTGTTGGAAAAGTAATAAATATTATTTTTTTAAAAAAACATTCTTCTGTATAATGTGCAGTATCTTCATGCCACTACTTTGCTACTCCAGTCTACGCTGTCAGAAGCTGTTATGGAGACACTCGGTAAGATATGGGAAAACATTGTACATATTACAGTGTCTGAGATAAGCCGTCAGGTGGAGGTCCACTCAAGTGGTTTCTGGGAGATGTAGTATATAACATGAGTCACAGGGAGGCCATAAAATTAGATACACAAAACTGATCATCTACATTTCCATATTACTTCATCCATGTTATGACTGTTCAATTATATTTTACTGTCAGAAGCACAAGGAAATAAAAGATCCAGAGTCAGATAATGTGGCCTCCCCTTTTCAGTTACCATTTTTGTTTTTTCATAGGTTAGGGGCAGTGCATCTACAGAAGCCTGGCAAGCTTTTGGTTTTATTTGGTTTTATTTATTGCCCTTTTGTCCTCTCTTCATTCAGAAAACTTGGAATGACCTATATGGAGTTTGCAGGCTGAGTTGTTGCAGTATTATGATCATAAACATTCCATCCAAACACTGAGAAGGCCAAGAATTGCTTAGCTATAATGGTGCAACAGCATTATCTGCTTTCAGGCCATTATTTTGCTTTATACCTGCCCATTCCCTGTGTACATTAAAGGTATTGTGCAAACTGGAAAGCTATTACATACTTGTGAATGAAAATCTACAATGTTTTATAAGCCTCACTCAAAGGGGAAAAGTTGAGAACCTGTTCGAACCTGCAAAGTAAAGTTAGATGGGGGCACCTTACTTTGAGAGCCTTATAATTCATAAGAATTAGCTGCCAATGTTTTCCTCTCCTGCATGCTTTTCTTGATCTGATAAACAGAGAACATAATTTAAGGAATGTGTAAAGTCCCTCACAACAATTTGTACAAGTAGACCGATATCTCAATATTTTCTGCAAACAAGGGTAATTTTCCCAACAGATTCCAATCAATTTTCCATTGGCCTTGACCAAAGATAGAATCAAAAGTGAAAAATGAGGTGTATCCCTTCTTCAGTGCTACTGTTCTCCACTGTTCTGCTGAAATATCCACCTCCTGTTACAAAATGGTGTAAGAACCTGCTCCTAAGAACCAGAGCTATCCATTTATGTGAAGGCCCTTAATGCACTTCCTTGAAAGTACATGCGCAGTAGTAGAGCACCTGCTTTGCACGGAAAAGGTCCCAGGGTTCAATCTTCAACCAGTGAACCCCTCTTCAACCAGTGTTTTAGTGTCAGCTTTGGGACGGAACCACGTGGAGCGGTGAGGAAGGAAGGGGACACCTGCCTAGCCAACCAGATCAGCTGAATCAATCTTGGAGATCAATGGGGTGACATAGTCAGAGCCAGATCACCCTCATATCTTGTAAACAATATTAAACTGGCTGGACCAATAGCTTGACTTTGTACCAGACAGCTTCCTGTATGCCCAGTTGCCTTATCTCACTCCACTTCAGCAGAGCTGCCACCATGGCAATGAATCAGGATGACTGGGGAGTAGCAGGGAAGGAGGCCTTGCCCACCTTCATAGTGATGATAAAAGAAAAGATCAATAAATGGTGTTGCCGTGGGCTTCTCACCAGTGTGTGGTCCCTCAATCCTGCCTGTAATTTTGTGCCTTAAAAACAAATACAGTCATTCAACTGTGGCAGGTGTAGCAGGAACCCCCCCCCCCATCATTCAGTTTGTACAAACTTCACACACACTCACACACCACATATGCCACACTTCTGTTATAAATTCATAGAAAAATCAACCATACATCGGATTTGCACTGTTCCACTTTTATTTTACTCCATGAAGGAAGGACTACAAAATGGGGAAGGTTTGATACAGGCCAGCCATAATCCCTTGAACATCCCAGCACATCCACAGGAGCCCTGCCCAGTTGCTATGCCAACCCTGATGGTCCTAGACAGAAGACAATCAAGATCACAAAGAACTTGCATATGGGAGTGGATTCTGCATGGACTGGAACAAAGGACAATGATCAGATCTTCCCTCGGGGCAGGAAACTGCAACTACCTTTTGTCTTCAGAAAATGACTCATGGGGAGGGGTAGAGGGGAACCAGCCAGGTGACAGGACACTCAGGTTACCACCACAACTCCTCCCTCAACCCCTCCTTTCTGTAATGTATGCATGATGTTTCTGGCTTGATCTACAGGGTGGGAATTTCAAAAGTTTTTATAAGGTCTTGCACACCATTTTCTGTGTCTTTTCCTCTCTCCTGCAAGTGAGGGGAACACCCTGTTGCAACAGTTCAATAAAGGCCAAGCCTACAGGCTGCTGATTTGCTCCAATTTACTCTGGTTGGTGTCTTTACTTTTTGTCCCAGGGAGCCCTCGGATTTTTCCGGTAACACAGGGAATAAACAGCTTTTGGAGACACCAGAGGAAAGCATCAAAATTATACAGGGAAAGGTCCAGTGTTTTGAAAGAATTTTCTCTGTTCTGCCTGCCATTTGTATTACTCTGCTTCCACTATTTTTTGTTCCTTTTCCAACTTCTGATTTATTTTTTGTTTCTTTGTGCTATCCCCCCATTGAAATAGAATCCTAGTGTTGGTGGCCATTCGTTTACCCACTTGCCAATTCAGGAAATCCCATTCCTACAACACCCCCTCATCAGTGCAGCCCCTTTCCCCCCTCACATTATGCCTTGGGGAAAAGAAAGAAAAAAGCACATAGTTGTCATAGCACTATTCTTCGTTTCCCAGAAAAAGCACAGCAGTTCTGTGACAGCTGACAGCCTTACTCTCTCCTTTCCAACCACTGGGGAGTGTAGCTGCTGCAGTACATAGCTATGGCCCCTGTGACTGTGGTTGTCACTCCTTGTCTTCGGTGATGAAAGGATGAGGGAGAGGATGAGTCCAGATACTGTGCTGCGTTTACCTGACCTGGGAAGCACAGCACAGCAAGGGCAGCAGAAGGAGAGCAGACAGGTCCAGCTTGCATCCTACCTGCTCACCTAAGGGCAATTGCTACTTGCCCCAGGCAAGATACACACTGCATGGCTTCTTTCAAGGAAGGGGACTCAACACATTGCACGATTCTCCAAACTTCTAGATGTGATCTACACTGAACTGAGCAAAGAACACACAGCACATGCACCTCTTTAATCAGCAGGGTTATTGGAGAAGACCCATAAGGAAAATTATTGTGGTTTATGTGGTTATAAGAGTGAATAAAAGGGGAGACTTTTCATCCAAAGTGCTGTTGGATTCTGAGTTACTTGGAAATGTAGCATTGGCAGGGAAAAGTAGAGGAACCTGCCAATATTAAGAAGGCCAGCTTGTTAGAAACAGATGTGTTGCCAAAGAAAAGTGTGTGTGTGTGTTCATGGCAGTGTGGAAATGACCACCCTTGTTACATACTTAACAAAGCCAGATTAAATAATATACAGTGTTACCTCGGGTTACATATGCTTCAGGTTACATACGCTTCAGGTTACAGACTCTGCTAACCCAGAAATAGTACCTCGGGTTAAGAACTTTGCTTCAGGATGAGAACAGAAATTGTGCTCCGGCAGCGCAGCGGCAGCAGGAGGCCCCATTAGCTAAAGTGGTGCTTCAGGGTAAGAACAGTTTTAGGTTAAGAATGGATCTCTGGAACGAATTAAGTACTTAAACCGAGGTACCACTGTATACAGATACTGCATTTTTAATTCTTGCATTGTACTGACTAGGTCAATACATTTTAAAATAATATAATAGAGACTGCAGCCCTATTCAGGTGTTCTTCTTCTGAACATGCATATGGGAGGAAGAGGAATCATGTCCACTCACAGCCTCTGGCCCCACCATTTGGAGGAAGGATCTGAAAGGGCCTATGAAGTGTAAAGTGCATGTCTGTAGGCTTTGTCTCAGCAATCACGGCCTAACCAAGGATCTGTTACCGTGGGGACAGAGCCTATGCATTAACAGTTTGTAGACATGTAGACCCTTTCACAACTTCTACTAAGCAAATATAGGGGGCAGGGATGGAGCCAGCAGCTGCTGCAAATGGTCACAATCTCGCTCCTCTCTCTATGCATACTCTGAATAAAGTTTGAACAGGATTGCAATGACCTGACAAAATGGCATTGGAGGAAAATATTTCTGATTCTTCAAGGTTGCCAAAGAGATAAGCAGCTTATTCAGTTTAACAGTGACTTGTTCCTACAAGAGTGGTGAGAACTACAAATGAAAATGGCAGACAAAGTTCTAGCTTCATGCAGAATTCTCTTCCCTGTGTACATGTATCTTCTTGAGGATACTCTTGAGGATTTCTCCAACCTATGCATTTCTGTAATTCTTTAGATACTGTTGTGTAAGATTTCATTTTTGCCTGGAGTCTCTTAACTGCAACTTTCTCAAATTCAGAAGAACCCTGCTTCTTGGTTGCATCCCCAAACTCACTGTGAGTAAGGCCTAAGGGCACAGACTTCCTTTGGCAAAGGTGGACCATGGAAAAAGGTGGGACATTCTAAACAAAAAGTACACTTTTGTACTGCTCTCTACAATGTTAATCTGTTGATCCACCATTGTTTGTTTGTTGAATACATATCATTGTTTGCACATACAGTGGTACCTCGGGTTAAGAACTTAATTCGTTCTGGAGGTCCGTTCTTAACCTGAAACTGTTCTTAACCTGAAGCACCACTTTAGCTAATGGGGCCTCCTGCTGCCGCCACGCCACTGCTGCGCGATTTCTGTGCTCATCCTGAAGCAAAGTTCTTAACCCGAGGTACTATTTCTGGGTTAGCAGAGTCTGTAACCTGAAGCGTATGTAACCCGAGGTACCACTGTACCTCAGGAGTGTGTATGTATGTGTGTTGTGGGAAGGCTACTAAACTGGACTCCCAAGTTTCCTAAGTGGAGGCTTGAGCCAGAACTTAATATAAAAATATCCCTTAGATACTAATTGGCTAGAACTTTAGGTCAGGGCTAGACTTGATTCATCTCCTGGTGGGGAAAACATCAGGTTTGCGATGCAATGGCAACGATAAATGTAGCTGTGTGTCACAGTACTGCACTAGTGCAAAAATGTGAGTTTTCCTGTTTTCCAAGGACATCAGTGGCCACTAGGTGACAATGTTGATCCAGCTTACGAGCCATCCATTGCTAACGGAACATATACTAAACTAGAAGAAAGCACTTTAAGGTCTCCGTGTTTAATTATCCATGTTTTGTCTGCTCTGGGGAATTCCAGCTGCTTTTTCCTTCCAGTTTTTCTAAAGGATGTTATTCCTTTCCAATAGATCAGCATTTTATACATGTAGAATGGTACAAAATTCACTGCCTGCAAGTACTGATAATTTTTCAACAGCATTTTGAAAGAATTAAGAATTGGGGGGGGGGGGGGCGATAGAGTTGCAGTTGGAAAGGCCTTTCTTGCAGCCCTATGGCACAGTTGAGATCCCTAAGCTTTCTGCTCAAGACAAAATAGACGGGTGATAGTCTCTCATCCCAGCACACGTAGAACATGTGCTCAAACTGGGTGGGCTGCTTGTACATCTGGGAGAAGGAGCTAGAGGAAGGAAGTGCAGGGCAAGACGTGGGAAAGGAAAGGAGCTGGCTGGAGCTGAGCTCTCTGGTCACTTCCGCATAGTTAGCACTTTTGTGTGGATCTCTCACCCATTCATGTAGATGCTTCTGTACATCCCTCAAACAATAAAGTGCTGCTTCATAACCCACACCCAAGTGTGTGGGTGCATTACAATAAATAGCAATTGCACGACAACTGAATTTGGATGCTAGGTGTGGTTGTAATCTGCCCTGAGCCATGGGCACTGCTAGAATGATGTCCTGGCAGGCTGGTTGGTATAGTGTCAGGTAGCACAAATTGGTTGTCAAATTGCCACACAGAAGAGATAATTAGGACTGATTTCTGGACGTGTTAATTCACAGAGGAAGGGAAATGCTGCCGACAGAATGATACTCAAGGTTGCTCTGCAGTACAATTCTCTTGCACAATTCTCGCCCATTCTCCGTTTTGCTCCACGTTAAAATAATCACATCTTAATTAGGCTGGTAAATGATGTGCACAAGTGCAGCTTGGGAAATGGTGGTGAGGCAAGTGGTGGGGCAGCGTTAGAGTCCTAGGAACAGATTGCTTTCCCTTCAACATTTCGGCTAAAATTATCCCAGGTTGCCTTTTTGAACAATCTGACAACTCACTGGTGCACATCCAGCAGTTAAAAGCTGTCTCTTTCCTTGCTGTGCTATCGGGAGCCTGAGGCTGGCTGCTCAGGCACAAACATATGCTGCTGTTTTTCACTTTTTGATGGAGATTGGGTAGCTTCCGCACTTGTAGGGCTTTGTGCCACATCATCCATGTTTATTCTATTGCCATTTGGCCAAATTCATATTTTTACTTGTAATATT